ATGGATTTCGTCGGCAATAAACAGCTGTACTGTCTGAACATTCTTTCGTCGCTTCCACTGTCTGGACAAGACGTCCCACTGCGTTGGAGTCGCGAGAATCAAATCACCAGCTTCCAGAAGCTTGAGATCTGCAGCAGTTTCACCAGTCAACTTCACAATCTCCTTTCCACCGCCCAAGTGGCCGAGTCTCTTCTGCCAGTCTTGTAAGCGAGCATCAACGAGTTCTTGGAATGGAGCAATATAGACAGCTCGACCGGCATCATCGCCTTGCGACCAGTGTCGCAAGAGAGCGAACTCGGCACACACAGTCTTGCCACTTCCAGCCGGGGCACCAACGAATACGTTCTGATCAGTCTTATAGAGCGAGTTGAAGGTTTGCGTCTGAATCTTGTTGAATTGCCTCCATTCTGGATAGAGATTGACGTAGTCTTGAACTTTCAGAGCCGAGACAAGCAGAGGCTGAAGGTCAAGCAACTCTGTGTGAGGAGGAAACTTCTCCGGCAAGATAAGCTTATGGAAGGGAACAGCCAATCTCGTTTCAGAATGCATCCACCTGTCTGAGATGACTGAAACGAAGTAGTTTGGTGGCATAGGATCGGTGATTGGGACAGTGAAGTCTACGATGTGTTCGTTTGCTTCGGATTCGGCGTAGTCTTTGCGAAGGAGGAAAGTGTCATGGTATAAGATATCTTCACCATCGCAGTCTTCGACTATGATCCAGAAGCTCTCAGCAGCACCATGAATACTATCATCCCATTCGAAATTAGGAGTAATGCTCAGTTCGACTCGAAGCATGGATCTGGTCATAGGCTGTACCTGTGCCTGAACGTCGACCCTGGGGAACTTGGCAACCAGGCCGCAGACAGTGCGTCCTGCTTTGGGCATACCCAGCAGCTCGCCCATTCTTGGAGGATCAAGGTCAAAATAGTTGCTCCAAGAGACATCGATTCTCTCTGCTTTCTGGACAATATCGCGCGGGCATGAGGGGAATTGACGCAGCGGAGACATGGTAGGCCACATTCGCTTCTCAGCCATCTTGCAGAGGTCTAGAGCAGTCTTGGCAACCGACGCCCAGCCCTTCTTCAACGTAATCTCAAAGATGGCTCGCAAGATTCGACCAGCGCTCTGTGTGACGTACACCATGTCCGCCATGAGAGCCAGACCGTCCAGCTTCAAACGAGAAATGTACGCTTGAAGCAGAACATTGATTTTGGCGTGCGATTCTTCGATGCTTTCCTTGACGGGAATCGGCACTCTGCCCATCAGTTTTGCGAGCTCCAGCTTTTCGTCTTGGCGAACAGGAATGTACTTGAACTCATCACTGAGAGCAAATACACGGAAGAGCTCAATAGTCGTAATGGAAGGCTGAATGAGGTTGTTATAGGTGTCCATAGAATGTGATGTGATGTAATAGTGGGACGCAATGCGACCAAGCTCGGTAGATTGAATCCTGCCCGTCTTCTCATCATATTTGACAAGATTAGACTTCCTGAGCGCCATTGCGGCAGAGTGTATTAGGTCAACACGCTTTTGTTCTAGAGCCTCATCATCCTCGTATTCTGCGCCAACTTGATACAACCCAGGAGACCGAAGCATCCGGACAAAGAGATATGTGTATCCAAGCCATTCGACACCCTCATCGCGAGTTCTCACATTGCCAAGTACAACTTCAGCATTGAGGTTATCTACCAATTTGCTAACAAATTGACTTTCAATCGGAAGTTGCTGGTTTAGAAGCGAAAGATAATACTGGATCTCACTCTGAGTCGTGATAATGATACCTTCACCGTAGGTATCGAACTGAGGCCGTCCTGCACGACCCAGCATCTGGAGAACATCCTGGGGGCTTAGCTCGACCCAGCTACCTTTCTCGGGTGAGTAGATCTGGGTGCCCTTGATAATAACGGTATGGGCAGGCAAGTTGACACCCCAGGCAAGGGTGGCGGTAGACACAAGAACTTGGATGGCGCCTCTGGCGAACAAATCCTCCACATCAGTTCTGTCTATTCGGTTCATACCTGCGTGGTGAATACCGAATCCATAAGGCAGGATATCTTTGAGATCCTGGTCAGTTGCTTGGCTTGCGGCCTCAGTCAGGACTTCTCGGCTACCAGCATCGTGTCGAAGAATCTGGTTGATAGTCTCCATTTCAAGAGCCTTGTCTCGAATGTACTTGGCCGTCTTTGCAGTCTCTTTGCGGGAATGTACGAAGATGATCATTTGGTTCCGGTGGGTGCCAACATGCTCGATTACCTTGTTGTACGTTACATCATTCATCGTCTTTAGCTGCTTGATGGCCTTGCGATCCGTAACACCAATAAATTCCTGGCGCAATGGGCAAGGTCGAAAAGAGCCATCAAAGTGGAACATGGCTTTCTTGGTGTCCACGCGGAGGAAGCTAGCAACGTCTCGGTAGTTTGGAAGCGTCGCAGAAAGACCGACAATTCGGACCGGTTCCCCAGTCTGTTCGGTTTTGCGAATGGTCCTGCTGACGATGCTTTCCAATACTGGACCACGGTCATCGTGGAGTAGATGGATTTCATCGATGATGATCAGGCGCACCAAGTTGGTATAAGTTAGATCAGTTGCCTTGCGAGTAATAACATCCCATTTTTCAGGCGTGGTAACGATGATCTGAGTTTCTGAGATTTGCTGCTTGGTAAGTTGACGATCACCGGTAAGCTCGGACACGCGGATTCCGTATGGCTCCAGACGCTTTCCGAAGTTGCCAACCTGTTCCTGGACAAGAGCTTTGAGGGGAGCAATGTAGACAATCTTGAAAGCATCAAGATCAATCTCGCCGGTTTCCGGGTTTCGATTTTTACCAATTTCTCGCAGTATGGTCAACATGGCCACGTTTGTTTTACCACTACCGGTCGGCGCACAAACAAGCATGTTGCCATCATCTTCAAATGCAGTTGAGTAGGTCTTGGACTGGATCTTGTTTAGCGATTTGGAAGTGCTGAAGGGCAGCCGTGACCATTCCGGCATGTCTGTGATGGGGATGAGAACATCGTCTGGGTCATTTCGTTTCTTCGGAGGAGGCACGTGGATCTCTTCGTAACCCTTGAAAGATCTCTTTGTCGATCCCTCTGGCAGTCGGACCTTGGGGTTGGTCATCAAATGGTTGCCCTGGTCAAAAACCAAGTTTTCCAGATTGATGAGCCTCTTTGGTTGCAGCCCACCGACCAGCTGGCCTTCGAGCCGTTCTGTCTTGGGCCCTTCGGCCGTGAAAGAAGCGGGAACATCAATGTCCATCTTGATACCTCCTTTCCCTGCCTTATCTCCATCAGCTCCAGACTTGCCCCGCAGCTCGTTGAGAATCCATTGAAGTCCCTCCGAGACCATTTCCCGCTCAACATTTGCCCGCTGTTCCGCATCGGCTTCTCTGGCAAGCTTCGTGAGCCAGAAAACTTTTTCACGGTTTTCGACCAGCTTTTGGACCAGCTCGTGATGTTCGAAATCAAAGAGCTCCATCAGATCGTTTTCAATCTCTCGAAGAGACTTCTCTTCGCCTCCAACTTCGTCAGGCTCTCCAGAGAGCACGCGCAGGGCCTCTTTGGTCTTATCTGCTTGCTCGTGGGCATCAGGATACAGTAAACCGATTTCCCGCTGTAGCCAGAAGGCGTCTATATCCCGTGCAAGTATTGAAGGCTTCTCGCTCTTCTTGTGCTTGGCATCCACGGGTGCCGAGTCGAGAATCATGTCGTCCTCTGCTTCAGCAGCATCCTCCTCCGCTTTTGCCCCTTCGCCTTCCTCCTCTTCCTCCTCATCTTCCGAGGATTCGTCGCGAACTTCGTTGACAATCTCATCCTCTTCGTCATCCTCGTCAAAAGCAACAGCTACACCCTGCCGCTCGTCGATTTCAGCGTCGTCGTCATTATTATCTCCCATGTTAACATCCTCATCGTCGTCTTGGGCATCGTAATCTGTAATCTTCTTTCCCAAATTGATCAATTCGTTGAACTGTTTGGGGCTCAGGGTTGAGCCAAGAATGTCGTCGATTTCTTTCTTCTTGTCCAGATCCTTCATATCATCGTCCTTCAGATATTCCAGCGCGGCATCCGCAGCACTTCGCACGACATCATGCGGTACGTCGCCAAGGTTGTTCGCCACAAGGGTCAAGATCAGATCAAAAGTCGCCCGCGTCGCCGCAGTTCGAGGTCGATATGTGATACCCTCGATCAAAGCATCGTTTGCCCCCAATACACCAGCTTGTTGCGCATCGGGCTTCCGTTTTCTTTGCTCTCTTAGCAAAACTTCCTGGCCTTCTTGAAGACTTCCTCGTTCAATGTCGGGCATTCCAGGCTGCTTCTTCTGCTTCGGGGCTTCGTCACGAGCGACTCGTGAGCCCATATCGTTAATACTCAGGCGCCCAGCGAGAGACTCTGGATCGCCAGTGGCCTCGTCTGTCCGTCGAGTGACAAACCGACGGTCCGCCTGGAGAACCAGGTTGGACATGGCCGAGTACTTGTATTGGGATACATCGCGATGAGGGTCCGACATCGTGGCGGTTGTGGTCGAGGATAGGGTCAGAGGCGAAAAAAGAGAAGAGGGGAGAACGTCGATGTCCTCGACAAAAGCTCGATGAGCCCAGCTTCTACTTCACCATGTGCTTGCCGCCCAGACAGAGGGGATCGTGGTGGAACGATGGACAGCTTCCTAGGCCTCTCAGCAAGGTAATGTCGCTGAATTGGTTGAAACCGCAGCCTGGGTCTCCGTCGCGATAAATTTCCTGAGCCAACATCTTCTGCCTTGGACGCGCCAGGTAGCAAATAGTTAGTGTAATGCGCCACACTAAAAATGCTCCTCGCCACACTGTGGAGACCTACTGTAGTGGGCACTTTATAGCAGGCCAGCTCCAGTCACTTGTGGTCCCTATTAGAGGCGGTATGTACCTACGAAGTGTGAGGCGGACAGGGTGCCTGACTTGGCCCAAGTACAAGACATGCGCTGCCCAACGTTGACATATCAAGTAAAATGAATATCCCTATCTCAATATGCCCGAACATCAGCCTGAAATCTTGACAAAGTTTCAACAGCAGCTGGAGCCATACATTAAGCCTCGGGAACAAGTCAACTACATCAGGCGCGTTTTGGCGCTTCACCTCGGGTCGTGCTCCGGCAATGGCGCCGTCCAGAACCCCCTGTTCCTCGTGGACAGCTCACAAGAAGTCACCACGCCCTCGGATTTGACTGGCGTCTTCAGGGAATATGTCGAGGCTCTCCAGGCCAATTCCGCAGCACGTCGGCAGTTTGAGGACCTCCTGCAGAAGAACGCCCCTGAAGACTCTGAGCCGCCAGCTCGAGCAGCAAGCAGTGCCGACCTCCTGGAGGAACGCATATGTCTTTTGAAGCTGCAGCAGAAGCGAGAGAGCTTGCTCGCAGTTCGACAATCCCTGGATATGCTTATGGAAAAGCCAGCCGCAACCCGTGAGTTCCTGGATGCGAGGCACATCTTTCAAGGGAGTCCCAGGGCACCGAGTGCACCGGACGATGTCATCAACAGCCTCACGCCTGATCAGAGCTCTCCCCACGCAAGCCTCGATGATCGAATCCACCAGTTGGAAAAGACGGTGCTGAGGGCAAAGCTGCTACTGAAAAAGGAGGAGCAAACACGGCGTGAGGCAAAGGCTCGGTCCCAAAATCAATTCGATATCGTCAGCAACGGCGCTCGCTTAGAAGCGCTGACTGCAGCTCGAAATGAACTTATAGCTTGGATCGAAAACGAACTCGGCAGAGCATCCCCTGGAAGCAGCTCAGAGGCAGGCCAAAAGTATACCTACAAATCGAGGGTTAGTCCATCAACAATTGCAGCTCACCTCGAGGAGATTAGCAAAAAGTATGCCACATATGTATCTATGAGGAAAACTCTCCTAGATCTGGAAACACAGCAGTCTCAGCTTTCCCAGCCAGCTCAGCCATCTCTGCTACCGCCTGCACAGCTAGTTGCGGGCCTGGATCGAAACAGCAACAAGCCTCCGGCACCAATCGATCATCTTCTAACGCCCTATCTAAGAGCCTTGGCCGCTATTTCAGTAAGCCAGAAGGCAGCTATCACTCAGAAGTCCTTTTTCACGTCGGCATTGTCCAAGCAGAATCAAGATGCCTGCCAATTACTCGGTCGTCTCAGCGAAGAAAGCCACCTGCTACCAACGTACCCCATGAAGGACTCGCTACGCCGGAGGTCTGGCATACAGACAGAAGTAGCTTCGAAATCCGAACAGCCGGATCTCTCGAAGCGGGTGAAGCCTTGGGTATTCGCCGCCGATTCGGCCAAAATCGCGCTTCTCGAATACGCTGCAGAAACCGTCGACATTGGACAGGTCGGGTTAGAGAATTGCTTGGACAATCTTCGAGAGATCGACTTCCTGCTGGGTCATCCTGATGGGGATGTTTCCAGCGAGGGCGCTGATAATAAACAAAAGGCTTCGGTAGCGGCAACGAAGCTTGAAGCACGAAAATCCGCGTCAAAAAGCAGCATAATGGATGACGGGCACGATGTTTGGTCTAGATTACACGGAGATTTAGGAGCATTTAGCTAAGAAAGGATACGATCTGAATCATATCATTAAGAGTTTTAGTATACCCCCGTCCTATGTGTTTCGATTATGCCTCTATATCTCCGGTAAAAAGTACAAACGCCGCCTATTCAGAATAAGCCATGCTGATCCCAGCTCCTCACTTCATTTTATTTTTCAATTAGCCTCTCGAGTTGGTCGTGATTCATTTTTCGGACATGATGGCAGATATCCTCATTGCCAGATCAAGAATTGATAGATGCTCGTCTGCTCCATCGACCAATCGCTTATCGACTTCAGAGAAGACGAGAACGATCTTGTTCTTTTGAACATCAGGAACAATTTCATCAAAGACTATCTCTTGATACAGCTATACAATTGCAAAGAGTCAGTATAACGGCGCCAAGCAGGCTAAAAAGGTATAAGAATGTAGAGCCGCTTACCTGGTTTACTACCTGACCAGCACTCCAACCGTCTGCGACGAGATCCTCTACCACCTTGGATATGGACCGATATGCCTCTGCCGATGTACTTGGGCGCATAGCCTTGACGAGGTCGTTGATTGTTGAGCGAGGTATCACACCGGCGATGTCCTCAACAATCTTGACAGTCACTGGCCTTTTGTCTACATCCATAGACTCGTCACCTTCACCGTCCTTTTCTGAAGGCTTCGCTCCAACCAATCGCGCGGCACTCTGCAGAAAGGTAATGGCTTTTCGCAGATCGCCCTCGCTGCACTTTATAAGGGAATCCACAGCACCATCTTCAAGTGTAACCCCTTCGGCCTCTGCTATTGACTCCAACCGCCTCTTCGCATTGCCCTGATCCAAGCTCTTGAAGCGAAATTTGCTGCATCGACTCGCCAGGGGATCGATAATTCTGGTGACATAGTTGCAAATTAGGCAAAAGCGTGTGATTTTGCTATATGTCTCCATCGTTCGTCTCAAAGCGCTCTGGGCATCTTGCGTCATGGAATCGGCCTCGTCTAGAATGATGATTTTGAACGGTGGGCAGGGATATTTGTCTTTGTAGTATGGCGGCGGGTTAGTCAACTGCATTCGTGCAAAATCTTTGACCTTCTGTCGAACAATCGAGATACCACGCTCGTCGGACGCGTTCAGCTCAAGGACTCGTGACTTGATCATCTCCGGACCGTAAAGCTCTTTTGCAAGGGCAAGGATGGTGGATGTTTTGCCTGTGCCGGGAGGGCCGTAAAATAACATGTGCGGGAGCTTGATAAGTAGCATCCGTTAGCTTAAACGTGCATTCTGGACTCAATTGAGAGCACATTGACCAACATTTGAAGCTTGTAGTGTCCTCTGGAGAACGGTCACTGTGTGATCTTGAGCAGTGACATCGTCAAGGCTCTTGGGGCGGCTATAAAGTATAAGCATGGTTGCCATGGATGGAATTGATAAACACGGTTCGACTGACTATTTCTCAACCCAAGGCTGAGCCCGTACGTCGGCTGGTTTATCTTGCTTCTGCGATGAAGCTCCATTTGCAGCGGCCGCTTTCCTAGCCTTGAGATCGAAAAAGCTGGCCATGCCGGGCTCGATGCCTGATCGAGAAAGTTGTACAAGGTAGACGAATTGCTGTGTTCAGTGTCCAATGTCTATACTGAGCGTCAGGAGCCGAAATACGACAAATGGCCGTTAAAATGTAGAACAGCCTAGTACCAAGCAATGCGTGATGGAGCAAAATCCATTAACGCGTCGGCTGGTACAGAGATAGCGCGAGGCGCGTAGCCCAGCTGCAAGGCTGATGAACCCCGCGACACCCTTAGAGCATCTGGCTTATTTTAGGCTTCCAGAGCACCCCACCTTAGGTTGCTTTTGGGCGATATGGATTCCATTTCCGCATCAATGCCTGAAAGAAGCATTTATTCCCTAGCTCAAGTTGAGCTAAATTACTAAGAAAAGATAAGAATAGGAAACACAGTTTGAAACTTTCTATTAGTAGGAGCAATAGAGGCAATAAAGATAGTAGCAGCGATAACAGCTATAGGAATAGTAGCGGCGATGGCAGCAATAGAGGGACCACCCAGGAGTAGGAATGTTTCTGCACCCAGCTTCACTCAGACTCGTGTTACCAAGGCAAATAGCAGTCCAGTTCTTTCCCTCTCCGCTGCGTTGATACATTAATATACTATATTCCATAGTATCACTCGACCATCTTACTATAGGGCGGCAGATGGGCACCTAGTAGGTAAGTAGCAGCTTACGGCATATTACAGGCAGGTACTAGTATTACTGTGCTAGGCACTACTACTAATCTGCTCTTATACCTCTACTCTCGATATATGTAAGTTACTACATGTACCTATCCAGGTTCTAAGCGAAGCCCCAACAGGCGTCCGTCTGTGGCGTTGTGCTACCCGAGCCAGAAACTACAGCGCCGCTGCCTGCATGCAAGCACCCGAAGCAGCCCTTTGATGCGCAATCTAGCGCCTAAGCTGCCTATCTACGCCTCCATGGCGTATTAGTACAAACCACCTTCCTCTGGTTCTCTCTTCCAACTCTTCTTCCTCTTTTTCTCTCAGCCCTCCATCTCTCATCTATCCAGCTCACTACTACACTGACGGTGGTTACAATACGGTTACTTCTCTGCCAATTACGGTGACAGCACCCCCAAATTTCGCCATTGCGTCCTCAGTCCAGGCACAGGGCACACCTAGCAGCCGCGGCAGCAACTCGGCCTTGATTCACCTGGCGAGGAGCCCCTCCTGCGGACCCCTCCTTGCACGGCCTCCTGCCTTAGAATTTGCACTACAAAGCCACGGCCTGAACTTACTGCCCATCTCCTCAGTTGCATCCAACTACAAAACTCGTCCCCTTCGCACATGTAGAATTCCCTGCAAGGACTATCGCGCACAACAGTCTTCATCTCTGATTTCCCTCCTGATGCTTAGACTGCTATTTTCGGTTACATCGTCTCGTCTGCAAGCCTATTAATCACGAGGCAGCCGCCATGGATCAATCCATAATTCGCATCTCCAAGGTTCGGGAAGGCTCACAGACAGCATTTTTGGGGTCACAAGGCTGATCAGCAGCATCGATAGGAGCTCAGCGACATTCAGAAAGGCTCGGATCTAGGTATGTTGGCAATTATATCGAGACGAGTCACGGCATCTACCTAAGCGCTAGACACTAACCGGGGTCGTCGCCGCCACAGCCATTGCAGTCGCTTGCCGTGATGTCGATGTCCGCAACGTGAGAGCGCTCGTCATGGGCCCACACGAGACTCCGTACGAATTCGGCTTCTTTGAGGTAGGTAGATGTCGGGCGTGCTAGGTTTTACATGAGTGCTGACAATGCCATGTAGTTTGCGATACGATTTAACAAAGGTATGGCTTGGCCTCTTCCTCTCTACGGCTTCTCATGTGCATAATGCTGACCCTGCCAAGAGTATCCGTCAAAATCACCCAGCGTTCAGTGCATCACAACGAATGGAGGGCGTTGTCGATTCAATCCCAACATTTACTCTAGTGGGAAAGTCTGTTTGTAAGTCTCTGGCACTTTTCGTTCTCGGTCCTATCCGCTAATCATTGTGGCAGGTCAATTTTGGGGTATTGTTTCTTATAACAGCTAGATCATTTGATAACTTGAGAGCCCTCTAACGCCTTGATAGCACATGGAGAGGAGAACGTGGCGAAGAGTGGTCATCAGCACAAGGCCTCGAGTCAATCTTACTATCAATCCAGAGCTTAATGTCGGCAAATCCCTATGAAAACGAACCAGGTTTCGAAGATGCGAATACACCACGTGATAAGGAAGCACAAAAGCATTACGTCCAAAAGGTGCGAGATCCGTTCTTCCACGCTAGAGTTGGACTCCAGCTAACCTGTCAGCAGATACGGCATGAAACTTTGAGGATATCTATTATCCAGCGTCTGGAGTCCTACTTGGGGCTACAAGCTAATGGCAGCAGCGCCCCCTCTGACACACTGGACTCTAGCAGCTTTGATTACGAAGACATAGACGAATCAAACGTCCCGTTTGAGCCGTTCAAAGATCTATGCAAACGCAAGTTTCTTTGGTATTACGATTCGTATATGGCTGCTGTGGCACAAGGCAAATCCGAAGTGAAAGATATGCAGCTATTTGTTAGAATGCCGTTTGAGTCTCCCAACACCAACTCCATGGATGGTCGCTTCAACTACACGGAGCTTGAACGCCGGCTCAAAGCAATTAAAGCGGCGCTCGACGCAGAAACGCTTCGCTGGGCAGAAGAAGGCCGCACATCCAAGGCAGGAGAGTCAACCGTTGCCGTCAACTTGCAGCATCAATTTGACCAAGTGTCAGCTTACTTGAAACGCGGCGATATGCCCCATAGCGTCGTCCTTGAAAATGGTAATCCTTTTGTCTGGTTAATTACCTACTTTGGAAGGCCGATGACGAATCTCGACGGCGGGCTCTTTCGTATCAAGATGAGCTTCAGCACTCGGTTCCCCAATGAACAGCCGCGTGTCAAGTTTGAGACCAAGATCTTCCATCACCATATTGCGGCCGATGGAACAGCGTGTTACAGTCCTAACCCAATGAAGATGGAGGACGTCAAATCTCATATTGAAGCCATCTTTGAAACCCTAGAGGAAGATGAGCCAGCCTATGATCCGAGAAAGATTGTCAATCCCGAGGCGACCAAAATGTTTTGGGGAAATAAGCCAGACGACAAGAAGCAGTATAATCGCCGTCTGCGGAGATCAGTACAGCAGAGCATGGAGTAAGGACAGAAGCCGTGACTGGATTCTCCCCCTGTTACCTGATAGTCCCGCTAACTCAAATAACAGGGAATTCCCCGAGTAAAGGACGAGCTTTTCACTATTACGAGGGTCAAACAAAAATTCAGCGTAAAACAGTTTTTCTCTTTTATATCATGATGCATCTCACGTAAGGACTTGGCGGCGTTCAAACAATATCACTTTCTCTTCTTCGTTTATTAGCTTTCACTGTTTACCTGGTCCCTTTTCTCTTTTATTCTTTCGGATGGCAACTGGGTATTGTGGTGTATTTGGCGACCAAGGGGCGTTTTTGACCTTCATTCGATACATCTAGATGGCATGGAAGAGGATGGAATGAAGTGACCAAATTGATAACTGAGAGTTGTGGCGCGCGTTTTCGTGCTTGGCTGGCAAAACTAAAACTCGATATGGCTTTAGGAGCACAATGATTGTTCTTTCCGTAGAATCTTCAAGAATTTGAGTGCATGCCACTTTTGGAATGGGTAGATTTTATCCAGCATCTTTGCGCCGCTCTACCACACAGTCTTTTGAGGCCGTCAGTTAAAGGTTTATAAAAAAGCAGTTCTAAATACGAAAAGAATTTGGCCAATTGAGTCGTTTCTCTTAGTTGGCTCGTGTTTCATCTAAAATTCATCTAAAATTCCCCAACGCCGTAAATGCATGCAATCTCTCCTGCAACCTCAACTCCGTAGCTGTTCTCAAACATATGTATATGGGTTCACGTCGCCTCAAGCGACCAAATTTTGTGTTTGCAAATCATTCGTTCAACTTTACTAGATCGATCCACGGTTCCTCATTTCTTGGTTTTGGTCTTTTTCTCAATTTTGTCCTTTAGGGGCGCGTACGGAGCAGCCACGCCTGGATATTCTTCTTGTTTGCCGTCGCCGCCTTTGAACTGGTACACACCTCCAACACCAACAGTAGCAGGCGTCCCTTGCGTAGGTTTAGCCACCTGCTCAGCGTGCAACTTGTCCAGAGATTCGCCCACAACCGCATACTGCGACCAGTTAATCGGGGGGCAGCGGACCACGTCTTGAGCTTTTGGTATGGGCTGCGCGGCCCATGCTCGGGCAGCTTCGTCGTCGCCGGCGTCGGGTCGGGCGCCCTGGCCGATCCTGCCTTGCGCCAGGTCGCGGATGAACTCGTGGGGGTTGTCTATCGCCTCGTTCTTGATCTGGCTGAGGGTCTGGATGTCCGCTGTTGCGCGGCTCCTCTGCATCTGCAACACGGTGATGGCCGATCGGAGGGCAATGACATCGGGGTTGGTTTCGAATTCGATAGGCGTAGAGGCTGGTGGCGGAACACCGACTTGGCTGGGCTGTGAGTGGGTGAATGTTGGGCGAGCGGACTGTTGTTGCTGCTGTTGCGCCGTCGTTGTCGCAAGAGGCGGCAGCGCCTCGGAACTGACGATGGTATTTCGGTTCGCATCTACGGAAAGCTGTGCAGAGGGCAACGGCGGCGTGATGGGCGACATGGGGGGCGGCACGGGCGAAGGCGGCCGCGAGTTCATGTTTGTGGTGATGGTGAGTGCCGGGGCCATGATCAGCGCAGAATGCGCCGGGCCAGCGGCGAGGATAAGTTCCAGAGGAAAAGAAGATATGTTGAACTTGATGCCTAGAAGACGGGTAGCTGTGTATTTGGAGTTTGTAGGCCGGGCGCGCGTCGTATACGGGGCCCTTGATGCCTAGGCTGGCACTGGATGAGTGTGTGAGAGAGAGAATGATGCCTGGGTAAAGTTGATGGCTTGAGAGGTTGAGGTGGATGTCATTGCCTTAGTAAGCTCATGATGCGATGTGACAACTCGCGTGGCAAGTTGAGTTGGACCTGCATAGTACGAAAACCGGCAACGTTATCTGGTGACGAGAATATGTACCTTGCAGGTAGTACGCCTAGTGTGCACTAAGACAGCTTGCCAGGCACGATCGTGAGCAGTGGAAAGTTGCCTTGATGTATTGACAATTTTTACAGAGATGTTCTAGCTTATGGCGTGAAAGATATCATTTTTTATTTCACATGCTTCCTAATGGATTTGAATGCGCAATGGCAGTTCTTCGCAGTATAGTACTTTTGTCCTAGTGATTTTACACTCAGCGCTTCCTACTTTGACATTGGGCCGTCAAGTTCAAGCCATGCAACTTTCTCCGCCAGTGGTCACGCAATTCATTTTGCTTTGGACATTGTATATGACGTAGCGGATAGAACTCATTTCATACAGGATTTGAAATAATCTAAAACTTGACTCTTCGCGTTCCAGTGAGTTTTGCCGTCGTGTAGAAGAAATGTAGGGTAGTAGCTCCCCGTAGGAGAGGCTTTAACTTACAACCCACAGCGTTGGTCTAACTGAGACATTGGCACCAATATTGAACCGACATCTTCCAAAAATAGCCTGCTGCATCACAGCTGAGCAAGGAAATTTACAGTAAGACGGTGCGGGCGGCTGAAAGTCTCTGAAAACTGCAAGCCAGCGCTGAATGTAGACTAACACTTCCATTCTAGTTTTCTCAGAAGCTTCCTTGCCACTGCAGGGATATTAAGGGAGCGGTGGTTGGGATATGATTGCAGTCACACTAAATGTCTCTTAACTGTGTTGTGTAATAGGCCGCTACTCAGGGCTACCTTACTTTGTAAATGACATTGTTCAGCTCTGGCCAGACTATTGATTGACGCGTGGAGGCAAAAGTAAAATTGATGCAAGCTTCAATGACTGCTCCATCTGAGAAGCCCCCTTGTCTAACTTGCAATGGCAAAATCCCCGCCGGGTCCCATCAGCTGCCAAAAGGCCTAGGCTTTCTAGCGGCACAAGACCGAATGCTGAGGCTCTCGGATCACAAGTGATCGGCCAGCATATCTCGATAACCTCTATCCCGTTGCGGGAGCTAAGCCCTTTCCAAAGCGGCAGGCCCTGTTTGAGCGATGGCTGCTCGACCAACAATGAGAGTGTCGTTGGTTTCAACCAGCTTCACAATCTAGACTCTCAAGGGATACTTCGTTGGAGATTAGGTGGTGGTGAGGAGCTACAGGCATAATGGACAGATTTCAGGTGGTTGCATGGCTTCATGTTGTTACTGCATCGCCGATCATAGGTAGTCCTCCCTCCAGCTACCAAGACAGGCTAAGAATGAAAGTTTGATCGCGTAGCAGAGGATCTTCGGTGTTTCGTCTCTACCACCTATCTGTTAGGGGATTGCAGGTAGCGCGCAATTTGTTATAGCATCGCCTTATACCCACACCCCAACCACAAACACAGAAGCTTTGGCCCTTTTCCCGGCTCGCCGTCGCATCGAGGTCGCCGAAGAGTGCTTTGGCGGCTTGTCGAAAACAAAGTCGGCTATTTTTGCCATGGGGATCCATTACAACGTGGAACGTGGACGCCACATGATGCTCAGCCTTTGTCACCCACCGCTAGGAAAGTCGCGGAAGCTGGGCCGCGCATTTTAGCTACAATGCATGACCTAAATGCAACGCGGCGATATTAGTGGCGCGCAGCCTTTATGAGTACTACGTGCTAGTATCAGCAAAAAGTGCATGTGCCAAGTAAAGCATAGAGCATCTACTAGGTAGATACAAGTTGGCGTGGCAGATGGCACGGCAGAGAAGAAGGAAGAGAGATTAATGACCAACCGACAATCCCTGCGGTTGGAGGATCCAGACTATTGCGCGCCAATCTGCAGTATGCCGCCCTTGCTGAGATCGAACAACTCGATGGCCAATCCTGGCAGCCGGGGCCCACCAGCTATACTAAATAGATGCTTCGCCCCTAGGGCCGAACTTTGGCCTAGAAGCCATCGATTGGGTGCTGTGGAAAGCGGGAGCACAGTAGCTGAGCTGTTTTTGTTCTTGTGTCTGGTGTGCCTCTACTGTACGAGTGCTCTGTATTGTGGTGGAGTTTAGGAGCTAAAGCAAATGTGAAGAAAAGTGAAGAGGACAAAGAGAGAACCAAATGTGAGGCCTATTCAGCATCTGGCGCTGGCCATTGTCTCTGCACCTGCGATAGACCGACATGCCAATAACTAATTTGCTGGTAATCTCTTATTGTTTTGCCTCTAACAATAAGCTGCCCAAGGGCAGAAAACAATAGCGATACAGAAAGGCCGTGCAAAAGAAGAAATTGCCTTATAATTTCTTTGAGCTCATTAGTCCCGAAATTTGCCGCCGCTTGCTAGAGCACCAACCTCGCTTCTACATCCCGAAATTTTGGGCGTTTTTCATCACTCCCCCGGTTTACCCTAGTCCAGGTCCCCTCAGCCGAGAAAACTCTCTTTCATGGTTAAGTATAAACTTGCGAACAAAGAAGCCACCGAAAAGGAGAACTTGCTCATCAGTGGCGCTTTTCTTCTTCTCTCTACCTAGGAAGTTCGGTCGATTTCATATCAGATTCTCAAGTCCGCTCCAAAAACCTATTCTGTATCTTCATACCTCGCGCGATATTCTTCAGGTTTTCTCTTTGACTGCTTTACTCCTTGTCTTATTTTTTTTACTGCTATATTGGAGTGCCAAGTTGTGGACCAAGTCTACTGTTTCAAAAATCTGGATTAGTTTCTGCTTGGCCGCATACTCCTTCACGTCGACAACTTCGCGAGTAGTCCGATTTCCATCTCAAAGAGCCATGTTCACGTCCTGATACACTCTCTTCTCAAGTTCGTCGAATACAACTTTGCCGACGAATGGTTTCTCAGACTATGTCTACGCATTATTCACCCGCCAGCGCTTCAATTTGCTCAGATAACCAGCTCCCGCTGCCACCAACTTTGCTATCGCGGAAATCCGGAATCCGCAACTTTTCTTATCCTTTTTCTCTGAGTGAGAAGACGGCCTTTGCCCTGAAAGCTTCAACATCGCCAGAGACTGCGCGAGACTCGTTCGCAACTCCCCCAAACCAGTCTCGGCTGAGTGTCGTTGAAAACGCTGCTTCATCCCAAAGTCCTCCTTCGGCCACTCAGATATACGGTGGATAGCATCCCGCATCTTCTGAGGTGGATAGAAGTCCGCTGCTCAACCGCTTCTTGTCGCGGAGCACTTCGAGCAATCCAAGCCCTGCCCAGCCGTATTCTCCGCCAACAAGCACGGGGAGCCAAGGCCCGTCGCCCTCCGGCGCAACATTACCAAACTCTGATCAGCAGCATTTTAGGCGGTTCTCGTCATCTCATCGACCGCCACGGGAACAGACCAATCCCAGCATCCATCAAGCGACGAGACGAGCTCCGCAAGAAGTCAGAGTCGATGGCCGGCCAGTGTCTTTCTCTACAGATAAGCCGCTAGAAAATCCCTTGGACTGGGCAGCTACGAGTTCGACGTCTCATAACCCAAGATACGATCCCATTTTCCTCTTTCCCATCAAGCCGCTCTCTAAGATGCCCACAGCAGCGTCAGCTGCCACATCTAAGACCATGTCGGATCACTCCCGACCTGGGTACGACCCTTCGTTAAGCAGCGAACCTCGATCAGACTACACTGCATCCACTAGAGAGGACAAGAAGCGCCCCCGCTGGATGTCACAAGTCAAAAACTGGCTGGCCACAAGTGAGCCTTCAGCTCAAGCCATGAGAGACCAGAAAAAGGATACTTTCAAGAAACATGGCATCGACCTCAAAGATCCGAAAGCTGCTGCAAAATTGCATTCTCCCATGGGAAAAGTACCAATCAGTGCTGTTACCTCCACTTCAGGCCCTACCCCTGAGAAAGCCCTCAAAGAAAAGGCACGAGCGAAAGACATGCCGCCATCGTATGCTAGACATAGTCGTGGGTCTCAGTCCGTATCGAGTGGCTTCTCTTCTGTCCCAAGCTTGAAGAGTGCAAAATTCAACAATGCAATTGCACCCTGGGAAGAGTAACGATAGAACAACGGGTTGTTTTACGAGTTTATGAGCTTATGATTGGCGTTGGTAGAATATGCAGCCTCCGAGAATAGTTTTGCTTCTGTGGTGTTCGCATTTTTCTCTTCTTTGCTAGGTACAACTAGGGGCTAGAGCGGCCTTTGAGGGGTTTTAAACGTTTAGAAAGAGGATTTTCTCTCTAACCGAACGAATTGTTGATTAATTCAATTTCCAGTTCAAATTTGCTTGTTGATATAAGGAATGGTACATAGCTTCAAATCAATTTAACATCCTCACATTTAGATCCTGAGTAATACCTGGCAATCAGCATCACAGCATGTCTCAGTTGTTCCAACCACAGCTTGGTAACGCTGGCATACTTCTTCATGTCATCCGATTACACGTATTTTCCTGGCATTGACACGTCATACCCAGAGCAGCCAAGACATCTTGAAAACTGCTAGCGACACCGAAGAGCTCTATGAGATGCCCGCGACACAAATGCATCACATGAGCCACCGCCCCTGCCAACGCTCCAATCCACATGGGCGATTCCGATAAGCTAACATTACCCCAAGACGGGAAGAAAAGACATGCAAATTGCATTCGATATGGAAATCCCGGAGCAAAAGAGCAGTAAATTGAGCAGTGTGAGGCGAAAGTCTAATAACCTTGTTTGGTGGACGGCGATTGGTGGATCGGGGAGCAGGGTGTAGGTGAAATGACGTATACATTTTTTAGTATGACATTTATTTGACGATGGGACCAACGAAAGGGCTGCGGGTTGTAGAGCTCATGCTAGGATGCTGGTGGAGGGGGCAAACTGAGCTCTCAGCTTGGAATCATTTCCATCAATTCTACTTTTTCAACTTCTTCTCATTAATCGAGGCGGGCGATTTCTCAGTACTCCAAGGTTTACGGGGCTGGAACTCTCTTCATCTTAGCATACTAGTGTCTACGCTGCTACGTGAATCACCCACGATGCCGTTGTTCAATTCCCAAGGGGACGGCAGCGAACAAGATGTCCGGCCAGACCTTCGGGACCGGCCAGACCTTCGGGACAGCCCCGAACAAGAGGGCGAAAGGCCTCCAGACGAATACACGCGACTCTTGCCCAACCGAGTCAACTCTACTAGAGAACTTCTCTCGCCAGACGACCCTGCGGTGTCGCCCTACAATCTCTTCAGCATTCGTTTTCTCCGTTATGTTACTTTGTTCTTTACCGCGCTGACCTTCTTATGGTGGGTTATCGTGCTCGTGTCTGCGTTCGCCACGCCTCCTGGGTTCCATACCAAAGGGAGCGGCTTCTTTGCTTTTGGCTACACGAGCTTGACATTGTCGAATATGCTTTTCACGCTGTTATTTTTTGGAGTGCCATCGAAATCGGTGAGAATACTTGCAATCATAATTGCCGTAAGTACTATACATTATCATAGCACCATCACTTAGTGCGCGCTAAAAGATGTTCGTCCTAGGCCTTTCTCGCGCTCGATGCGATCCTCCTCGCCTCTGTTCAAAGAACGAGGTATGAGGAAGGATGGGTTGGAATTGTCAGCGTCATCTGGGCTCTCTTGATGAGCCTCTGGTCCATAATCACCGACAGAACTGTCCAATGGGGCAAGGCAGAGGAGGAGGAAAGGCTGACTGGACGCGCGGAATCAAGGAAAAGCCTCACAGAATGGCTTGAGGTTCTCCTCTCCACCATTGGGTACTCGGTGATGGTTGTGGCCGCTGCTCTGATTACCCTAACCATCATTCTCCGAGCTCTGGATGCAAAGGTCGCTCCTCCAGGGAAGCTGTATTGGGTTGACAGCGAAAAATATCGCATCCACCTGTATTGCCAAGGCAACAAGACGAACGAGAACGGCAAGACGGTCACAACAGTCTTATTCGAGGGCGGTGAGTGGCCGGTCGAATACGGCCTTTGGGACTTTGCAGACAATGCGGTCAAGAACGGGTCTATTTCTCGCTATTGCTTTGCAGACCGCCCGGGACTGGCTTGGTCGGATACCGCCCCATCGCCGTCGTCTGCCGGCTTCGTCGTTGACGCCTTGAGCGAGGCGCTGGCCAAAGCAGAAGAGAGCGGGCCCTTTGTTCTTGCTAGCGCAGGAATCGGGTCCTTGTACTCGCGAGTCTTTTCAGCTCGCCACAGTCACGATGTTCGGGGCTTGCTGTTGATCGATCCTTTGCACGAAGATCTGCTGGGCCCCGGTGCGGCGCCAGGCCGAGGCTTCTGGCTGTGGTTGAGAGGCGTCATCTCGCCGCTTGGGCTGGACCGGATTCCGGGCGCGATATTCAAAGGACGCACTAGCCGCGACCGGATCTATGGCCGATCTGCGTATCAGACGGGAAAATTCATCTTCGCCAAGTTGCAGGAGAGCTTGGTGCTCAACTCGTTCACCAAGCGAGACGTCGACAGCAGCAGGCAGATTCAGGAAAGGGACACGCCGCTGGTTGTGATTAGTTCAGGCCGCAGGTTCAAGGCGAGCGATGAGTGGTCAGCCAAGCAGCGGGACCTGACGAGGCTGACTGACAAGCTTCAACACTGGGATATCGTGGACGATGCACCTCACGAGGTTTGGCGGACTCTGGAGGGTCGAGAGAAGATTGAGAAGAGGCTGAAGAAGATGGTCCAAAAATAACAGGGACGAGCCCTTGGAGGTGGAAAAAGGCGAATTTGGAGTTGGGGACGTCACGTTACCCGATAGCGATTGGTATCTGTAATTCAATGGATCAAAAGTTCAAATGTTTGAATATGCTGCAGGTAGTATGTACTCGCGAAGATTGTTACCGTTGTGCTCGTAGTATCATTTTTAGCTTTTACGAAATATGATAAGATGGAAGATATTTTCTCATCTGTTTGCGTGTGTTTGCCCCAGTCTCGCAAAATACAGCCTCTTCAGCAACAGCTACAGCGGCGATAATGAGCTGGACCAACCAAGCACGAGAGCGGGACTTGAATCGCCATGGCTCCGCTATAGTGCTGCGGTAGCTGGAGCTGCTAGACAAAATTCAGCACTTTCAGCACGGCTGCCCCTGACAGGAAAAGTCTCTTGTGGCCCCGTAGCTGAGGTTTCTGTAGAAGAGTGAAGGATCCTTTGAGAAAAAGCAGCAATACAGCATTACTCCATACTAGGTGGCCAAGGTAGATACGAGGAAAACTACAGCGCAGTATCTAATCTATAATCGAGCCCAAAGTCTCTAAATAGCACCGAAGATTTCGCATTGGCCTTCCAACGGCGTTAGATGTACCGAATCCATGGCTGCAAAGGACGTCATAGGTGGACAGGGTACGTGTAAGGAGTAATACCGCCAGCCAAACCGCCTCCTTAAGCGTAATAAGCGCGCAAGGTTGCGCATCAAACACTGCAGTGCCGTGCAGGTGCCGAGAATTATGACTGATGATAGGTACATGCCCAGTACTTGCTGGACTTGGCAATCTTGGCCCAAGAGGTCGCCGGCGGTTTACAAGAGATGGACGCATCGGGGCTAGTGCTGTTGCCGCTACATATATGAAGCTCTCCAGCCACAGGGCCCTGGCCTTGCAATTAAGGAGCTGTGCGTTATGCGGACGGGTTCCTGTCGATACGGCACGGAGAAATGCTGGCGACTGGAGGCTGAATACGGGGACAGCCGCCATGCTGAGAATGGATCCATCTTGGCTTGCTGTTGAGGAAGCTAAGTCGCCACGGAAGCTACAAAAGCTGCTGAGCTTGAGCCCCTTATCCGTCTGTCAATACCCGCAGCCCGAGCGCTTATGGCGTGCTGATCGACCGTCTTGTTTATAGGTTAAAAAGCGCTCGCTGTACTCTTGCAAAAACTACCTTCCCGTACCTACTGCATGGGGGATCGCGCTCCGTAGGACACAAGACAGAAATACGAGAGAGTTTTTATGCTTATGCTCAGTAGAGCCAGGGCTGGTGGCCCGGCCCGGGTTGCCTATCTCGACCGGGCTGATCTCGGCTATATTTTTGCTCCGTAATCGTAATGAATATCAAAATCTAACTGTCAACGTGAGGGGGCTTTATAACGGTTTTGAAACAGCTTGGCCGATGAGGGCGCCAGTGCTGCGTATTATATGCTGCTGAGTTTGGTGTCGACTTTTAGTATGCTGTTGGCACCTAGATGGAGTTTCAGGCTTATCAGATGGCCAGGAATAAGACGAGAACCACCATGTACTGGCACATGCAGGTAGTGAGTTGAATGCATGGTGAGTAGACTTTGCTGCTAGCTATCTAGTTTACATCTTGGACCTATCGACTGGCGTCGGCTAAACACTGACAGATGCAGAAGTAAAAATAGAACAGTGAAGCCACGGCGTAATGCAACGATGCCAGGTACAGACGGAATGCCCCCGTGTGGCGCACGCAGCGTGAACAAATCTCACAAAGGGGACTAAGCTTTCTGCTCTTTAACAGCTCAGGGCACATGGGTATCAGATGGCTGAAGAGTCTATGAGCCTCTAGTAAGGCCATGTTCTTTACTAACGATGCGTCCCCCAGCACCTCCTCACATCTACAGTGGTGTATTCAGCTTCAGAAGCTAATTCAGCCTTACGCATAGTAGCTTTAGCTGCTCCATCCCGTATCTTACCCGTCGTATCTGACCCTTCGCTAAGAAGGTAGATACGATACTCTGCACACGAAGAATGCGTCCAAACACAGGTAGGCTGATCGTGTGATTCGGCCTGCTTACCTTACTCATCCGCCTGCCATCTGGGACAACAGTGCCGGGGAGCGAGGCAGTCCCTACTGCAGGTCCTAGACATGGGGAGCTGGAGACTGCCAGATGTGGCGCAGTTGAGCGAACTGAGACGAAGTGCGCCTCGTTTGAAGAGGGGGAGAGAGAGCTTACAGATCAATACTTGTGACAAGAACTAAAGCGGCGCTGCCAAAACGACTGCTGCACTCGTACCTGAATAGCACATGCTTGTACATGCTTTGTACCCGCGATAGAGGCCCGGCGTCATAATGCCTTGCCGTGCTGCTCGATTGCGCGGGAAGAGGCCAGGCGGCTCAAGCAAAGTAAAGGGTACTCACCGACCTGGTCGCCTTTGGCGCGCCCCCTCAGCTCTCTGCAACGCCCACGCCAGGAACAGTGGTACCGGCACGGAGCATCAGAGCACCCCAAACAATTAGCGGCCCAGGCCCAAGCCAACAGCAGCGCCAGCGCCCATCAGCGACCAGGCGACCTGGAAATTACACCCAAACTAGCCGCCCCTCAGAAACCACAGCGACTCCACGCGCTGTCAGCACACCCTCGACCGCCCCCAGTCCCGTGAGTCCAGCAAAGTGCGCCAGTCCAGCTCTCCTCCACTGTGAGAATCTACATGTTGGCTCTCTCTGTTTTGTTACCATCACGGGCTGTTTCTGCCTCTCACAGGAGCTGACCTTTTCTCTCTCCTTGAACCCCCTCCTCCATCCTGTGCTGGCGCTGGCGTCGTTCCCCCCCGCCATTTCCATATAGTGCATGTTGACGACCCGCATGCTACGCGGATCTAACTCTCCCAGCTCAGCACTCCACGATCCTCCTCGAGCTCATCTACTTTCTGTCCGACCATCTAGCCCAGACGAGACCGACCCGTCGTTGCTGGACAGTCACGCGATTATCGGCCGCGCTTTGCTTTGAGCTGTGAGCTGCTTGAGGCACGCTGTCGCGCATCGCTTTGTTTGGAGCCGTGGCGTTGCTCCCAATTGAGATCGATACCATCTACGAGAACCACCCCAGCTGATGCCGGCCGTTGCCGCTACCCCTCGCCGACGACTGCTAGACACCTGGCGTTGAGACGGGGCAGAATCATTATACTGGCCCCCCAGATTGAGAAGAGGAACACGCGTTCGGGAGGAAATCCGCCGCATTCTGCGCCATGGCAACCGACCACGGCAACGCACCGCCTGTGGTTGTTGCCCCGGAGGAGGGCCCCAACGGTCATACGAATGAGCATGCCGGACCAGACTCGCGACACGCAGACGGAGGCTGGCAAAACGGATCTTCGCAAGCACCTATCCCGACAGTAGCAGGTCCTAACAGCCCCCTACCGCCCTCAGGATGGGCAGAGGATCCTTCAAACGGCAGCGAAGTGAGCCGCCCACGACCGCGAAACGGAGGACGATCTACCAGTGCTCAGACGAGAGTTTGCAAAAAATGTGGTTTGCAATTGACCGGACAGTTTGTTCGGGCTTTGGACGGAACATTTCATCTGGATTGCTTCAAGTGTCGAGTAATGCTGCCCCCCTCTCTTTCATCCCCTTTCTCCCCCCACTTTACCACATCTCTATCGCGAGATGTACTAACTTCGCTTGACAGGATTGTGGCGATATCGTAGCATCCAAATTCTTTCCCGCAGAAGATGAAAATGGAGATCAATACCCCCTTTGCGAGACTGATTACTTTCGACGACTTGGCCTCCTTTGCCATAAATGTGGTGGGGCGCTTCGCGGGTCATACATAACCGCGCTCGAGCACAAGTATCACGTTGATCATTTTACTTGCTCACTCTGTGCGACCGTCTTTGGCGCCCAAGACAGTTATTACGAGCACGATAGCAACGTCTACTGCCACTACCACTACTCCACTCAGTTTGCGCAGCGATGCAATGGCTGCCAGACGGCTATCCTCAAGCAGTTTGTGGAAATTTTCCGCAATGGGCAGAACCAGCACTGGCATCCCGAGTGCTATATGATACACAAGTTTTGGAACGTGCGTCTAGCTCAGCCAACGGAGGCGCCGCAGATCCATGAAGGCGAGGTTAGCGATGTCGACAGGGACCGTATTCGGGAAGAAGAAGAACGCATGGAAGATAAAGTTTTCAGGATATGGAGCGTATTATCAACGTTTGAAGAGTCGTCTGCAGCATGTATATCCGATATGCTGCTGCACGTTAGCAACGCTTCGTACATCGACGGTGTGTTGGTAGCCAAACGCTTCATCTGGCACGTCGAAATTCTCTTCCAGTCTGCGGACAGACTAGACGCCGCTGTCGCAAGGCAAAATGAGAAAGGTAAGTCTAAAAAGACAAGATCAGAACAAGACGTTTGAGTCCTGCAAATATGAAACCTGAAAGCATGGCTTGACGCTAATATATTCTTTTCACAGGCATGTCGTATGGCCGTGAAGCTAAGCTTCTCTGCAAGAAGATCGTATCCTTCTTTTCTCTGCTTTCGAAAACACAAGATAATGGCTCCCGGCAGCTTGGTGTTACTCAAGAGCTTCTGTCCCTTGTTACTGGCTTAGCCCACTATCTCAAGCTGTTAATCCGTATTTGCCTTCAGGGGGCGTTGCGTCTAGAGCGAGAAGCGACTACCAGCGATGGCCTTCATCAGTTTTTAGACGACTTGAACGATTTTGAGAGCTACAAGGGCGACGAGGGTCTTCTACAAGTGACCATGGGAGGCAAGCGCCTTTCAGCTAAAGACTCGGATCATTGCGCCCAGTGTGGAAGATCGGTAGAAGACGAGTGTGCTAAAAACGGCGATATGCGGTGGCACATTAACTGTGTCAACTGTTCCCGCTGCCAGCGGGAGCTTGGACGTGTCTTGAATGAAGCTTTTCTCAACTCGCATGAACGCAAAATTTACTGCATAACATGTATCGGAGGCAAAACAGACGGCCTCACACCATTTACACACATTTCCAAACTTCAGCAATACGTTTTTCTCCTCAAAGTCGCCCTTGCAAGATTACTGGATATCCTCAGAAGCAATGGCACCATATCATCTGGCGAACCTGGTGCTGATGGAAGCGATCCATTGCGCGCAGATGCCAGATCTAAGCAGTCAGGTGACAAAAGTCGCCGTCGCGAGTCAACTTACGAGACTACTCTGAATGAGGTTCGAAGACTTCGCAGTACTCGTCTCGACCGACACTTGTCATCTAGTGTCAGGCAGGCTCGGACGTCTCGTGTTATGGATGCTGATGGACGGGGTCCCCGCCCTGCATCTTCTGGAGGAGAGGGTAAGACTCAGGGATCGACTGACCAGATGTTTGGACAAAACGACGCTATTACCTTGGACGACATCTCTCGCATTGTGGCTGTTGAGCAGTCTCGCGAACAACAGCAACGCCGAGATCGACTGCCCCCCAGCGACGTCCTGCGGTCTGGTGCCGCAGATCAAGGTCTTGGTTTAGGCCATGCCAGGACGCAATCCGCTGGTAGGGATCAAGATCTCCAGACGGCCGATCAAATGATGTCTCGAGTCGGCAGAAAATTCTTCCCTGAGCTATCAGGCCTCGAGTACTTCAACGTTAGGCATCTTGCTGTCTTGATCATGCACCCTGTGGTTGAGCAGGATTTCACATTAGAAGAGCTGTTAAGCTTTATTGAATCTAGGAAACCTGCTACATTCTGGAAAAATCTCGGCAAAGCGTTCAAAAACGACAAAAACAAAGCTGTCAAGAAGAAGGGCGTCTTTGGTGTCCCCTTGGAAGTCATCATTGAGCGAGACGGCGCTGATTCGACAGATGGTGTGGGACCTGGCACTCTGCGCATTCCCGCTGTGGTTGATGATATCATTTCGTCTATGCGCAAGATGGATCTTTCTGTCGAAGGTGTTTTCCGCAAAAACGGCAATATAAAAAAGCAACAAAATATGGTCGATAAGATCAATGCGGAAGGCTGTGATACTGTTAATTTCATGGAGCAGCCAGTCATTCAGCTGGCTGCAGTGTTGAAGAGATATTTGCGAGACCTCCCAGATCCCCTTATGACTCACAAGCTTTACAAACTATGGGTCGCCGTTGCGAAAATCCAGGATCCTGCTCGAAAGCTGCAGTGCCTGCACATGGCCTGCTGTCTCCTTCCCAAGAGCCACCGAGACTGTCTAGAAATTCTGCTTGTATTCCTCAAATGGGCAGGCACCTTCCATCAACTGGATGAAGAAGTCGGATCCAAGATGGACGTTAGGAATTTGGCGACTGTTATTGCGCCCAATATTTTGATGAACCCTGCCAAAACACTTGCCATGGATAGCGAGACTATCTACGTCATTGACGCGGTGGAAATTCTCATTGACAATATTGAAGAAATGTGTCAAGTAAGTTTTTTTTCTCACAACAGAAAAATAATAATTTTTTTTTGCTCAACTGTTGTTCTTGATTGTTATTCAACGATGCTAATGAGCGATCTTTAGGTTCCGGATGAGATTCTTACACTGCTCAACGACCCCTATCTTTTCAGCAACAACGGCGAGATTTCAACCAAGGAGATTATGAAACGATACCAAGACCTTAGAGGGCAAGGCCCTGCTGAGCCTAGCGAAATCTACAACCGACAGGAAAGCTCGACTCGCTCGCCACCCAAGCGAGTCGAAACAGATCCCTCTCTCTTGCAAAGCGAGAGATCAGTGCGACCGATGCAAGACAATGTCCCTGCACCCTATTCGAACGCGGCTTCACCGGTACCTCCGCCACGGTTCAGACCCCCGGAAGACCAGCCCTCTCCCTATGATGCTAGTCAAATGGATCATCCTGATCCTCGTTCAGAGAACACTGAGCATAGTAAACGGGGAGAGTGGCGGAATTCTGGCGTTTGGGGCCGTCAAGGCGGCGGGGTAGGTGTTGGCGAACCGTTTTGATATTCTGGTTAACTGTTTGAGCTTTTCTACTGATTTGGCAAGAAGCTGGGGAAGATCTGTATGGTATGTCTCTTTTTTGTTGTTGTTTCCTTATATAGGAAGCGTGGCCCGGAAACAGTGTTTTTGTAGCATTTCTCCAGGCGTTTGTCGATTACCTTTGTCCATCTTCACTGCAAACAGTTAAGACCGAACTTTCTTACTCTGATGTTCGATACGACAATCCTGGCGATGCTATGTCTTTCGTTAGTCTTACTTTTTTTTTTCTCTGTTTGTCTTTCTCCCCAATTTCTACGTTTCTCTGTTTCTCCTTCTTTGCTTCTCTGTTATCATATTCCTTCCAAGTCGTTCCTATGACCTACATGTATAGAGAAGCTGTATCGCAAAGATAGGTGTTTTTACTTGTCATAACAGAGTGACTGGATGAAAAGAAAAAAGTCGCTGCAAAGAAGGAGGATATTCTTTTGTTTCTTGGCCCAAAATATTTTTCTTCCAACCTTTTTTTCCTTTCAAAAAAGACGGTCCTGGTTGGCATTTTAAAAACAGAAAAGTTGATTTTTTTTTTTGGAATGAGCGAAAGTTGGATGTGGATGTGGAATGTGGTTTGGTAGTAGTTTTTTTTTTTTTTTTTTTTTTTAGCAAACGCAGCAACAGCATCTGTGTGCGAGCGAGCGAGCGAGCCTCCGCCCTTTGCAAAATGCTTAGTACTTTATGGTGGTTGTTTTTTTAGTGGTTGTATGGAATAAGAAAGTCAGAGAGACGAAATGTCCGCTATTTTTTGTTCGAGTATCCCTTTTTTATGTCACAATCTCCTTTTTTGTCCTACTCTTCGTGTTGCAAGAGGGGATCATAGCCTTGAATACTTTTTTGTCGATGACACCTGTGTCTTTAACGGAAGGCAGACAAACTCTTTGGTATCTAGACGAAGGAAAAGCTAGAAAGAGCTATGACAGAAATGAAAAGAGAGAATGATAAAGAAAGGAGGTTGATTGCATCCACACTTTGGAATTTTGTTCCTTTATTATGAGGGTGAGCAAAGGGAAGAGATTGACGATTGTAAAAAGAAATCTATACATTCTTTTATAAGATTGTGGATTGTGGATTGTGGATTTTCGCTCTCTTTTCTTTCCATTGTATCTTGTTTAAAATTTCGGTGACTTGTGGAGAAGGAGAGAGGAGACTTGGATATTCGTGTATTAGACGGGGAGAGGCTTTGTTCTCTCATCCTCTCCTGCAAAAGCAAAGAGACAGAAATGGAGCGTTAGGACGGAACGATATGGAAGAATTCGTAAGAGAAGGCTTTGCTGTCTTTCTCACTTGCTTTGATTTCCCTTTGAAATTTGTCTATGTCGTGAAATATGTTCAGCTAACAACTCCTTTTATGTGGACTTTGCTCAAATTGAGAAATACAGAGTTGAAATTAATCTTCTTTTTCATTAGATAGATACGTATTAAATAATTACTTGTATGCTTCTATATGAACATACATGAATGGCTTATGTAAACATGCTGTATGTGCATTTAGATCATGACACTTATCAACGACATCGATGGGTATATGATACTTTGCAGATGCCTTTTGACATTTCCGTCTTTCTTTTCCATCACCCCTTAGTCAACGACTTCCCTTTTTTTTCCAAAAAGCTAAGAACAAACCGGTTCTGTCCAATCACTGCGCTTTGGCATCCTTCTTATCCTGCTCCAGAAACCAGCCAACACCCCTGTCAACTCCCTCCTGAAGCGTCCACAAAGGCTCATACCGCAGCACACGCTTGGCCTTGCTGATGTTGTAGTACCGCGTCATGGTAGACACGACAGCCCTCAGCTTCGTGAAAGTGGGAGGCTTGTTGATGATGCCAAAGAAGACCTCGCTCAGCGAGCCGAGGACAATACTCCAGCCCTGTGAAATCTGCCAGACTCCCTCGGTGCCCTTGTCGTTGCCCGCAGCCTTCCAGACGGCGCGGGCGAAATCCCAAAAATAAACGGGCGAGTCATTGGTGATGAAGAAGACTTCTCCGTCGACGCGCTCGTAGCTCAGGGGAATGATGCTGCTAGCGGCCGTGGCGAGCAGAAGATGGGCGGCGAGGAGATGGGCGTGGGCGACGTTGCCGACGTAGGTGAAGTCGAAGATGTTTGTGTTGTCGCCGAGCTGGACGTTGGACTTGCCGTTCTTGTAGGCTCTGAGGAAGCCGGCGAGGGTCTGGACGTCGCCCTCGCCGAAGATGCCTGCGGGGCGGATGGAGGTGGTGAGGAGCTTGGAGGACTCTTGGCGGTTGGCCTTGATGACGAGTTCTTCGGCAGCAGCCTGGTAAGAGAAATTGGTTAGTTGTCCATCAACACATAATGGTCAAAATGGGAGATTTGCGCACCTTGGTCTCGGAGTAGTACTCCTTCTGCTGAACGCCCCGAATGACGGGATAGTCCTCGTCCGCGTTGAACAGGTCGGTCTCGTTGTCGCTGATGACGCTGGCCGAGCTGGTGTACACAAGGGCCTTGACGCCCGACTTCTGGCAGGCCTCGATGACGGCCTTTGTGCCGCCGACATTGACCTTGCGGAAGAGCTCATGAGCCGTCTTGCCCTCGCCGCTGATGACGGGCGACGCGGTGTGGATGACGACGTCGGGCTTGATCGTTTGCAGCAGCTCGGTCAGCTTGGCGGTGTCGGTGATGTCGCACTCATGGTAGGCGGCCTTGTCGTTGACGTTGCGCGAGCATCGCAGGTCGATGGAGGTGACGGACTTGCAGTTCCACGAGTCCAGCGCCTGGTTGACGATGTGGTGGCCCAGGAAGCCGTTGCCGCCGATCACAAGGACGTTGCCGAGGTCTCCTCTCGGTGCACTGGCCATTGTTGCGGGTGGTTGTGTGTAGAGAGAAGATTGATTGGGGAGAGGTAGGGAGGTGTAAATGAGGCGATGGAGGATGGCCAACACCACTTGATAAGTGGTCAATTCGATACACGTATTAGTGTAAGCGCTGTGGTAGCACCGAAATGCGGCCACTAATGGGTTGGTGCAGTGGTCTTTTAGCGGGACAGGGGAGAAGCCTAGCGAGTACTGTGTAATTTACACCCAGCTCGCTCTTGGACTTCATCTTCACTTCATCTTCATCTTCTCTACATACTTGTTCAAATCCTGGGTAAAAGGGCAACGACCTACCACCTTCACTAGGAATCTAGGCATCTTTGCGCCATTCCACAGACAGCAGCACGCAGCTTGTTTACTCCTACTGCAGCTACTAGCCAGGATCTCGTTCTAGAAGCGACAGGCGGGACTACCGTAGACCTGCAACATGTATAAATGATCCACCATCGTGCTTCGTCCGCATCATCCAGCACTCGCTCTTCTACTATCTCCCACTACACGCAGCGATTATTTGACAAACGCGAGCAATAATCTCCTTTGCCATGTCGCCATGACCTGCTCTGCAGCTCCACAACGAGTACTCGACACCCAATGGCAGCCCGACAGAGTCAGACCCCGGATGTCGAGATCTTAGTTCACGTTACGGCGCCAAGCAGGACAGCAGACGATGCCGCATACAGGCAACTCGCACAGTCGTATCTCTCTTTTCAGCCCCATCGCCATATAACCGTCTCAACAGCTCCCTCTCTGGAGCCTCAGCTTGAAAGAGGACAACATGCCACACAAGATGGAGCTCCTACGACTACAGGCTTCGCAGCAGTGCCTTCGGGGCAGCCATGGGTCCCGGAATCTCAAGATCTAAGCTTTCGGAGCGTCTACGATAACCGCTATTCACCCCCGTTGCAAGAGAAGGGCAATCCGGCAGACACATCCTTGCCGGGAGGTAACGACGAGGGGTTTCTCTCCACTCAGCTCGCAACTCAGCACACATCTTCATGGCAGGCTCCCCCAAGCCAGATCAGTGATTCTTACCCCTTGCCAGACGCTGAGATACGCCACACCACGCCGACAAGAGTTCTAGAGCACTATCTGAGAAGCCTGCCTTCGTCCTCGCGGCCGAGGCATTCGTCAGCGGATCGCTCAGACTCGTCAGTTGATGTTTATGAAGTGAATATCCCGTCGTCTATTCCGATTCCTCCTGACATGGACGAAGCTGCGAGTCAATCGCTTGGATACAAAGACGCTGCCAAGACCGTTCTCATCACACCTCGAGTACCTGGCGCTCTGACGCGGATGCAAGATGAACCATCAGCAACTGTAGTTGACGAGACTATATATATTTCAAGCAGCGCAATCGACACAGCTTCAGAGGCAACCAATTCATTCAGAGCTGAATCTGCACCACCTCTGTCAAAACGCCACAAGGGACTCACAGATGAAGAAGCCGTGGCCTCGAATCTCCATCGGAGTGTGAGCGACATCGGACCAACAGGGAAGAAACAACCAACAGCGTCTTCATCAATTGTAGTCACAGATCCAGACGACTTGGAGATCAGGCCACCATCTCCACCTACTGGAATCGTGCATCTCGAACCCTCAGATTTGGTCTCCGACAAGCTAGACAAACTGGCGCGAGATCTATCATCACGATACCGCCCTAAAGAGAACCGTCCAACTGATCCCTTTGAGCGAGGCTATTGGTTCGTCGATTGTGCCACTTGGTCTCAAGACACTTACAGCGAAGCCTGGACCTTTCTGGCCAATTACCTTCGCAGTGGTCTGGCTGGCTGGGGCGTATGGTGTCGCCGAGACGAATCGCACGGCTGGATCCGTCTCTACTGCTGGGCGCACGTTGCCAAGCATGCGTATCTGCTGCTGTATCTTGCGAGCGGCAGGCATTTGAAAGCAACTGGTGCAAAATGGATGGATGGCGATGGGGAAGTTGCTATAGAAGTGCCTCCCGCGGAGAAACAGTAAGAGTGTAGTTCTGCTACTCGTTAAGCAAACTGGCTGAAACTGCTATAATATAATATCCTTTCAAAGGTTGGGACCTGCAATCGCAGCTATTGGCTGATAGAAAGCATTGGCATGTTTCACGAGATTGGCGTTGGGGAGCTCTCATATTTACTGCACTTGCTACCTAGGCATCGTTTCAAGGGAAAGTGGTGTTTAACGTAATACAATAATAGATGTATCGTTACGCAGCATTAGTCCGCAGCAAAAGGCACAGCACTAAAGATCAAGTAGAAAGTATCAAAGGAAACCAACCGACGTTTTATTTTCTACGCTTTCGTCCTTCCATTGTCCTTCCCATTTCCTATCACCAGCCCAAAACCAAGAGACAGATACGCAATAAAAAATACAAGACAAGTGACATGGCCCAAAAGAGGAAAAGAAAAGTAGCTCCTCTACTCGCTTATAACATACAATATCGTCAGCATCCACTACCAGACACCTATCTTACTCCTTGCCTGCGGCAAGCTTCTCCTTCCAGTACTTGGCGCCTTTCTCTCGTAGCTCCTTCAGCTGCGCTCCTGATGACTCGCCAAGGTCAGCAGCCTTTTTCAGGTAAGGGGCCTTCTCTTCGTTATTCAAAGTCTTCCAGCGTTCGCTGAGACTGCGCATGGCATCTTTAGGCGAGCCATCGTTCTCACTGAAGTGCTCCTTGATGAAAAATGTGAAGCCGGATCCAGTGCGCTGAGGAATGCGCTCGTCGTGAATGAGGTAGACCTTGGACTTGTCTGTTTTGCGAGCCAGGCGACGACGGGCGAGGTTGGCAGCGTGGATTGCCTCGGGAGGGTAAGACTCAATCCACTTCTTCTTCGCCTCTTGATTGGCAATCCTGTTAGATTGTCCGACCGCTGCCATGCGCTGAAAAACACGAGAAAAGTAAGTCTCATAACCAATCGAATCAAGGGAGGGTTCAATTCAGCCTACCTCTTTCTCAGACTCGGGCAGATTCTTGAAGCTAGTAGCAAGGGCCCTGACCTTGTCCACGAGATTACCTTCTCCAGCACGGATGTTGTCAATCATAAACACGCTCCATGCCGTCTCCGGAAGCAAAGTCGGTCCCTTCAGCAGCGCCATCTGTCGCAGCCTCCTAACCTCGAGCCTGTCCTTCTGCTCGTCTGTCAACACCTTCTTCTTGACAGCCTTCTTTGGCTTCTTGACCGCGACCTTCTTCTTGACAGCCTTCTTCTTGACCGGCTTCTTAGCCTTGGGCTTTGCTGTCTTTTTGGTGGCCGGCTTCTTGGTGGAGCTCTTTGTTGACTTGGACTTGGTCGCCTTCGTTGCAGCCGCGCGCAGGGGCGCTGAGGTGCTGATTAGCCGCAAAGAGGGCGCGGCAGGACGCAGAACGAGTGCGCGAGCTGCAAGGACGACGGATTGGCGCAATGGAGCTGCTGCGCCGGTGCTGGTGAGCACGCGACGAGTGGCCGCGAGAGCAGCCGATGACAGCATCTTGAAAGGATCGGACGGAGCTTCGACAGAACAAAAAAGGCGATAAGCACCGGATGTGGAAAGAAGATGGAAACTGCAATTGCAGGGCAGGTCGTTCGAGGCGCTAATAGTAGGAGAGAAGGAAAAATCAATCAAATCTTGATCTTCGACTGTTTTTTGTTCCCTCCCTATAATTGGATTGGTGTTGTTGGAATGACGAGGGTTAACGAACGGGAGGGGCAGCTTAAGAAACGGCTGTTGCTGGCACTAAAATCGAGAAGCTGCAACCAGCTGTTGTGCTTGGGACTAGCTCCGGTAGCTGCTTCCATGCTGCAGCTTCGGCGATCAGAAGGCCGAGGTCCTGCACGTGACTCATTGCTTTGAATGTGGGGTTGAGATTTTGCTTACAACGTTTTGTTACACATCTGCATTGCTATGTGAATCATTAAATGTATTTATATAGCACCTAATGATAAGTTATCAAATGCGAGTACTTTACTGCAGATGTGCTTTTAGAATAAAGTAATAAATGTTTGTAGACAAAATATCTTCTCTTTTTGAAGTTCTGAGGAGACGCCTCATGACTATTTTCCCCTTCTTCCTACGCCTTTCTCTTATCCATCCGTCCGTCCGTCCGTCCAGTATCCGACCTTCTCTCTTTTTTAACCCAACGGCTCATTATGTGATATTACAAGACAAAGAAATAGGCCACAAGTACACAAATAAATGATAAACGCCAGTTTACTTCTCTGGCCCCCTACCTATGCAGAAACGCCGAGAGAATGTAAAGGGTATATAATTTACAAGGGCTTGCCGCCAATGAAGTTGGACCAAGCCCGGACTTCCGAGGGAATACCTTCAGGGCGAGGGAGTTTCTCGCTCATGCATTGAGCAAAGAGGATAGCGGTCTATTAAAACAGTTAGAACAGGCGCTATCAGCTTTTAGACAGGGGTTATAAAGTTAAGCTTACCTGAGGCTCCATGAACAGGGGCACGCCAAAGTCGACGGCATTTCGGCGCATGACATAGTCAACATCTGAGGTGGTCTTGCCACGAGCGAGAGCCAAGTTGAAAACTCCGCGAATGTCGTACTTCTGGAAGACTTCACGAAGGGCACGCTTGTCATCTGTGGGGAACTCAATGACTTCGACATCGACCTTGTGTTTTGAGCTGGTCTCGATGAAGTTCTTGACGTCGTTGCCGGCGGCATACAGCTTGTACCCAAGGGGAGCAAGATAGTCGACGACCTGAGTTAACCAAGTCTTGCTAACCTCACCACCGAACAGCAGACCCTCACCTGGCTCAGGCATGCGGAAGTTCATCATTGACTGAAGCGAAGTCCAGTAAGCCTCAACGAGATCCTTTCCGAAGCAGGCCATTTCACCAGTAGAAGACATCTCAACGCCCAAGAAGGGGTCTGCACCAGCGAGACGAGTCCAAGAAAATTGGGGCACCTTGGTAGCAACGTAATCACGCTTGACAGTCATGAGATCAGTGGCCTCAGGGACGTTCTTGCCAACAAGAGCCTTGGCGGCGACATCGATGAAGTTGGTTCCAAGCACCTTGCTGACAAAGGGGAACGATCGAGAAGCGCGGAGATTGCACTCGATAACCTTAAGCAGGGACTCGCCACCCTCAGGGTTCTCAGCCTTGATGATTTGCATGTTGAAGGGACCAGTGATCTTCCATGCCTTGGCAACCTTCTGGGCAATCTCCTTGAGGCGCTCCATGGTGCTGGAATCGAGGTTGACGGGTGGGAGAACAAGGGTGGCGTCACCAGAGTGAACACCAGCCTGCTCAACGTGCTCACTAACGGCATGGAGAATCAAGTTACCCTGAGAGGCCACGCCATCAACATCAATCTCTTCGGCACCCTCGATGAACTTGGTGATAACAACGGGGTGGTCAGGTGAAACATTGGCTGCGGCTTCAAGCTTGTCCTTGAGGTCTTCTTGGCTGCGGATAACGGTCATGGCAGCTCCAGACAGGACGTAACTGGGACGAACCAGAACGGGGTATCCCACTTGATCAGCGAAGTCCTCAGCCTCCTTAACGGAGGTGAGCTCCTTCCAAGCGGGCTGATCAACGCCAATGCTGTCGAGGATCTCAGAGAATTTTTGACGATCCTCAGCCTTGTCAATGTCCTTGGGGTCAGTTCCGAGAACGTTGGCGCCGCCAGTTTCCTGAAGGCGGAGAGCAATGTTCTGCGGCAGTTGGCCACCAACAGAGACAACGACGCCGGAAGAGTTCTCCAGCTCGTAGATATCCATGACACGCTCATAGCTCAGTTCCTCGAAATAGAGCCTGTCAGCCTCGTCATAATCAGTGCTCATGGTCTCAGGGTTGTAGTTAATCATCACGGTCTTCTCGCCCATCTGTCTGAGAGCCTGAGTGGCGCTGACAGCACACCAGTCAAATTCAACGGAGCTACCGATACGGTAGACACCGCTACCAAGGATAATCTTTCCCTTGTCGTCGAAGGTAACATCGTGAGATGAACCGTTGTAAGTAGTGTACAGATAGTTGGTATCAGCAGGGAATTCGGCAGCGAGGGTATCAATCTTCTTCACCCATGGACGGATGTCAAAGCTGAGACGGCGGGCTCGGACCTCATCTTCAGTGCTTTTAACGGCATTTGCGATTTGTCGATCAGAGAATCCCAGCTTCTTTGCCTTGATGATTTGATCCTTCTGCAGGGCTTCAAGGCCACCAGCAGCTTCCATTTCGCGAGTGCAGTCGACAAGGTTCTGAAGCTTGTACAAGAACCACTTGTCAATCTTGGTCAACTCATGAACCCTCTCAACAGAGTAGTTTTCGTGAAGCATAGCTTGTCCAACAGCGAGCCATCGGCGATCGGTAGGGTTCTGGAGTTCAAAGTCCAAGTCGTCAAACTTGTCACCCTGGAAGCCAACAAACTTGGGGTCAACCTGACGAATAGCCTTTTGGAAAGATTCCTCAAAGGTTCGGCCGATAGCCATAACTTCACCAACCGACTTCATAGCACTTCCGATATCACGCTTCACGTGCTGGAACTTGGACAGATCCCATCGAGGGATCTTGGTGACGATGTAGTCCAGTGAAGGCTCGAAGTTGGCCGTGGTAGTCTTGGTGACAGCGTTAGGAAGCTCGGGAAGGCTGTGTCCCAACCCAATCTTGGCAGCGGTATAAGCGAGAGGGTATCCGGTAGCCTTCGAAGCAAGCGCAGAAGATCGCGAAAGACGAGCGTTGACTTCGATAACTCGGTAGTCGAGACCATCAGGCTGTAGGGCATACTGAACGTTGCACTCTCCCACAACACCCAAGTGACGGACAATCTTGATGGCAGCAGTTCGAAGCATGTGATACTCTTCATCGCTGAGAGTTTGACTAGGTGCAACGACAATAGAGTCACCGGTGTGGATTCCAAGGGGGTCGAAGTTCTCCATGTTGCACACAGTGATACAGTTGTTGTTGGCATCTCGGACGACTTCATATTCGACTTCCTTCCAGCCTTTGAGCGACTTCTCGACCAAAATCTGAGGGGAAAGAGTGAGGGATCGAGCGGCCATATTGCGGAGCTCTTCCTCGTTGTTGGCGAAACCTGAGCCAAGACCACCGAGTGCATAAGCAGCGCGAACAATGATGGGGTATCCAATCTTGTCGGCAGCGTCGAGGGCCTCGTCTACAGTACCAACGGCAATAGACTTGGCGATAGGAATGTTGATCTCCTCGAGTGCCTTGGCGAAGAGGTCTCGGTCCTCACTGAGCTCCAGAGTCCTTACGCTAGTTCCCAAAACCTTGACGCCGTACTTCTCAAACAGGCCCTGTCGCTGCATCTGAACACCCAGATTCAGTGCAGTCTGGCCACCGAAGGAGAGAAGGATGCCATCGGGCTTCTCCTTTTCGATAACATAGCTGACATACTCGGGCGTCACGGGCAGATAATAGACTTCGTCGGCAAGAGTGTGATTGGTTTGAATTGTAGCAATGTTAGGGTTAATGAGGACAGAGGCGACACCAGCCTCCTTGAGAGCTTTCAAGGCTTGCGCTCCTGTGAGGCAATGTGTTAGTCGGCACGCACTACCAAGTCTGCGGACATTTGCTTCATATGTCACTTGGACGAATACGACTCATAAAAAAGCCCGCATATATGCAAAATTTAAGAGTAGCCGAAGGAAGAGGTCTTACCGGAGTAATCGAATTCACCAGCCTGTCCAATGGCTAGACCACCACTGCCAATGACGAGAACCTTCTTGACATCGACATTTTGCTTTGGCTTGATAACCCCGCTATCAAGGTAGGCCTTGGGATTGGGGGCAGACTGAGCAGTTGCTGAATATTGGCGAACTGAAATTGTGCCCAGTCGCTTAGGGATATTTGACTGAAGCGAGGCTCTGGCCTGAGTCCTGAGAGCTGCTGTGGTGAAAAGGCGGGTTGGGAGAGTTCGAGGGAGGCGGGTGCTGTTTCGGAGCAGAACCGGAGCTCGAGCAGCAGCTAGCGCCGCGGAAGAGAATGTCGCAGGCATTGTGGTTAGAGGCTCAATGCTGCAGTTGCACCGTCCTTTGATATTGTTTGTTTTATTTCACAGGTGGAAGAAGCAGTAATCGATTTTTGGGGGAGCTGTTTCAAGCTGACAAGGCCCTCCACAGGTGGTCTGTATGAAGCTTGTTAGATGGCATCATGAGGGGTGAGTCACGGTAACACAAACCAGAAAGATAGTCCTGTAGAAACAATAAACGTTAGCGTTTCTATTAAAGATAGATTGAAACGAGCAACGGTTTGGTTAAGCAGACAAGTGACGATTGATTTCACTGGCCACGTGCAGTCATGTTAAAGAAGAAAAACAAGCCACATACCTGAGAAGTGAATTCCGACGAGCGGCCGTTCATAAAGGCGGATTAGGAAACGGCACGTCAAAGATGAAAAAGCGAGGCGCAAGGCACTCTAAAGTATTGAGACAAGATTAATTGAGCTGAATGCGTGATGCACAAGGTGCAATTGGACTGGTGATTCTTCTGACTGGTGAAGAGGAGAAGAGAGGAAAGGGAAAGAGGGAGAAAAAACTTACAGATGGTGGGGTTTAAAGGGTTGCGCAGTCTTTCCAGAATCGGCAGCAAAAAAGAGCAGCGGTCGCCGATTCTGGAGGCACGGACGAGTCACCGATTAGATAAGGATCGATGCTATTTCTCTTATTTTGGGTGAGAGATAAACCACCAGATCCAATTCAAGATTGACGCGCCCCATTCGAATATTGATCAAGAGAAAAATTTCCGCACTAGGAGGGGGTGAAATGACGTTGTGGGGATGCCCCAGGAGAGATTGTCAAGCCCAATCAGCGAATTGGCTTTTGGCTTGTCAGTCACTCTAGTAATGATTATTACTGGCAGGTTGGACGGCATGGCATGGCACCTATCAAGATGAGCTAAAATAGAAGAAGCTAAACTAGCACGGCTCCAATACTATTCGTTGGCTGCACGAGCCAGCCTCAAGCCAGTTGGGAAGTCTTGTAGCCCTAGGCCGCACATCTCAGTAGGCCAATTGAGAGATATCTCGATTAGCTGGATGTGGAGGATTCAACCAGCACAATCCCTTCTCTACAGTATACCGCACTCAGACTTGCAGCCCAGATCCTGGCTCACTAGCCCACAGTAGAGTCGGAATCTGGCGTCCCATCGAATGCATCCTGGCTCTATGGTACTGAAGTGGTGACGGCACGGACCATCGCCCTGCCGCCGCCCCCATGCTCGATTGTTTGCCCTTTGGCGCTTTTCCCTCTAGCTCCGGTATCGCAATTGGATCTTGGATGGCCAGAGTCTCTAACTTAGAGATGACTCGGGTACGGAGCCAAATAAGCTCTGTTGAATCTCAATATCCTGAGGAGTAATTTCGGATTCTCGTCAAGTGAACTCCCTATCTGGATGTACCCCCACAGCACGACTAGTTGGAAAACAACGCTGTCCTATCCATTTCTTAGGAACCAAAGAAGCCCCAACTTGAGGGGCCAGATACCGTGAGGAATCCTGTAGGCAATATTGCTTCTAGTAGCTGCTCTTCTACTAGCCTCAAGGCTGCTGATACGATAAGAGCTTACACTATAGGTAAGTGAAGCAGAGTGCATAGTAAGAATACCCAGCTGTAGAACAGATTCTGTGTCTTTAAAGCTGCTGTCTCATTAGGACTGGCTAAGGTGGGCTTTAATGCAAAAGAAAGGTTCACTGCTAGATAGCTTGGGATAGACAGTAAGTGGCGCTGTAAGTTTTACACCTTTGCTTTACAGTGCGGCTAGGTTCTGATATGAATAGATGCGAATAGATGCACAGATATACAATTGGGTATAAACAGCTACTATAAAAAGTGTCAAGCCTCAATCGTGTAGATAGACGTAGATTGGTGCTCTAACTATTCAATTGTATATGTATATACATTTCGCGACATATACAACTCGACTTATAACTCTCTTGTCCTAGAATCTCTTTTAGTGTCAGCGACGACTCTGACACGTACTAGCTTCGCGTGATACATGTCTTAATCATATTACAAGAGGTACATATGTATACCTGATGCGAGATAGTGGCTGACAGAGCATTCGGCCCCTGGGCTATCCATAAGTTTTCTATGCTTTGTTGGCGTATTTCGATAATGTACCTAGTCCACCGAATACCGTCGCCTTATTCTAATCTTGTGTTCGGCTTCTGACATGGGTACCTATGTATGGATGCTTCAACTGCCTTTATCCTAATTACAGGTACGGGACTGAAACCAGAGCCATGCATATCTGTTGGTCCTCAGCAGCAAAGGAGAGATGAGGTAATATAATTTTGATATTTTTTTCTGAGTTATTACCGCATCAGCTTACAACTATTAACTGACGCAGAATCGGCTAAAAGAACAATTATTATACTGTGCTTTTGTCTGCATCTTTAGTAAGGCGCAGCCAAAGCTCGTCTCTCCTGATATTTTGGGGGTACCTCGACTATGTCGACAATATGGAAAGAAAAAAGAGAAAAGTTTTTGCAGATTTGGCTCATAGGAAAGTGCGATTGAGAGCGCTTGCTTGCAATATTAAATCCTGTCTGTTGAGTTGATGAGATGTGAGAATTGGGAATCCGAGGCCTTTCGTCAGAGGCTGTATCTCATCCAAAGTTAAAATGACGTGTGTTGAGTAAACAACGAAACGGGGAGAGGGCTCAGATTTGAGTATGGTTGATAGAAGATTTGAGGGGCCACGAAATATCTGGCCAGGGCTCATTCTCTCAGCTGGCACCGGTTTAATTGGCCTTGCTATTCTTTGATGCGGCTTCGAACTTGGCAATCTCCTTCACTACAGCTTTCTCGACACGAGCCTGAAGCTCTCGTCGGTACCCCAGCTTGAAGAGCATCTCTAGCCAGACAAACATGGGCGCCAGGAAGATGGCTTGGACGAGGTTGTCCATCAGAGCAGGGGCCCGACCCTCAAAAGCTCCATGGCCAATGAACTGCGCGATCCAGCAAACGATGTGAACTCCCAGAGCGACCTGGAAGGTCAAGTTGGGATCACGAAGGTGCCATGAGTTGACGAATGCTGTGCTACCGAGACAGAAAGCAGCCAGAACAAAGCCCGCTACCGGCTCTAACAGCAGATACAGCGCTGCGTAGAGGAAAGCTCCGATGGTGCCCAGATTGAGATCCAGATATGGGACGGTTGCCCAGCTGGGCGTGTGAACGATTGTACCCGTATACGTGGCCTGTTGCACAGAGTAAAAAAGGGGCGTAAGGATACTGCTTTAGGTGACATCGTCGAGTTGACAGGGGGTTGATGGACATACCAACGCAAATCCTGATACGAGCAGCAGAGGCACGCAGATCATATGAATGGCCACATTGACGCTGTTATGATGGTATGCGCCATACTGAGAGCGAAATTCATTTGTCAGTAGGCAAACGAAATAATCATGAGATGATCGAACATGTGCTCACAAACGTCAAGTGCTTTTCCAAGTCCAGCGACATTCTTTCGGGGTTGGCTGAGGGTACGGAGGCAGCGAAAGAAGTGCTCAACAAAATGTGATAGAAAGGTACCGCTGCGTCCGAAGAATTGGCGCGACCGGCTGGCACGTGAGACGAGATGATCGGACGCAGTCGAACAACTCAGAGAGACCGCAAGCAGCAAAACGCAGGACGCGACTCGGAGAGCAGAGAAGCTGGCGCAGGGTAGAGCAGAGTGGCTTGTCGAGGGTGAAGCATCGAATGAGTTTTGTCCGGCATGAGGCAAGAAGAGGATGTTGAAGCGAAATGGCCCAAGTCAGGAGGTTCGAGGCGCTGAGAGCTCTGCGTCCCCCACTGAAGGCTGCTGTGGATGGCTCAGAATGGTGGGGATTTGGGAGCCTCGGACCATCTCAGCGCGCCTTGTGCTCAGCCTCCCTCCACTGTAACAGCCATAAGCCGCCGTTGACAGGCAAAACGCATGCATAACCGAGCGTCTGGTAAGCCGGAACTGCAAGGGATCGAGAGGAAAAGGAGACGGCAGTGAGCATCGAGCTCCAGAGGTCCAGCAAGGTAGGTGAGCAGCTCCAACAGCGGACTCCGCCAGGTACCCGTGCTGCTGCCGACACTACTAGCGTACAGAGGTACCTTGGAAGGCTGAAGATGCGCATGAGGCAGCATTAGCAGTGTTTTTAGACAAGATGAATCGCCGCTAGGTCGGATATCGAGGTGGTCATTACAACTGCGGCTGATGATTGATTACACGTATGATATATAGACACTACGAGTTATATTAAGCTTGAAAAGCAATTCATCGCGGGTGGTACGACAGATGCTATAGAGGTGTGCCTGTCAAACAGCACACTCTGCCTCTCCTGGCTTCCTTCGCCCTCCTTATGCATGCTCTTTGCCTTTGTACATGCAAAAAGCTGCACGAAGGGCAAAAAGGCATGTGATAGACGCTTCTAATGCGGAGTAATGAGACTCTTACCCCAACCGTTCCATACAGCGCCGTGCATCTTCTGCTCGTCCAATGCTGCGGCGAGCACCAAAAAGCTTGTACCCAATAAGCTCAAATCTGGCGATTGGCTGCTGCGCTGGCCCCTACGGCGGTCTGGGCATAGCGCACAGACCATATGAGCTTTAGCGCCGGCTGCGCAATCCCCAAAGATTTCAAGTCGCCAAACCATCGCAGCCTCGTCGCGCTCCAGCATCCTCCCCATCTCCACCAACTTCACCAGCCGAGGAGCCAGCAACGCACACTCGAAAGCGCAGAGTTTCAGCTGTGCGTGCTGCGTCTGCTTCAAAGGCTTTGTCTCCTCCTCTTTCTCGTCTCCGCCTCGTCGCCCTCGTCGCCGCCCCCGCCGGGCTTCTCCTCGATTTCCCCTTCTTTCCACCGATTTCGATTCGCCTTCCATTACGTTGCCTGGTCGATCGTCAATTGGATATCATCCAGCGCTCGTGCGCTTCTAGGACTCGAACCATTTGGTAAACGGGACTTCGATACGCCTTCATATGGGAAATTGAAGGGGCTTCTCTGGAAGGCTCACCCATCGCTTTTCTCCCAGCTCGCAAACGCCGTCATTCTGTCAACCATTGACGTTTTCATCACGCATCTCTGTCAGACCGCCCATCATGTTTTTCCTATACAACATGGAGCGGAGGGTCACCCTGCATCCGTCCTACTTTGGCCGTAATATGCACGACCTTGTGACCAGCAAGCTGCTGAAAGACGTCGAAGGTACCTGCGCCGGCAGCTACTACATCATCTCTATCATGGACACCTTCGACATTTCCGAAGGCCGGATCTTACCGAGCAATGGTCTCGCAGAGTTTACTGTTGGATATCGCGCGGTCGTATGGCGGCCATTCAAAGGAGAGACGGTAAGGCGAAACCTGCGCCCTTTGAGGCAAGCAGTTGTCTAACCCTGATCAGGTTGATGCCGTTGTCTACTCCATCAATCCACAGGGTTTCTTCGCCCAAGCTGGTCCCCTCAGGCTGTTTGTGTCTGCTCATGTGCGTCTTCCCCCAGGTTATGCCATGTAGTTGGTAGAATCGCGCTGATTCACAGTATCACAGCTGATACCCAGCGACATCAAATGGGACCCCAACGCGACACCTCCACAGTTTACTAACAACGAAGACACCGTCATCGAGCCGGGTACACATGTGCGTGTCAAGATTATCGGTACCCGAACAGAAGTCGGCGAAATGTGGGCTATCGGAAGCATCAAAGAGGATTATCTTGGGTATGATGGACAGCTGTTGGATGACGCATGAATATGTCCTTACTGACACCTAATGACAGATGCCTTCAAGATTAATGGATTATAGACATCCATTCATCTCGATACGCTCCCCAAGCTTGAGCACAGCGGATGCTTTCCCGCTCCTATGATCTCTGAGCAAAATCACTAAAGATTAGCTCGCGGCAGGGTCAATGGTCATAGGAAATTAGGCGACTCGTGCACGTGGAATACCGGTACGACACCCTTTTCTTGATATACAAGCGCAAAGAGGGTCCGACGCGCGTGTTCAACGATGCCCTTTTCTTTGCGATAGAGCCACAGACGCAAAACCCTACTTCTCGCAGACTAGATTACAAGACTAGACTGAACTATAACCAAAGGCTATACTTTTTTTTTCTGGCGCAATAAAATGGCAAAAAAATTCACTTGGAAGCAAATTGACTTTAATATGTACATACCAATGCAATCTAATAGATCAATGCATAAGACTTGTTTCAACTGTTCTGGTTCTTACGTATGTGCATGAAAGCGACGTCTACAACCGCTGACAAGTAGGCTTATCATCATGAGACGCTAACAAAAATCAGCAGCTCTCGAAATAACTTGCCTATTCAGTATAAATCAACACCACTGAAAGGTAAGCAGTTAGCTTCACTGTACAGAGTACCTATTACGGAATATCCTCCACCAGCCTCTTGTTTGGGTCGGAAAGAGTCCGCGTGTAGTATCTTGCGAGTTCCCCACGCGCCCTCCGCCTTGTACTCCCCCGCACTGGCTGCTTCATTTTGGGTCACGTCAGCAGAGACCTCACTGTGTAGATATCATCTTCTTCCGAAACTATTTCCCGAATCATCCTATTATTTGAAACGTCATCTTATCATATACAAACCCTTGAGTCATTCGCTGTGGGAGAGAGAAAAGTTGCGCTCTACCTACTCTGACGAATAGGTGGGTACTGTAGTTGATCCCCTTGATGCACATATAGTCCCAGCCTTCAAATTCTCATTTATATATGCTAATCTCTCATTCTCTGCTCTTTTTGGAGCTGCGGTAGGCATGAACTCTTTCTTCCTAAGAACTGCCACTTCCCGTTTATTACTCCGGCAGAAACCTGTTCTGCAGTATAATCCGTTCAAAATGTCTTACATCGCTGCGGGAGCCACGCCTGGCGGCGCAAAAGCTACTGTGAAAGACGGCAACAGGCTCAAGGCTTTGTTTGATGCAAACAAACCCGCCTTTGGGGGCTGGCAGATGATTCCTGGAGCGGCACCGGCTAGGATACTGGCGCAATCGGGCGTGGACTGGGTGCTGGTGGACTGTGAACATGGCAGCTTGGACGGTATGTTATACTGGGACAAACTATGATATTGCATGATAATTTGATGAAAAATGAACTAATGCTTCGGATGTTTGACAGATCATGCTATGCATGAGTCAGTTCCAGCTATTGCGGCGCTGGGAGTATCTCCCATTGTGAGAATTCCGGGAATGGAGCCATGGATGGTCAAGCGTAGGCCACATCTTTCATCTCAAAATATGTCAACGAAGCTGACGTGACAACATTCAGGTGCGTTGGACAGTGGTGCACATGGTGTAAGTATTCCGTATAAGATTCTTCAACTACCGAATTCACCCTTTACAAAGGCGACTTATATGCTGATACAGCCCCCTTATCCTAGATTCTTGTCCCGCTATTGCGTACCGTCAAAGAAGCCGAGGATCTCGTCCAAGCCGCCAAATTCCCACCTGCGGGAAAGCGAGGCTTTGGATCTCCTTATTCTGCTAAACAATTCGGCCCCACCATCTCTTCTCTAGACTATCTTAATGGAGCCAATGAAAATGTCTTGACCATGGTTCAAATTGAGACCAAAGAAGCCCTTGAGGCCGTGGACGAAATTGCTGCTGTCAAGGGAGTTGACGTCCTCTTCGTTGGCCCATTTGATCTCGGTAAGATGTATCCCAAAGGTTTATTACAACGAGCTTCGGCTGTTAACCACAAACGGCAAATTATAGGCATAAATATCGGGCATCGTGTCAGCGAGGCCGGCATTCCCCAAGAGCTCAATGATGCCATCTCAAAGGTCCAGGTCGCCGCTAAGAAAGCTGGAAAGAAAAGTGGCATCTATACCTTCAGCGGTGCCCATGCCAAGCAGTGTCAGCAGCAAGGCTTTGATATGGTCCACGTCGTCACGGATTACATGGGCCTCGAGGATGTAGTCAAGCAGTATCTGACCGCTGCCAAAAACTGAAACGGGCATGTGTGTTGATGATGTTCCTCCATTGACGTGGGCATATAGATTAGAAGGGTAAATTAGATGCCTTCAGCTTGATCCATCTTTGCCTCTACTTGCTCTGTCGTGAAGCGGTGCATTAATTTGATGGCCTTTCCGGTCTTATTAACATCCTCTTCGGCAGCACCTGCTTTGCTAACATGTATCTGTTTAACCCGCATCAGCATAAGGCCGGATTTCTACCGGAAAATACCGGCCAAGAAATGAGCCACATACAACAGGAATATCGAAATCGTACAGATTCTTCCAATGCTTGAATTCTGGCTTTGCCAAGTTCACTTCTGTGTAGTCAAATGGCCGCTTATCCCAGACATCAGAGAGGACCCCTTTAGCTTGCGTGCACAAGCCGCAGTCATCTCGTGAAAATAAAGTAATTCTGCAGGCGTGCAGAAGACGCCTGGTGACAAACATTATTTTCTTCTTCTCCCCAGCTACCAAGCACTATTTGTAGATTTGGCCTCGCTTTTTGTAGCTCGAGATCTCTCTCACATTGGATTTCAAACTATCATCCGATGATGGCTACGGTCTAACTGCATACCCGATAAGCAGGAGCTTTTGAGATCTTGAACCCCGCATCGAATTAGGAAAGCGGTGAGAGAGCAAGAGCAGCTCCGTCATCTTTACAGTTCTAGAAGATCCCATCAGCTACCCACTTCTCCGAACAGCTAAAGCTTTCAATTGCTTCAACAGTTCTTTTATTCTAGGCTGCTCGATTTTCGCCTCTCTTCTCCATCCTAATACCAGCCATTGCATTATATAGTCTACTTCGCCATGGCACAAAAGTGTGTCCGCCAGGGCTGCGGCAAAGAATATACTGACCCAGAAGAGGAGTGTCATTACCACCCTGGTCCACCTGTCTTTCACGAGGGGCAGAAAGGTACGAGAGCTTCTTCTATGTGTTATCGATGAGCATAGTCATTTTTCATACTTTTCGCCCACATAAGACTGTATAATAAACCAATAATCTTATAGGATGGAAGTGCTGCAAGCCGCGAGTATTGACTTTTGACGAATTCATGGAGATTCCTCCTTGTACGACGGGCACACATTCAACCACTGAGAAGCCCCCTCCCGTCGAAGAGAAGCCCCAGATCGACGAAGCCGCCTTGGCAAAGAAGATTGAAGAGGCCAGTGTATCCGCGCCGACTCGATTGCCAATCCAACCAGCACAGCACATTCCCACACCTCCCCCGCCGCCCCCAGAGTCCGAGGATGACGATCCGAGCTTGGACATTCCTGACGGAGCTGAGTGTCGTCGAAAGGGCTGCAGCATCAAATATAAGAAGGGGTCTGCAAGAGAAGGAGAAGAATGCGTGCACCACCCTGGAGTACCCATTTTCCACGAGGGCAGCAAGGGATATTCATGCTGCAAGAGGAGGGTGCTAGAGTTTGACCAATTCATGAAGATTGAGGGTTGTAAAACAAAGGACAAGCATCTATTTGTTGGCAGCGGGGAGAAGGATGCGCCCGAGTCAAGCAGCGAGGAGATTCTGACCACAGTTAGGTGAGTCTCGTATACGCCTTTTGAAAACGCATCAATCAATGCACGACGAGACACCTCGGCTTCTAACAATCTCTTAGGCACGACTTCTACCAGACCCCTACACAGGTCATTGCGTCATACTTCTTGAAGAAGATCAAGAAGGAGATAGCCAAGGTCGAATTCAAGGGAAAAGAACTCGATTTGGATCTTACGACAAGCGACCCCACTCCCAAGCGATATACGGCAACCGTGCCGCTATTTGGCGAAATCGACACAGAAAAATCGTCGTTCAAGATTCTCGGCACGAAGCTGGAGCTTATCCTTGTCAAGGCTGATGGAGCTTCTTGGCCGGTTCTGCGAAGCGATGAGCAGCTGACGGGTGAGATTCTTCAGATAGGCCGGGCTGGCAAAGTATAGGTAAAAGATTGAATTGCCGTCATACAAAGAAAATATCAATAAATTGAAGAGCGTTTGAAATACAGAGATGAAGTGTAGAGACGAGCTTTCCGATATATGCATGTGGTAACGCTAATTAGGCTCAGTTGTAGAATCTTAAATTCGGATACATGCTATTGCAGAGCAGATGATTATATCATTTTGAAATGTCGTCACTTCAGTATGGTAGTCGCATATTCAGTACCTAGGTGTCTATAGGTAAGACTGCGCGTATAAGGCTGTAGAATTAGTCAGAGTAGGACAAAATATGGAAATATTTTAGGATATTACTGTGTGCTAAGATATTCGTAGTCATTCTGGCGGCCTTTCTAGACACCAATGATGCGCTGGAGTGGTTGATGTAATACAGCGGCGATGGAATCCCAGAATTCAAGGCGGTCCTATCTCTCTGCAAACTATGCAAGGAATTAGGGCGTATATGCATATAAAGGGCCCCGTCCCGACTTGAGTCTACATGCCGATTAAAACAAAGTTCACAACACTAAACAACCAGAGCAGCGACACCAAGATATGCAATTCATTCACGCCATTTTCTTCATCATACTGCTTGGTTTCCGGGCCCATGCTACGTCCGCAGTCAGCAGAACACTGACTCTCTGGGCCTGGGGAGACTGCACCGGCAATGCTGCCTTCTGCCACAACATAGTCCCAGGCGCTTGCTGCCACGGCGAACATCTGATAGCCGGGTTTACTTGCGAGGATTGCGTCAAGGAAGACATCGTTGCCGGCCGCGAAGAGGAAGACGGGATGTGCGGAGCAGACTTCGTCACCGTAAGAGGCTGGGTTTGCGCCAGGTCCCAGAAAAGGCTGTACGGCAGCAGCTGGCACTATGATTCGCAGAAGGACGCCATTACGGCGAAACCACCGGCTTGCACTCGAAGCGTGCGTGCGGACGTTATGAAGATTGGGGGAAAATGGTTTTACTTGACGGACGATATGCCTGAGGATGATGTGAAGGCGCTTTGGGATATATGGGGCCGGTATTCTTTGGTAGAGATACCCGAGATTCTGTTGAAGTATGAGGGAGAAGAGCCACAGGGACGTGGCGTGGTCGCTGAGCTTTAGCAAGATTGTGACACGCTGTGCGAGTGTACGTTGGCAATTCCACTCTGTTTCTCGAGTCATGAAGGGAGTTGTACGATATTATATGGCACATACATACGAGACCTACCGCTCAGCCTCTGCGAACAAATTATGCTATTGGTCTTATATGTCTACCGAATCCGGGCCACCCGTTGAGCCTTGTATTGAATTACAGCACAGGCATTGATGATGCGTGCTTCTGATAGCGGGTGCTCTTTCGATCATCGATAAGGAACCCTGTCACTGGATGTCACCAAATTCAGGTACGTAAACCGGCCAGCGCCCCGCTGCATCTCACAGGCTCCCGCCATTGGGTCTTCGGCGCAAAGCACTGCCGATAAAGGCTTTATCTCGTGGTGGAGGATAGACATGGGATGGGGGAATGGCCGCGGCTGAGAACCGTTTTTGGGGGGAACTGATAACGGATTTTTCCACAAGCTTCTCATTCGCTGATGTCATTCGTCTGTCGCCTGAGTTTCCGCCACGAGCAGCCATGTGGCGCATCCGGCGCCTTGGTTCCCACGCGATTATTGTCTTATCGCTTGGCATGTGTAAGTCGCAGCTTGTGATATAAAGGATTTGGTAGCGCCAACTGAGCGTCCAAGCTACCGTGAGCTGTAAACAATAGGCCACTCAATTTGTACTATAATCAAGGCAATATAGCAGAGCATATCCAATTAAGCATCTACGAGATTCTTCTTTTCTTTCTCATGGCTGTTGAAGTATCCCACGGCCGCGGCGGGGCGGGCAACATTGACGCAGACGAAACAAAATACGTCGACGGCGAGGTGGTGCGATCCGGCGTCGAGGGCAGCCATGGCGACGGCGCATTCAGCTCAGGTCGAGGAGGTGCGTCTTTCATTGCCGATGCTGCATTCTCAGAGCCAAAAATTTAGCTAATCTAGCAATTTTGCGAACGCAGGCGCTGGCAACATCTCCGACATTGGAACCGCCGCAACTCAGCGCAAGGACGCAGATGCCATCCCGGAAGAGGCCTTTCGACCGAGCCAGGATACCCAGGGATTTCACACCGGCCGCGGCGGTGTGGGCAATGAGCATCACATCAAGGACGAACAGGCGGAAGCGAAGCCTCGCCCAGTTGCGCCCGTAGGCCTAGCAGACAAGCTAAAGACGAAGCTATTTGGCGTCTTCAAACACTGAGCAGCTCATGACAACATGGGGAGTTGGTTGAGGGGTTTTGAGGGCTGTTTGCTTATTGGCCAAACAATGGAGTATAATGGTTTGGAGAGCGTACGCTACCTATGATATCCTGCTTTGAGCTTCGACGTGTCTAGCTTAAGAGCTGTCTGCATCAAGGTGTACAGTCCCCGGAATGCTGTCACTGGCGGATGACATGCGAAAGAATAAGCGTAATAAAGTTTTCTGTCAGCTCGTGTCGAGTTTCAATCTTATCACAATAGCGTGCCCAACCCTACCTATGTATGTACCAGCCAGGTGAAAATTTCGATTCCTCACATGCGGCGCAATCACACAGAAATGTTGGCTGTATCCAGGTCTTTGTGGTATCGTGTAGCACCCAAAACTCCCATCACGCCACAACGCCCAAGCGGGCAAGATCGTCACTGCGAACCTTGCCCATTGCATCTCCACTTGGGGTACCGCCCTGGAGCAGTAAACTTGGTCTCATGGGCGCCGATTTTTGGGAGTCTCAAGTCACCATTCAAGGAAATAGACGGACTGCTTTGGTGAAAATCCTCTGCTCTTGCAAGACATCTCGCCTCAGCTGACCTGCGCAAAAAAGAGCGCGTCTCTCGCTAGCTACGGAAGAGCAGCTTAAACTGGGGCACTGACGCGAGAGCTCTCCACCCCGATCAGTGCTAAAGCTTAGCCGTGTCGAAAACGATGCCAACTAAGTCCATATTCAGAAGTGTAGATGGCTAGAGCAGACGATGCTGGGGTCGGTGAGTGAAGAATCCCAGCCGCTAGGGCCACACTGGAGCGAATAGGCGATGTGACGCACTCAGCGAAGGCGCATAGGCAGAGGGGGCTGTGATGAAAGTTGCAGAAGCGCATGGAGCTGCGGCAAGCACATAAAGAGCTGCATCTCGCCCGTCGGAAATAACAGGTGCCTGAAGAAAGTGAGATCATTCAGCTAGACCACGATCGACTTGCTTGTTGAAGACGCCCGGCCGAGTCAGGCCCTGCAGCGCATATCGACCAACCAGCAGGAATAGGACACACACAAGCAGGAAAATAAAGCTGGGCCCGAAGACGCCTAAAAAAAAAGAAGCGACAGGCTCACGCACAGCCAGCCCCCCTTCTGTCCTACGTGCGATATACGGACCTGGAAATCTCACGTCCTGATGCGTGCCGGCGTCCTGTCGACTCGGGCCTCTCGCGAGTCCGCCATTAGCTGTTAGCATTTCGCAGAGCAAAGCGCGGGGTGCATTAGCAGCACTAGGTACCGCTTCCGACTGGGTCAATCAATCACGTGGGTCCAGCCGCTGATCAGCCTATTGATTAGCTGCCTGCGCGCCCGTGCCCGCTGCAATGCCGCCTCATCGCCCGGAGCTTCAGGGACGGCGGTTCTGGTCAGGACTCTCGATTCTGTCCAAGAGATCATACACAACATCATCGTTCGAGGCCGACGACGAGCGGTCCGACAGCGACGAGGAGATGAGTCTGCGCGATAGCTTCGACAGCGACGAGCGCCCCGGCGTGCCGGCTTACAAGGGCCATGATGCTAGACCGACTAGCAAGAAGGAGCTCTGGGGATGGTACATGTATGGCTTCGCGGCCGAGACATATGTGATTTGTGGAATTGGTAAGTTGAGGCTGATTTATTCATTGTATCATGATGCTTAGCGCTATGTTGCATCTCATCTTATTCTTTGCAATTCTATACAATTCTCCCGGCACTGCTGCTATTGCTGTCGGCTTCTCGCGCCCAACATGAGCTAATCGAGACAACAGCTTCCTTTATCCCTATTCTCTTAGAGACGCTCGCTCGAGAAAACGGTGTTCTCCTTTCCAACCCGGATAAGCCCTGCGGTTCCAGCGACAGCAAGTCAGAGGATGATGGCCAATGCATCGTATATGTGTTCGGCATCCAGATCAATACGGCAAGCTTTGCCATGTATACCTTTTCCGTCAGTGTTTTGCTACAGGCGCTCCTCGTCGTTAGTATTAGCTGTGCTGCGGACCATGGCAATTACAGAAAGCGGCTTCTTCTCGGATTCGCCTGGCTCGGTGGACTTTCGGTGATGGCATTCATCTTCATTAACAAGACCACGTACCTGCTCGGAGCCTTGCTGACAATCATCTCCAATACTTCTTTTGGCGCTTCGTTTGTTCTTCTCAACTCATTCCTCCCTCTTATGGTTCGTAATCACCCTGAAGTAATTGACGCGTACGCACAACCAGAGGCGCCTATCCTCGCCGAGCCAGCTTTAGAGTCAACTGAGGACCTGGAAGAAGCCATGGTCAACTCCACTTCTGGTTTGCTACCTCCTGACGACCGGCCTTCAAGGTATGGGCTGAAGCGAGTGCCCACCCACGAGGAAATCACTTCTAAAGAGCTTCAACTTTCTACGCGCATATCGTCTTTTGGCATCGGCATTGGCTACAGTGCTGCCTTGTTCGTGCAGTGCGTCTCTATTGTCATCCTCTTGGCCATGAAAAACACGACATGGTCGCAGAGGGTGGTGCTCTTCATGGTTGGGACTTGGTGGTCTGTTTTTACTATCCCTTCTGCGATGTGGCTTCGACCTAGGCCCGGGCCACCTCTTACGGTACATGGGCAGAAGAACGGCCCCTCGTGGTGGACATACTTCAGGTACTCCTGGAAATCTCTATTTCGCACTATTCAGCTGGCAAGGCGACTGTTGGATATCATGCTCTTTCTAGGAGGCTGGTTTCTTCTATCAGACGCCATTGCCACCACATCTTCCACTGCTGTTCTATTCGCTAAAACTCAGCTCCATATGAAGCCCTGGGCCTTGGGCATGATCAATGTCATTTCCACCATGTCTGGAATTTTTGGTGCCTTTGGCTGGTCGTGGATTTCCCGGGCATTCAACCTCAAGCCTCATCAAACGATTCTTGTATGTATTGCACTCTTTGAGCTCATACCGATTTACGGCTTGATGGGCTACCTTCCGTTCATTCAACGGTGGGGCGTCATGGGCCTGCAGCAGCCTTGGGAAATGTATCCCCTGGCAGCCGTATATGGTCTGGTCATGGGCGGTCTGAGTAGCTACTGTCGCTCGTTGTTTGGCGAATTGATTCCACCCGGATCTGAAGCCGCTTTTTACGCACTCTATGCCATTACCGATAAAGGGTCTAGCGTTTTCGGACCCGCCATTGTTGGTGCCATCATTGACAAAACTGGAAGCATCAGGCCCGCGTTCTGGTTTCTTGCTGCGCTTGTTGGCTTCCCTGCTCCTCTAATTTGGCTCATCAACGTGGAACGTGGCAAGATGGAAGGCGAGAAGCTCGCTGAGACCATCGAGGCATTTGACGTAGAAGACCTTGAGAGAGAAGAGGGAGAGCAAGAGGATGAGGAAGCAAACCGTGGCATGTTGGCAGACTATGAAGCCGCAGAGGAGAATGGGGCCACGACCCATCGACACTGAGATTGGATATTCACTTCATTTCTGTTGTGATGGCTAGAGCGCTTTGTTTTCGGAATTTGTATGTTTGTTGGAGTTTGTTTTGTCTCGATTGATAACCTATGCATAGCGTAGGCGTTGTGGTTGATAATTAGTGAATTTTGGATATGCCGTAAATACTAGTAGCACCTGTAATGTGATGGAGCTTGAATTGGATGCTATCTGGCCGTTATTCTACTCTTTTCCGAAAGCTAAAATGGTGAAGTCTGATATTCTCGGGTATGTTTCGTTTGCGTGCGTTTGGTGTCTGGAAATAATTGGGTGATGCTGCTAATCTTTACGGAATTCAGTTGATGTGTTGTTGGTTGTAAACGGCACGGCATGGCTACTGATGGTGCCATGAGCTCCATTAATGCTTTAGCGGTTCCCAATTGGGTAGGACGTGCAGACAATCTGCATCACTGGAACTAGCAGGACGACTCGCTACGGGCGCTGGGTTGTCAGTGTTAGTCGCGATTCAACTCCAGCTACGACTGCTAGTCGGCGGCTAAAGCAACTGCCAGCAGTCCAAGCACCTACTAAGGTAATTAGATTTGCATTCCGTGATACAGCAGAGGAGCAGCAGAGTACGCTAAGAGAAACAAGCAGTAACAAGAGCAGCCGCAGTTGTGGGGAGTTCGTTTTGCTCGAGATGCTCGGCCTGCATCGCCAAAGTGGGTAACAGGGCGTGACGATGTATTTGGTGGCTGTTAGCGCCTAGGCAGGTACAAGCATCAGCCTCTCGTGTGTTTCTGCGACGTTGTTGGTTGGCCATTTGTCGTAATTTCTCGCTTTGTTTAGCTGAAGCTGTTGGCTCTAAGGGAGGACGGCCCGAAGAAGGGAAACCTGTTCTTCTTTTCTTCAGCAATTTCTTTTCTCTCCTTTTTTTCCTTTCTTTCTTTTCATTGTATACTCCCCCTCTAGTTTTGGTGCAGGGGACTCGCTGAAGATTGCTGAAGATTGCTGAAGATTGTTATCAAACCGAACCCACTTCGGCAGTTAGAGAAGCCCGAAGAAGGAATAAACCCAAGAACACTTGCACCGTGCTCCTTGTCTCTTTTCCCACCCCGGACTGCGGCAGCTTGACGCCCACCCGACCGACCACTTAGCTCCGGGCGCGCCTCTGCTGGAGCCCAGCCGTCTAAAAGGAAAAAAAAAATATTACATAGCAGGCAATCCTACCCCAACCCGCTATCGATTTGCCAGGGCTCGGCGGGCGCTTGTGTGTTTACATCCAGATACACCGAACCGACGCAAACCATCCCGTTGCATCGCCCGGTGTCATCTCCGCATCGTCGCAGGCAGCAGGTCCGGCCTCAGCACTCATTGCGCCCTGAGCCCTCGCTGCGAGCTGCCGCCACACGCCCGAAAGGCCCATCGACGCGCGACGCATTGCGCGACTCTCCGCATGCGCGCTGCCCAAGGGTCCGCAATGAGTTCCAAGCCTCGGAAGCGCTCTCGCCCTGCGCCGGATGACGCTGTGCCTGACGGCAGCGTCCCCGACGAGAATCGTGCGGACTGCCCATTCACCGTAAACGTCGTCTCGGAGCTCGAGCGCAGCGATAAGGATGGCGGGCCCAAGTCCAAGAAGCGGAAACAGGACAAGCCGGCGGAAGACTCCAACAAGAAAGTGCTGACGCAGAACGCCGTATTCCATCCCGAGGGCAAGTTCAAGACGGGCCAGTCAATGAAGCTTGTCTACAATGTAGAGCCGCGGAAGCAATGGATGGACATGACACGCTACAACAGCTTTGTTCGTGAGTATAATCCGTCCTATCCATGAGATCCAGTCCAATACCCCAGACATCGAGCGGGGAAAGCGAGCCAACTCATCTACTAACCAAGCCTGAACTCGTGCAGTCAACGGCGTCAAATACTACACCGAGGACTTTGTTTACGTGGCGAACGAGGCGACCATGGAACGACAGAACTCTCTGCCCGCCGGGGCCAGCAAGGTGGCCAAGAAGGCGGACTACTGGGTGGCACGAATACTCGAGGTGCGAGCCTCGGACGAACATCACGTATATGCCCGCGTCTATTGGATGTATTGGCCCGAAGAACTGCCTCTTGGAACGCTCGATGGCAAGAAGCAGATTTCTGGACGCCAGCCATACCATGGACAGCATGAGCTGGTCGCATCCAACCACAGTAAGCATCTCGGGAAGCATCTCTGCTCATGCATCATCACTAACGCCAAAGCAGTGGACATCATCAACGTTGTCAGTGTCGTCATGGGCGTCAATGTCAAGCAATGGATTGAATCAAACGATGACGATATACAAGAGTCTCTCTATTGGAGACAGGCGTTTAACAGCAGGACGGCAGAGTTATCGGTATGTAAAACTTAACAACAACTAACCATTGTTTTGCATTTTTTAGTCGTGATTAAGCTGATTGTTTTTCTTCTTCTGTCGACTAGTCTGTTGCTCTTGTCTGTCATTGCAAGACTCCTGCCAATCCCGACAAAACCCTCGTGGGTTGCTCAAACAAGATCTGCGAAGAGTGGATGCATATCGACTGCTTACTCGACGATGTCCTCACCCGAGTATACGATCGATTAGGAACGGACACGCCCCATAAGCCCGAAAAACCGGTTATCAAGCAGGAGGCAAAGGAGGATATCATAAAAGAGAAGCCAAAAGAAGGGACAAACGGGGACTTGCCCTACCGCCTATTGAGTCCAGACGAGGCGGAGGACAGGAAATCGCCAATAGTCGCCAACAGCGAAGTAAAAGACCAAGTGCTGGTGAAGCAACGAGACGATGAATCATCCAAAGCCACAGAAACTCCAACACCTGCGCCAGATAAGTCCTCAAAATTCGGCTTGGCCAAGCGAGGAAAGCGCAAGAAGCTGTCAAAGAAGCCCTGGGAAGGCCTTTTTGAAGCTACTCTGAAGATGAACGAGGGCCCTACAGTCTGGGAGATAACAGACCTAAGAGAGGGTATTGAGGGAGGAGAGAAGCAGTGGACTGAGCAGGCATATTGCTTGCTGTGCAGCACAGTCATCGATTGAGACGAGGAGTTTGCCATCTATATGCAGGAATGATATCTATCTGCAACAATCTTGGACACGAGACAATGCTTTACACCTATGGGCTCCTTTCTGGAAAGACAGCAACAGCGAGGTTTTCTTCAAGATTTTTACTGGTATAGCCTTTGCTACAAGCAATTATTTACGATCAACATAATATGGAAAGAGAACGAAGAAAATAGTTGTCGAACACTCTAAAAAAAAAAAAATGGACAGCGGAAAACGGCACCTATATCTGGCGACACGACACCGCAGGAGGGCAAGACGAAGGGCTGATGGCGGGGCGTTATTGGCGATTTCACGGTATGGGCTGGGGTTCAAATTGGTCAAGGGAGGCATAGCAAGGCGGCACTCCGATTGTCTGTTCTCTATTACTCATAGAGGTCTGGAAAAGGGCGAGTTGTTATTTGAGGATTGTGTTTTTTGTTTACTCTTGGATTTGTTCTTTTTCTGGCTTACGCTTCTTCTAGCCGATGAGGGAGGAACCTTTGGGCTTTGGCTGTTCCACTTTCTTATATCAAGTTCTATTTCTTTTTTTTCTTTCCGCCTTGGATAAGTAGACTGCAGACAAATTGGATGTTGAATAAAATCAAAGAAAGGGAAGCTTGTTCTATTTGCATTGTGAAACTTGCCTAATAGATTACTTTGTACCTTGTGCGTGAAAAGATAATTGAGACTTTGATGTTATATGAGTAGCAGAATTGAAGAATACCTGAAGCTCTAGAGCTGTAAATGCTTCAGCTTAGCAAAGAGCAGTGCCCAAAGCTGCCTGCCCATCTGGTGGGGTTACTTGATAGCTGCCCGCTATTAGGTAGGCGCTGGCTCCTTAGAGGCCCGTTCTGGTGACGTGACCCCTGGCGACCCGACAGCTCCAAACCCCGCGACCAAAGAACATCTCGGGCTTCCCTTACCAGGCCTCACCTCCAGACTATCGAACTTTTGTTTAGCTTGACATTGACTTTTGGTGCAATCAACCCGCATCACAATGGCTGCAGATCCTTTTGACTCGGCGCTGTGAGCTCTCTCCTCTTCCCCTCTTTCCCATGCTGCTTCAACCCCCCCCAGATCAACCCATCTTCTCGTCTCTCTCCCCTTATATCTTGGTCGATACTCTCTATTTGGCTATTCTATAGAAACTAAGCTGACTCAATGCTCTGCACAGCGACCTCCTCCGCCGCCTGAACCCCAAACACACCAGCGAGCACCTCAACGCAATCATCTCCCTCGCCCCTGACCTGACCGAAGACCTCCTCTCGTCCGTCGACCAGCCCCTCACCGTCAAGCGGTGTAGGCAGACCGGCCGCGACTATCTGCTCTGCGACTACAACCGCGACGGCGACAGCTACCGCTCGCCATGGAGCAACCAGTTTGACCCGCCGCTGGACGAGGGCGGCGTTGGCGGCGTCGGCCCCGGCAGCAACGACGGTGCCGGCGAGGGCGCCATTCCGAACGAGAGGGTGCGCAAGATGGAAATCAAGGCCAACGAGGCGTTTGACGTTTACCGAGAGCTGTACTACGAGGGAGGTGTGAGCAGTGTTTATCTGTGGAACTTGGATGACGGCTTTGCTGGCGTGGTTTTGGTGAAGAAATGTACGTTGACTCTCTCTCTCTCTCTCTCTCTCTCTCTTTTCTTAAGTAAAAGTACTAACAAAGATGAACAAAACAGCTGCCACGCCAGGCTCCAACACCGAAGGCGTCTGGGACTCCATCCACGTCTTCGAGGCCATCGAGCGCGGCCGCACCACGCACTACAAGCTCACCTCGACCGTCATCCTCTCGCTCTCTACAAATGTCGAGAGCACCGTCGGCGACATGGACCTCAGCGGCAACATGACCCGCCAGGTCGAGCAGGACCTGCCCGTCGAGAACGACGACAGCCACATTGCAAACGTCGGCCGCCTCGTCGAGGACATGGAGCTCAAGATGCGCAACCTGCTGCAGGACGTGTATTTCGGAAAGGCAAAGGACGTGGTGGGCGATTTGCGGAGCGTGGGCAGCTTGAGCGATGGGGCTAAGGAGCGGGAGACGCAGCGGGAGCTTATTGGCAGCATGAAGCGATGATGCATGCATGAGATGATATAGTGGAAATTCTCTCTTTTTTTCTTTCAGCATTTGTTTCTTTTTTTGAATGGCATAGGTATTTGAAGGCTGTTATGTTTGACAATTTATGAAAAGACGATGGAGCGCTTGATACATGAATGTCAGATATCTGTGTTTGTTAGATGTTCCGCCCTTTACAATAGAGATAGGAGACTCGTGACTTCTTAATTCTAGAGTAGAGGAGACTTACAAACGAAGTTCCTTTGTACTCTGGACTGATTTTGACACGAGCGGGATTTCAACGAGCGTCTAATCTCGCCGCAGCACCATAACATAGATTGCCAAATATGTAAAACATGGTTTAGTCTTCAGCCTTTCTAGTTATCCTGTAGTATTACGCAAATATTGGAAACTATTATTATTGTTGGAATTTCGTGGCAAAGAGTAGGTAGGCAATAACGCTTGTTTTTCTCTCTTTTCCTGTTCTTTTTCCCAGAGAGACGAAGCATTGTTCTTTCATACAAAATCTCTGATGCCAACTCGTAAACAGTGACTTGGACTGGATCCAGCACGGCGATCGAAGGGCAATCAAGAAACAGACACTCGTCTCTGTCTAAGGCCACTATTCTCAAGAGCTCATACCAAGCAAATACCTAACGGGATATTTGACGGACTACGTAGCAATTTGTCACTCAGAAACAACAACAAGGTAATGCCATCAGTTTCAACGCTTTCAAACCAGAGATGCCAACTCATGCCTTAGATGATCTTGCTTCTTTACGACAGGAAAATGAAGAGGCAAATGCCCTTGGAACAAAACCATTCACAAAATCCTAACCGCCGAGGAGATATAGCAATGAACCTAAGTCAGGCTGTGGGGCACGACACAAAGAGCTCAGCTTCCTAGCCATCGGCAGCATGTCCGGAAGAGGCACAAGGCTACGGAGAAATGACCAAGTGGATGGATGGATGACTTGCGTTCAAAAAAGAAATGCTAGGCCTGGTAGCAATAAAGAAAAAGAACGGCATAGTTGCATGGTTTGCCCGCCCCTTGCAGGACCAGGGTCAGCACGAATAATCGTATCCCATCCCGCTGAGTGCGACTTCGTGGTACCGTAGCAATATGATGGGGAAGTCCTGCCACCGTTCAAGGAGATAGCGGCAGCGGCGGCGATTACCAAGACTTATGACCGATCTGTGGTAATCTGCCTGATCGAGATATTACCATTTGTAGCAGCAACAGTGCTCCGTATGAGTACCTGCTTGTATAACAGGGCAGAAGCAGTACTACCATCTGGTTTCAGTCTCTCTCCATCAACCTTGTCGTTGGGGGCCGAGCACCAGCCCCGGGCAACCGTCGAAGGCTGAGAAAGCCAGAGAAAAAAGAAAAAATTGAGGCATGAGGGCGTGCCATCTTTTCATCCATCTCCAACACATACTACCAGGCCTAATCTAGATCTAGACATCGATTTAGGGAACCGGTGGTTTTCGTAGATCAGCAAGGACGTATTTCATCTCAGTTTTCAACGAACAGAGAAAAGAGCAGTATGCGATAGGCAGCAGAACCTGGAATATCATACCCGAAGCATGCGAATTTTTGCGGCTTGTACGTGGCAAAGGACCTCCCTTGTCCATCTTCAAAGGACCTGGACTAATGGATGCCTTGAACAAGTCCCATGACGATGGTAGATTGAGTGCTGCAGCGTGGCGGATCCTCGCGATCCTACCGTTGCTCTCTTTCGCGAGACACTAAGGACCTTGCTGGAACAGAATCACACCGTAACTGTGCTGCGGCTGATGATTAGCGTGCGGCTTTGATTAAGCGCACCCTTGACAGCGTGCCCAAGGTATTCCACACGTCCAGGGATGGTGGCGATCTGTCTTGCTGGGGCTGCGATTTTAACCACCTTCCAGGTTTTTGTACAGTATCTACACACAGACAGTAGTGTACTGCTCGCATCTTGTAGCCCTTGTACTGTATGTAGCACCTGCAGGAATCTTGATACGCAGCATTGTATCTGCTTGCCATCTAGGCCTAGTACTAGCAGGATGAGATGTCTATGCTTAGTAGGGAGGTGGCATCTGAGCCATCAGTACATAGCCTCGGCAACTCCAAAATCACGACGGGAGCAATCTCATACGTCCCCATCCTTTTCCCTTTAGAATCACAGATAAAGCCGAGCAGCAAAAGCGGCTCAAAGCAAGACCAATTTGCATGGGGCGTTCCTGGACATGACTCGTCGCCGAAATCTTTTGACGCCTCGAAGGGATAAGAACTGTGGCAGGCCAGGGCATAGGTGCGGTGGAGTTGAGCAGCCCGCTATTGGAGACAAGCCAACACGCACACATTCACTGGGTTTCTGAGACTGCTTGTACGCCATCTCTTCACTGATATCCCTGTAAGTTGACTGGTCGCAGGAGTGTCTGTTGTTCTCAAAACACTCTTTTCCAATATACAGACGGACATATGATGCGGTGTACTGGACATTGCCATAATATAACAGAGTAGCTATGTTAAAGTGTACTGCATCTGCCGCCCTCGCTCTCCCCTCAAATGTCGCTGGCATCGGTCTACAGAGAATACAGAGTCGAAAGAAGGACAATGGGTCTCCCTGCTTGGAAGCAATTTTGTGTGAGTAGGGTCTACTCCCCCCATCGTTCGCTCTCGCACGGCGTGGCTCACTTTGCACAGCGAAGAAAAGAGTAGGTCAGCCTCCAAGGCAAGGGAGGGCTGCCTCCTGCATGTGGCAGCCAAGGGAGGCTTCAAAACATGTCTTGACTCCATAGAAGCCCACGACACGCGCAGACAAAGTCATTGGCGTGGGGCTTTTGTTTCCTCGCTGCATTCGCGCAACAGGTCAACCGTGTGATGACTATCATCACAAGTAGTAATTGCTTGGCTGTCAACTGAGGCGGGTTTTAAATATTACGATTTTTCAAGGCGGCAGCAGAGGTATTGGCAGAGGCAGAGGCGCCCGTATGTTCGCGCCGGATGGCTGGTTATAGGCGCACAGCACGTACGTTTCGGCGCCTGCGCGACTCCTGCAGCTGGACTGGGGCTTGCTGTCGGCATGAGAAAAGAGAAAAGGCGCCGGACCACTTTCATGCGGGTGCGACAAAATGCGGTCTGTTTCGTTTGCCTTGAGCACCGAGTCATTGGCTGATGCTGCGTCGCCTTCTAGAACGACGCTTGGAAGACCGCGAACCCCGCACCCCACGTCGCCAATGCTGCGTCTGGTGTTGGACGTGAGGAGAGACACAGTCTGGATGCCAGGCACAGGCACAGGCACAGGCACGGGTACACAACACACAGGTATCGGCCTCAGTCGCCGCCTCCAGATCGCAGAGCCCGGGCCCGTAATAGGAGGTCGAGCCGAGTCGCCTTGGTGGACTCTTGCACAAGCACTAGGTCGGTAGGCTGATGCTACCACACTTGTGCGTGTCAGTGTTAATTGCAGAGGGCCATTGAGCAAGCAAACATCTGCGCCTTTGGGCTGTTATACCCGCCATCGTCGCCGCTGGTCCCCGTTCGGAGCGGTTCGTCCCACCTGGAGGCTGCACATGGCGCAACGAGTCCCACAGCTAGCCTGTCACAAGGGCAGAAGGCCAAAGCGATTGCTGAACAAGAGTGGCGCCACTCAGAGATTCCGGCGGGCGGCGGCATCGGCTCGGGTCGCTGAAAGGGTGTAGAAGAGAGGCAAAAGGGGGCAGAGAAGGCAAAGAAGTTGATGGACATGCTGCTATTGCTGCCATATGCATCATCAGTCGTTGTTGAAAGCCAGTGGTTTATATAGTGCAGATGTCGAGCCGTGATTGGGCAGGTACCTGAGGCAGGTATGCTCAGTCCTTGCTCCTCGGAATTACAGCGAGGGCGGTCGATAAAGGGAGCCAGGCTCCATGCCCTATGCTCCATGCTCCATGCCCCAAGGCGCTATGGCGGCTGCTAGACAGGTACCTGCCCACTGCTAGACAGTGCTAGCGGCAACCAGTTTTAGTGGCAGTGCCTTTTTACTGCATAACATTGAATCCTTGGTTCTGGGACTCGTCTGCCGTGCCGTTTAATACCTGCGTCGCTGCCCTTAGTATGGCGGCAGCAATCAATGATAGTAGTACTTGCACACGCTGCCAGGGCTGCTAAGCTGAAGGGGGGAAAGGTGAGACACCATATGCATGCGGTGAGCCAGGGTCTGGCTTGACTGACCTCCCACCTAGGATCCCACAACGAAAAGAAACAAGAGGAAGAAACAAAAGACACCTCATCGTCGAGAGCTTCTCAGACTGCTGGGCAAATAACATTAAGCCGCTTAGCCCGCTAGCTTCTGGTGGGGATGGCCCATGGATACAGGGATGCTGAGACCTGGCAGCGGTTAGCCGCCTCGAAATACTAGACCCAAGTTACACGCCCGTAGGTACTCGTACAATAGTAGAGCCCTTGGACTGGGACAATCCCGCTCGCCGTTGCCGCTGTCAGGCAGTCAGTCGGTGTATTTGCTGCTGGAATACCGTATGCAAGTCCCATGCATCGTCGTGTGAGTCTCTGAGTGGCTCTGCTCTCTGTCCCGACGGGTCGGAAGGATGGGCGGTCACAGCTCACCATCATCGTCATCATCACCACTGCCGTGCGTACAGATAGGTACAGTAGAGCCAGAGATTACACGGATAAGCCTGCTGTTGGCCACGACCAGGCCAGGAAGTGGTGTGCCCAGTCACAGCCCATGCGTGCCTGGATGTGCCTGGCGCGGGAGCTGAAGCTGAAGCAAAGCACGTAATACTTGGTATCAATATGTAGCTGTCGTCCAACACACAAAAGGTGCTTTACTTGGTACCTAGTAGCAGACGCTGTGCTCGTCCCTGGACAAGAGTGGCGGCCTCAAGATGACGGCCTGCATCACTAACCAGCAGCTTCGGCTAGCTCCCTGTGCCCGTGCCTGTAACAACTCACATCTTCCCCATACTGTCCTATGCGATGCTCGCGGCCTCCGCATAGAGTAGCACTGCTCCGTGCTTTTACAAAGCAAGGGAGAAAATGAAACCTGCCGCATGGTACATGGCATGGACAAGGCCCCAGCGGTGCATGTCGGTGGTGGGGGCTCTGGTTTTTTTGGGCACGGAGTAATCTGCACTTTTACGTGTATGGACGGGTGCATGCACTGCACCTGATTGCTTTCCTTCAAGGCGGCGGTAAATCAAAAAAAGACGGGCCTCCAGACAGCAGCCCCTCGCTCGCTCGATTCGCTGCCTTGCCTCGCCTTGCCTGGCCTTGCCTTAGTCGTCCGTTACCCACCCATCCCTCCGTCTCAGGCACCTGCTCTCACCACCCGCGAGATACAAAAGCTTGCCGTTCTCTCTTGCCTTTGCTTCGGCTTCCGCCTCGGCTTCCATCCCACGCACAGTGCGCCTGTACCTGCTCTCTGCCTCTTCCTTTTCTCCTTCGGCACTTGTCTGGGTGATCCGGCACCCTGTACCGAGACGACGACACCGCAGCGACCCAAGGCAGCAGCCCGCCGACCTCCCTCTTCTCCTCTCCTCTCCATCCTATCTTGACCGCAGCAGACTGGCTACGCAAGCGAACACCAGAGCAAGCAAGCGACACCCGACGCTTGATCATCTCGTTGTCCGATACGTTGTTCGATACGAACAAAACATAGAGAGCTCAGGAGAGGATTAAACAGCACAGCCGCCAACTCGAATCCGTGGCCCGCAGCTGTTGCATCCGGTCGACTTTTCTCGATACCACCCCGTCTCGCGCTTCCTCGACCGCCTCAGCACAATCTTCAAAATGGCTGAAGAGAAGCCGTCCGTCCTCATTATTGGAGGCTTGGGCTATATCGGCCGCTTCCTCGCCCAACATATCCACCAGAACAACCTTGCGTCCGAGATGCGACTCGTTGACAAGGTGCTGCCCCAGCTTGCCTGGCTGGCTCCTGAATTCTCCGAGGCTTGCTCCCAGAGCAACTTTATGCAAGCCGATGCCAGCAAACCAGGTAAATAATGGTCTTTCCACTTAATACCCCTCAATCTCGTTTGATAAGTCCGCCACTTGCTAACCATGCGTGTGCTGCTTGTGGACAGAGGCTCTAGTTAAAGTATTTGACCGACCCGACGGCAAACAGTGGGACTATGTCTTCAACTGCGGTGGCGAGACGAGATATTCTCAGGAAGATGAAATTTACAAGCTGAGATCTTTGGAGCTTTCCATTGCTGTCGGAAAGGAGGCCGCCAAAAGAAAAGTAAAGGCCTTTATTGAGCTGAGCACAGGCATGGTGTACAAGCCCGACTCATCACCGAGCAAAGAGGGAGATAAACTGAAGCCGTGGAGCAAAATTGCCGTTTTCAAACTGCAGGCAGAGGAGGAGCTCGCCAAGATTGAAGGGTAGGTCATGCTAGGAAGCTTCTCGGCCTTGTTCCTCTTTCGGTCTGCCCTTGCTAATGCCGTATTTATAGGCTTAATCTTGCGATTGTCCGCCTAGCTCATGTATACGGTCCGTATGCGTCTCAGTGGGTTGCAACGGGCCTGTGCATGGCTCGCGTTTACCAGCATATCGAAGGAGAAATGAAGTGGCTGTGGACCAAGGACCTGCGGACTAACACGGCGCACATCCACGATGTAACACGAGCCCTTTGGGACATTGCCGTTTGGTACGACGCTGGCAAAGCCAACTGGAAAGAGGCCGAGATGGGCAAAGTGCCGACTTTCAATGTGGTGGACAAGGGCACCACCACACAGGGAACCATGGCTGAAATCATTGGCGAGATTTTCAAGATCGAAACGGGATTTCAGGGAACGCTGATTAGTAGTTTCGCGAAACTGAACCTGGAAAGCGTGGTGGATGATGTCAATGACGAGGTCCTCGGCCCTTGGGCTGATCTATTGGCCGATGCTGGCATTACACGACCCGGCCCTCTGACACCCTTTATGGAGAAGGAGCTTCTCAAAGACACAGACCTCAGCATGGACGGTAGCCGACTGGAAACTGTTTTGGGCTTCAAGTACGAGAAACCCGCTGTCACAAAGGAGCTGATTGAGGAAGTCATCGAGAGCTACAAGAGGATGAAGTGGTGGCCATGAGGGCAAGAAGAAGCAAAATACCACGCAGCAAATGAGTGTGAGAAGCCAGAATTATAGCCACTTCGACACCGGGGCTCCTATTGCTTTCGCAGGTACGCATATTTGAGAAGAAGCAAGCGGCTGATTGATGCCTACGCAAACCTTGTGGTTGAACAGCTTATGGACGAGCATGAATGACCCTCGGAACCTACAAAAGCCATGTGTGACGGTCTTGCATTCATAGCGATAATGACTTGAAGATTTTAGAGCGAGCCAGAAAGGGAGTTCGTTAATGTACCAATAGATATCCACAGGGTTCCGAGAGAGCAGCATGATATTCGTCTGGGAGCTGAGGTCAATGACAGATGCTGGGCTTGTCTTTTTATTACAATTTCTTTTCTTCTTCTTTTCTTCTTCTTTTCCTTTACTTTTCATGACCTTGTTTTTGTCTAGTTTCGGCTTTCTAATGACCGTGAAAGACTGGTGAACTGAAGTTGTTGGAATTTGGGTAATGGTTGTTTCTATGGCTAGTGTCTACTTACCCAGTTGTAGTATCTACATAGAGATGGATTATTCTTTACTTTTCTCTCTGGAACTTGTCCATTAGTGAATTTACCCTGCGAATACATGTATCATTTCTGCCTGGCTCATCTCTACTCTGTATATTTAGGTTTGTTCTACCTGTGAGCTTGCCTTGCTTGGGAGAAATTGTCTGGATATGGTCAAGGAGCTGCTGGTGTCTTGGCGTTGGACTGTACGTGTACCTACGCCCAAAACAGTAGGTGTCGGTCTCAATCAGGATTGAATTACAAATGAGGCAACCAAAAGATCCAAATAATGATCTGCTAGTAGAATATCCAATCCCTTGTCGTTTTAAGCATGTAGGTACCTATCTGTGTTCCTTGTACTGTCGAGTACCTAAGGTAAGGTAGTAGTACCTAAGGTACGTAACAAGGTGTGGGGGAGATTTGGCGGGGCGCTGCCTGCACAGCGCATGTGCTTGCCTGCCATTTCCCAGCAGGCCTAGTACGAACGCCTCGGGTCAATGATGACCAGCGCTGCTTTTCGCTGCGCCATCAGCACAGAGAAGCTTCATGTGATAGTTCCACCCGTCGCAGCCTTTGACACGCCGGGCGTTCTATAAGTACTTTGTGTTTTTGGACATCACTTCCAATCCTATCTTCCCATCTACCTCCTTTTGCTGCCCTCGTCGCACCTCCTCCTCTCATTTAAACAAGCTTGAGATATTCATCTATACCAATCGCAACCATGGCTGCTCCATCAAGCAAGACCGCCAAGAACCTCACTGGCAAATGGACTATGGTAAGAAACACTCCGTACCATTTCACAGACCAAAAGCCCCTAAAGACCCCTTCCCTGCTCGTTCCATCACAATTTCTCGTGTTTTCCCCCTGCTTGTACTGCGCCCGCTTTCAAGAGGGAATTTGCTGCCCCTCCCCCACCATGAGCTGCTGCTCTTTGTCGCCTTTGTGCAAGCTGCTGCGCCAATCGCGCTTCCAAGACGGCGAGGCCCCAAGTGCTGCTGTTTTGGCAGGCAAAGGAGCTTAAGCAGCAGTGCAAAAACGATGCAGAGAGAGAGGGATACAGGATGAATTCTTGAGAGAGGGATGCAGAGCTGTGCGACTCAGAGAGAAGCTATGGCCTCCGTGTCATCCGGGGAGATAACATCATCTCGAGTCGCACTCCCGCAAAATGACATCAGCACCCACGGAAACTTGAAAAAAAGAGAAGACATCTCCACTAACAAAGAGCGCCGGCGCGGCATTAAACGTTTAGAACAAGACCCTTTCTGACTCCTCGGAGCCGGTACTTGCTCTCCAGGGCATCGGCTTTCTGATCCGCAAGGGAATCGGCATGGCCACCATCACCATCCAGGTAGAGCAGTATGAGGGCCCTCCCAGCCCGCCCAACACGGCAGCCGACGTCGTTACCCACATCGACATCACGCAGTCTGCCTCGGGCCTGTCCAGCACGCAGGAGGACCGCTGCTTTGACGACTTTGAGCGCGAGCACTCCGACTGGCTGTTTGGCAACGTCAAGGGCCGCAGCCGCTGGGCGAAGCTGGACGAGGTCACGGACGAGTTCCTCAAGAAGGGCTGGGAGATTGAGGGCGATGGTCTGTTTATTACAAACTCTGCGAAGAATGAGGAGAAGGGCTGGACTGCCGAGCAGGTCTGGGGCTTCCAGCTTGTCAATGGCGAGCGTAGGTACTGCCGAAATGTTGTCGTGACCAAGGGAAGTGAGCGGGCTCAGATCCGACTTGTTTACGACTTCAATGACGAAGAGTAAGAAATGGAAAACGAGAAATACGATCAATTGACTAGATATATGGCTAGAGATTGAAGGTAACTGGCTAGGAGAAACGAGTTGACTTGTTGTTTTTTATTTGATATCGCATCATACAAAAGAGCTAGAGGGCAGAGGGAATGCGTGGCAGTAGACCACAGCTCAGGCCAAAGAAAGCTTTCGTTTTAGTTATTTCAGGATAAATCTATAACATAAAGCATATATGTCCATATTGACATCATCTTACCTATGGACATGATTATTGCGATTCTGGTGTTGAATCCCATACCAAGAGCTGATAACCCGCTCACATCACAAGCTCTCTCATAGCGAAATTTCCCTTTGCCACGCACTTTCCACTGCATGAAACGAAAAGAATGCAGTTATTCCTCCAACGCATGTTGAATAAATGCCCATCGTGTTCTAAACGCCGTCTACCAAAAGAGCTGCAAACAGCGCTTTCGCACTCCCGGTAACCGTAGAAAGGGCAACTTTACTTGAACATTTCCCCTTTTGTAATTCTTTTTCGTGGTCACTAGCTCCAATCTCCCGAGAATATTGGAAATGTTTAAGCCGGTCGTCTCTTAACAAACTCTTCCAAATCCTGCACCGTCGCCACCCCCAGCACAAACCTCCGATTCTCATCCGTCACAACCGCAAACTCCTCCTTCCAAGGGCCGCCCGACACGTTTCCACGAAAGAAGGCTTCGAGCTCCTCTAGCGGGGTCTGCAGCGTGATGACCTGGTACTTGCGACCTTTGCGCTGGAACCTCGTCATGGCGGCGGAGACGGGGTCGCTTGGCTGAACGCGGCCGGCTTCCAGGAGGGACTGCAGGTGGGGGATGGAGATGTAGCCGAGGAGAGCGCGGGTTTCGGAGTCGACAATGGTGAGGTGTGTGTATTCGCGCTCAAAGGCGGAGAGCATGGCGATGTTGATTGCGTCGGAGGGGTTGAGGGAGAGGGCGGCGGGCGGGTCGAGGTCTTCGACGGTGGCCTGGAGGGAGAAATATCGTTTAGCTTGAGTCTTTTGACATTGAATATTGGAAGATGTTGCACAACTCAAGGAGTGTGAGAATGAATCTTGACGTGGTATTCTGGGAGAGACTTTTGTTGAATGCGACACGACGATGTTCACAAAACTTACGCCTCGATATCTTGAAGACCAGGTCGTGGAAAATGGCTGCGTCGTTGTCGTCGCCGGGCCGGCTTGAGCAGGCTGATGTGTTAATGTGGTAGCCATGATTGATGTGTGTATCTGATGCTTTGTCGTGCTCCCCTCCAATACAGATGGAGTGATTGTTGTCGAGACTGGTTTTTGCGCTGTGACTATGAGTTGACTCTTTTTGGCAGAAATGGCAAATATGATGGGGTCAATTGAGCCACCGACCGCGGGGAGTCGTGATTAGCTCAGCATTAGGCGGGGCCATAGAAAGTTGGTTGAAACTTGTGATACATGTGATTGCTTCGACATCATCGCTTCAAGTAGTGCCTTGTATTGGACAGAAAATGAGAAAAGAACAACATATGCAAAATTCATGATAGGCACCGCATGAGTATAACCTCGTTTGTTCTCATAACCCCTTCATCGCGCGCCTCGGTACCAACAGCATTGCAACAAGGTATGCTTCGGTAGGGGAGCTTCGTTTAAACCCGAACCGTCCCCGCCGTGACTCTCCGGCAGTGGAGCAATGCCTGTAGCGGTTCCGTGCTGCCGTCCGATCGATTCGCATCGGGTTCCATGGATGAGACATAAATGATGCGATCGTGTCGCAGGCTGCACAGAGTAATATTGGTCTACATTGACGGCGGTACTGTAAAACTGCACATTATCACGGCGGATAGACGGGAAACATGGCGCCATTTAGAGAGGAACAACCACAAGAAAAGCCAGACGATCAACTTGTCTAGATAAAGAGCATGAAGCAGTTCCATGGAATTTGCGGTCTTATAATGTCCGGTAGCTGTATCGGGACATTGGTGGGGCAAATGGCTACAGCCCCGCGGAGCATGCAGTCTATAGCTGGCGCTGTATCTGCAAGCCGCGAATGGGTACCGCGACTTTGCTGGAGCAAGCTCGCATAGAGCAGCTCGCACTAACACTACAGCTTGCATCTTGACGTCGAGTGATGTCACGCACTTCAGTCGCTGGGCGTTGCCCAGGCCCGGCAGGCTTTATCCGGCAGGCGTCACAAATTCGCGGTAGTTTCGCTGCTTATCGTGCGACATTTATAAACCTCGACGCCGTGTGCGCGATCCTTTTCTGTATTGTATCTCCTCTCCTCAGTGTCGCGATCTTCCCTTTGCTGCGCAAGCACTGTCGCGTGCCAACGGCTCCTCACTGATACTACTGGGTTTTGTAAGTTTATCACCCCTATGGCTGAATTGGCCGTCAGTTCCTCCCGAGGTTACTTTCAGCGTTCAATGTATTATCATGCCTATCCCATCTCTTTGCTGCGGTAGCCTTGTTTCTTAAGCTCAGACAAGTCATATTCGCCTACAATTGGTAGCCTCCAGCGTGCTAACGCGATTTCTGTTGTGTCTTTCCAGGATTAAGGAACAATCGGAAGGCTCGGTTGCCTACCACTCCCCAATATGGCGCACCTATATCCTAGAGATGAAGTCCTAAAGGGCAACTTTTACAGCCCAACGCCGAAATATCACAGCCCGCAGACCAAGGCGACCCCTCTGCAGGCTCGCCCGGAGCTCTACGGAGCTTGGTCTGTGGTGGACAATGCCAAAGATAAGGCTGTCAAGCTTAGCAATGAGGCTACCAAGGAATTTGAAAAGGCCAGCTCCGCGGCTCAAGCCAAGGCTGGAAAGATTGAACTATACTCTGGAAAGTACTATGCGGCATGTACATTTGGAGGAATGCTGGCATGCGTAAGTCAATTGCCCTTTGTACTCTTTTTATTTGCCTTCAAGGGAACTTCTTGGCTTATATCCGTCTGCCTAAGGGTCTCACTCATACCGCTGTAACGCCTCTTGATTTCGTCAAAACGCGCCGCCAGGTCGACTCGTCCCTTTACAAGAGCAATTTTGAAGCATGGGGAAAGATTTATCGCGCCCAGGGCCTCCGCGGCATCTTTACCGGTTGGAGCCCGACCTTCTTCGGTTACTCTATGCAGGGTGCTTTCAAATACGGATGGTATGAATACTTCAAGAAGACATATTCCGACCTGGCTGGTGAAGAGGCTGCCCACAAATACAAGACCCTCCTGTATCTGTCCGCCTCAGCTTCCGCTGAATTTCTAGCCGACCTTGCCCTCTGTCCCATGGAAGCTGTCAAGGTTCGAATGCAGGGAGGATCACCAAACCCTTATACCGGCGCTCTTGATGGATTCAACAAGATTACTGCAAAGGAAGGCTATGCTGGTCTTTACAAGGGTCTCTATCCTCTGTGGGGTCGACAAATCCCTTATACCATGATGAAGTTTGCCTCTTTCGAAACCATTGTTGAGATGATCTACGCTCGCTTGCCCGGTGATAAGAATGACTACAGCAAGGCTGCTCAGACCGGTGTCTCCTTCACTGGTGGTTACCTCGCTGGTATTCTTTGCGCTATCGTTTCCCACCCCGCAGATGTCATGGTCAGCAAGCTCAACTCGGTTCGCGAGCCTGGCGAGGGTTTTGGTTCTGCCGTCGGTCGCATCTACAAGGATATCGGATTCAGAGGACTTTGGAACGGCTTGCCAATGAGAATTGTCATGATTGGCACTTTGACTGGTCTCCAGTGGATGATTTACGTAAGTTCCTCCTACGGCGAAGACGGAGGAGTTGTAATAGATGTCAAACTGACTTTGCAATTATAGGACTACTTCAAGATCTTCATGGGTTTGCCCACCACCGGTGGTCCGGCACCGCCACCCAAGGAGAAATAGAGTATAGAGGGACAATGGTGAGCTGGCGAAAAGAAAGTTGCTAGGAACTGGATCCTATATGTGCTATGAATTAATTTGCGAGTGCGGACGTTTGCTTCTTTTGTAATATGTATTAAAGTGTAGTTGAATGACGACTTGAAAATATATTCCTCAGACTCTCTTTGAATTGGTGAGCAACATGTGATTATGTACTGTATACTTTTATTGTTTTGGCGTATTACAGCCAGAGTTGGTCGGTTTGCCTACGAAGTTAGAGGACCTTAAGGGAGATTGCCGGGTTTCGATGAATAGTCGGAAGCCCATTGTCCCACTGTGGTGCTTGTGATGCTCGAGGTTACTCTACCCTTGGCTAATGCTTTCTTTTCCAGCCGTGCAATTCCCTTCCAGTGGCTTTCCATCAGTCAACTGGCGACCAGATTGTGTGCTTCTTCTCAATTTGAATATCCAAAAAGTTTAGCTAAAGTATATCTTGAGTTCGTGATGCCACTTGGGTACTGTACATACAATTAAAAATCAATGTCGAGGAATGATCCATATAGTTCTCTGCCAAGCGTATACCACGATACAAATTTACACAAAATTAGAAGTCTCTGTGTAGTTAATGGTCACGGCGCGTTTTTTTTTTTTTTCCTCCTTTTATTTAGAGCTTGTACGCAGCTATTTTTAAAGTCTACAGTTCTTGGCAAGCCAGGCCTATAATAACCTCATATACTACTTGCAGTATGCATCAGCAGTAGCAACAGTAGAGCTAACAGAAACTATAGAAGCAGTGCGGAAAGGAATATGAGATAAAACGAAGCATGTGGAGTAGACATCAGACACGGTGGAAGAGGGCAAGATCTACAAAGAAATCATGGTCAAGTCGGCAATAGGTATCCGAAAGAGGATGTCCGATCCAGTGTTCTCTCTCTCCTTTATTTTCATATGGCTGTATTTAACAACCCGTTTCAAGAGCTTTTTGGATGAACCTGATGTTCTATCCGCATAACTTTAGAAATGTAGAACTCGGGATGAAATGTTGATGCGCGCATACACATTGTCACTCACACATTCTTCAGCTAAAAAACCAGGCCTACGGACCAAGTTCCGATGCGTTCTAGAGCCAAGCTGATCTGCTGCGTAAAGCGGGCGCCGGCCAACGGCAGATGGAGAAGGGATGCGCAGTTCGGGTGTGGCAAAGAGAAGAAGGATTAAAGGCCCGAATGGGCTGAAGGAGAATGGGATATGTGATAGGCTGGGCCCCAAAGCAGTGGTTGGCCGTCGAAAAGAGGGTGGACGGGTAAATTATGAAGTGACGTTTTGGCTTGTGAAGCTTGCTACTTTGTTCAGGTAAGGTACTTGCGCCGACCCGGCTGACGTATTGTTTTCTTCATCATGAAAGCTTCTCTTCAAGTTCAAAGTGGAAGAGCGCCAAAGCTCCAGCTCGGTGTGATTCTTTGAGAGCTAGATCTGGATGCCGAGCACAATTTGTCATATTCGTGCCTGCTGGGGTTGCGTTGCAGCAAAGATACAGTAAATCTGCGGGCCAGCGCTTGGAGGAGCTGGTGGGGATGATGCGCTCGTCGCTGTCAGGCTATCGTCGCATTATCGATCTGTAGGATGACGTCTGGTGGAGCAAAGGCATGAATATGTAGCCCATGGGCTGGTCAACTGCGCGCCCGGGAACCAGATATGCGTCCCCGTTTCTCTTCTTGGCCTTTCACTTGTCTATGGTGCCTCGAAAAGAGAGATTTCCCGTATGTTACAGCATAAGCATAGAATCTGTGTAACGGTGTTGGTTGTTTGTGATATGCATGTCTTCGGTGTAAACCGTTAGATGCAACGGGCAGCTAACATGGTGGAGCGGGCAGTACAGACGGCGGCCAGGTAGGGAAGCGCAGCATTAGCATGAAGCTGTCCCAAGATTCAGTTCCAAAGCGAGGGATAAAAGGAGCAGAGGCAGAGAGCCCGTGACTTGCAGAACCAGGTATGTACGTTGGTCGCTGCGCTATAGAGAAACAGGTCAGTTGCCTCCAGTTTAATCACTATATTTGCCTGCGCGTGAGCGTATAGATGGAGTATTGGCACGTCGTGTTGGCTCTAGCCGCTGTACTAACCCTGCATCCATCATATGCCGTTCACGAAGCATGTAGTAATGGTCGTACGACGAGCCCAGGATCAGGACTAGCCCGCGCAGACAGATGCAAGCGCCGCCTCTCGATGGCTTGCAGAGCTCGTAGGAGCTTGCATTTCAAAGTTCCCTTGGGTGGTGCCCCCGGCTCGTGGTCCCTTTTTGGGTCTTTCGGTGTCCCAAGCCCCGGCCTGGCCCCTCGCTATTCCAAAGCCACGTTATTTCTCTTGGACTAGCAAGGGGCTCTTCCCCACACACCATCGCAGGTTATGCGAGGGAGAAGAGGTTGCGATTCGTTGACGATTGCTTGGTAGAGTTGGCTCTAGTGCCAAGCAGCCGTTCAACCGTTGCAGCTATGATGGATTGGTATCACCATGCTCGAGGGAGCTGCCACAGGCATGATTTGACGAGGCGGTGGTGGGGAGGGAAAGGGCGATGGGAGCGATGATCAGAAGGCATGGAGAGCCACGGGCGAGATTCAGCAACGACAAGTTGAGCGAGTGCCTGCAGCCATCGACGCATTGTTGAAGCTGCTCCAGATGGGGGCTAGGCAAAACCCACAGCTCGAGAGGCTACCTACTTGTGTGTGCTGGAGTCATGTGTGCCGACGGGCGAATCAACTCGTGCAGTCTGCCAGACGGCGATGCTCCGCAGATAGGCAATTCTGCTGCTTGCAATCAATGGCCATGAGGCACTGTTGCATTCGAGCCGCCTGTCGTTTCGTACGAGTTAATTTTCGATTCCATGTCGAACAAGGGCGGAGACCAAACAAAAACCACTCGCAAACCTGGTCTGGCGTCATTACCTCTTCTGCCCAGCCCGCTCGGCTAATATCGACGACCTCGTACTTTTCTCTCTCTCTCCTCTCTTTCCCTCGTTCTGCGTTTGTCTGTCTTTTGCGCCGTGTCAATTTTAGACGGCTGACGAATGAGGCGTTCCCGAACCAACCGGGTTAGAGAGGGGGCTAGAAAATGGAATCAAATAAACGGGGAAGAGGCGTTGAACGTGGCGACCGCTCTAGGAGAATTGACTTTTCTTTGCCGCCATTCTGCTGAGGATCAATCGATGTTCGCTAAGTTGGCTGGAGAAATTGCAGATGCCTCCTAACCAAGCCTTAGTCGCTGCTACGCCAGATGGTGTGCATACCGTCGCATGCAGGCGAGGGGGAGATGCCTCCGCGTGGCTTACCCCGGATACATACATCATACGACAAAGACAAAGTCCAGCCATCCAGCTGGGATGCCCCTCTCTTGTGCTTGTTTATGCTCCCTCGATTCGATCGATGATGTATCACCTGGTTCATACCTACAGAAATAAGAGTTCATGGCGGAGTGATCCTGCTAGCGAGAGACTGGGGGAGGGGACCGAATCCCAAGGTTCGAGATGGCATGCTGCAAGACAGGAGCTGTCCACCGGCCGAGAGACAGATGCGGTTACAGCATCGATGTCAAGGACAGCCTGAAATACTTTCGATGCTACCAAGGGCCAGGTACTGGCTGACCGTGAGATATTTTAAGCATCGCACAGTAGCATCGACTGCTGCTCACGCACTCTTTGGCCTTGGCTCTCCATCTGCCGCCTAGATTAAACATAAGAGGGTTTCATGACGAGGTAATGACCGGCCCAACTGCCAAATTATTAATTTATTGATTGGATCTATTGATTTGTATATACAGCCTGCGGCCAGAGGGATCGGGATTGTTCAGTCAGTGGCACACACGCATGGCCGTAAGTGCCAGGTACTCGCTGTAGTAAAACGCAAGTTGCTTACAGAGCAGCGGCGGAAACTGACTCGGGCTGGAGTCTTCAGGGCAGCGTTGCGTGCCGCTGGCTGCTGAGCCTCAGTGCTCTGCTCTCCATCTGAGCCGTCTTTATGTTTCATGTTCAGTGAAGACCCTCCGTGGATCTTGATATCGTATGAAACTTGTGTAGTTGTACCTGTACCATCATCGCCTGCTGCAAGGCGTTCTTCAGCAAAGCAACAGACAAAAGGCCCGTCCCTCCTCGTTCGGGAACTGATATTCCGCCGGCGTTGAATCCTACACGGTGCCACCAGGCACCTGCTCGCTCACAGGCTTCTCATCTCGTCTCGTCCACCCCAACAACCTGTTTCCCATTCGCCTCATGCAGCCCAGACTCAACCGGCTGGCCTCTTCCCCTCCCCCACAGCGAGCGAGTTCTGTGCAGGCGCCGCTTTAGTGCAGCACTACCTGCTAGCCTTGCCAGCCGGCCAGCATTAACCCTGGGCGCTAAGCCGCTAGCAGCATCCAGCACTGTGCCACATGCGCCAAGTACTGCCTACCTTGTGCGCCGTAGCGGCGCAGGTACTGCGCAAAAGCGGTGCTGCACCATCGGCCAATGCCAGCCCTGGCGCCCTGCAAGCGGCCTGTCCCCACTGGCCCACAGCGAGCTGGGGAGCCCCGAGCAAAGGGCCTGGAGTGAGTCGCGGATAGCGGACTCTGCGCTGGGGGCCTTTCCAGAAACCAACTGGACCACTTCCATGCCAGACTTGGCTGCATTTCCGCGTCCTGACGCATCCTCGTCCTTTTCTTCCGCATCGCCTCACCTCTCGTGCTTTCTTCCGCTCTCTGCTGTTCGGTCGCCATTTGCTTCGCCCTTTTCTGCAACCTGCTGCGGCGTATTTTTTCACGTCCCTCGCTCGTTGTTCCCAGACACCGTTTGTCGGCTCCGAATCCGACTCGATTTTCTCTCCCGACGCACTCTCTTAACCACCGACGCAGCGCCACCACCGGGGCCTTGGTCCAGCCTCCCACATCCCCGTCACAAGATCAAAAGGAGGAAATAAAAAGGGAAAATTAAGGGCCTGTACAATCAGGCTAGGCCGCTACTACGACAGACTTCTTCTCCGCTGGTCAGCTGGCGTTGACAATTCGATCCATTTGCTTGCTCCGTCGCCTCTGTACTTCGAATGAATACCCTCAACTGCCGTCCTCGATCTCGTTGAGTGGCTGCTGAAGCGGCTCTGGCTGCTTGAACTTTGTCTTTGCGCTTCTTCCTCTTCACCGTCGCCCATTACTATACCCAAATATCGAATATTGCATACGTAGCACGACAAGATGGCCGGGTTTTTTAACAAGATCAAAAGCGCCAGCACGGTATGCCTCTCATTACTCTTCTGCACGATAATCCACCCTTCCGCCTTCATTTGCGATGATGTTACAAAGTCGATCACCATGTGCTCAAGAGGCACTGGCATAGTTCGCGCCGAAATCATCTAGTCGCTAACAACCCATCAAGCTGCAGCCGTCGACAGCGCAAACTACCAAAGATGTGGTACCCAAGAAGAAGGATGAGATTGTACCAGAGTTGACTCCACTCGAGAAGATGCTGCAGAATGCAGGCGCTTTACGAGAAGATGGAACTGACAAGTTTTTCGGCTTCGAAAACGTATGTCTATCATCCCATGTTCTACCATGTCCCTTTTTCTGTTGTGTGACTGCCACCCTGCTAACAAAAGCCCTAGTTTGGAAATACCTGGTTCGCTTCGTCTTGTAGACCCAATCAAGATAGAACTACTCAACCGCTAACTTGACGTGTTCTAGTTATTGTAACTCCATAGTACAGGCGTTGTTCTATTCCGATCTGTTTCGAGAAAGCGTAATCAACTACCCATCGCTATCACCATCTGGAACACCCAATGGCAGCCGACCAAAGGTTAACGTCACTATTCGCCCACCAATGCCGGCGCCCCCGCCTCAACAGCAGAAGAAGGGCATCAGCAACAAGGAAGCAATGAAACAAAGACAGGCCATCAACAACGGTCAGCCTGCACCTGGGCAGCCTGCTATCAAGCCCGAGGACAAGCCGGATACTCCCGAATACAAAAAGAAGCAGGCCATGCTCAAGGGCCCTATCCTCGAGTTGGCGCAAGAAAATGCTGTGGGGTACGGCATGGATGAGTGTACCTTTACAGGACTCAAAGATATCTTCCTGGCAGTCCTCCAGAGCAGCACTCGAACAGGAGTCCTCAGCCCTCAGCGTTTTCTCGAGATATTCAAGCGCGATAACGAAATGTTCCGAAACTCGATGCATCAGGATGCCCACGAATTCTACGGCCTCGTGTTAAACGACGTCATCGCCAATGTTGAAGCAAATGCGAGAAGGCTCCAGGAGCAGCTGGATATCAAAGGCAATGGCGAACTTGCGCAGTCGGTACAGAATGCCTTGGGATCCGCGCTGATGAATAACATGACTGGCTACCGCACCCCTGGGACGGGTTGGGTCCACGACATCTTTGAGGGGGTACTAACTTCTGAGACTAAGTGCTTGACCTGTGAGACAGCGTCACAGAGAGACGAGACTTTTCTCGATCTGTCAATTGATCTCGAGCAGCACTCATCGGTCACATCTTGTCTACGAAAGTTTTCGGCCGAAGAGATGCTCTGTGAGCGAAACAAATTCCACTGTGACCACTGCGGCGGCCTGCAAGAGGCTGAAAAGCGAATGAAGGTCAAGCGCTTGCCTAAAGTACTCACTCTACACCTCAAGCGATTTAAGTACACCGAGGATTATAGCCGTCTTCAGAAACTGTTCCATCGGGTTGTCTACCCCTATCATCTGCGCATGTTCAACACTACGGATGACGCAGAGGACCCTGATAGGATGTATGAACTCTATGCTGTTGTCGTTCATATTGGTGGCAACGCATACCACGGCCACTACGTCTCCATCATCAAGACCAAGGATCGCGGCTGGGTCCTGTTCGATGATGAGATGGTTGAGCCTGTTGATAAGCATTTTGTGCGCAATTTCTTTGGCGACAAACCCGGCATGGCAACTGCGTACGTTCTCTTTTACCAAGAAACGACTTTTGAGAAAGTCAGGGAGGAGCAAGAGAGAGAGGGAATGGAAGAGGTGAAGTTGGCGACGCAGGCTGCTAATATAGCACAAGACGAAAGCTTGGACAAGCCAGATCCTGCTCCCCTGAAGCGGCAAGTAACAACACCCGTTGCAATGCCGGAGCACGAGTCTTTGGCAACTCTCGCACATGCCGCTACAGCAACCGGAGTGCCATTACCAACTTCACCCATCGTCGAATCCCCAAAAATACCCGAGATGCCGTTTATTGGCGCGCCGGGCGTGAGCCTCACAGGCAAAAAAGCCACCAGGATAGAAACAAAATCTAGGGATGATTTGAAACGAGAGAAGAAGGAGCGCGAGGCCGCTGAAAAGGCGGCGGAGAAGGCGGCGAAGCAAGCCGAGAAGGAGAAAGAAAAGCTCAGAGAGAAACAACTTAGAGAAGACGACAAGAAACGCAGAGAAGATCATATGCAAGCTATGCAAGCTCGAAGGAATGAGCAAGATGAGCTACAAAAAGTACTAGAGGCTAGCAAGAAGTCTGCAGCCGTTGAGGAGGCCGCCAGAAAGAAAGAAGAAGGCGGATCTTCTGGGTTCCTTGATCGGTCTAAACGAGGTAGCAAGTCGATGTCGAAGCGAAGTTTCAGCTTCTTCAAGGACAGGAATAGCTCCCTGGATACCACCATCAATGGCGACGCTCCAGAGAAAGAAAAAGAAAAGGAGAAGAGGACAGGTCGCATGAGCATTGGTCTAGGCAGGAAGAGGAGCACGCCATTCTTAGCATAAAGCGGGATACAGTGGTCTTATTTTGAATAATCAAAAGATATTCACGACACAAGAGACAGACACGCACACAGAGACACGCACATATACGGACAACAAAAAACCGTCCAGGGAGGTGCGCAATAATAGGCGTATGGCGAATTCGCATGTACGATTGATGACAGGCATCTTTTGCATTTTACAGTCTCTATCAATCTCTATATATTCGGGAGGAAAATTCTTTTACGCCGAACCAAGGAGGAGGAACTCAGCATGGGAAGCAATCTTTTCACTTTTTCCCTCCACGCATAACATTCGCTTTTTAAACCGCACACGCCATTCTTGCGGCAGATCTGTTGAAGCAGGAAAATACGACCAATTCATTAGGGCATGGCGTTTACTGCATGATTCAAACAGAAACATGCTGCGGACTAGGTAACGCATGGCTCACCACAATCCGCCGACATATGTTACTCCTTCTTTGTCTTTAGCTTTTCTCTGTCGATTTTACTTTTCCATTCTTTTCTATATTTTGGAAGTTTATTTTTTCCCATCTTTCTTTTTGGAACTTGATTTGTATTCTTCTGCAAGAGTTGTATCATACATTTAGTTGTCTTACATAGCGTTGGGAGGGGATAATGTTTTTAAGGTGTGCAGCCGCCGAGATGTCACCACTGAATGAGAGGTGGTGCCGCTGGCAGAGCTGGGATTTTCGCGGAGACTGGTCAAGGGACTGTGCTTTTGAGGCTCTTCGGAGGTAATAATAGCAGTGAGTTTGGCTTGCAACAATAAATAATGGTGACAATATCTTTTTCTTCTTCGTGCAGTTGCTCAGTAAAGGTGTAAGCTGGAGGGGAGAACGTTGCGCTGCAGTGCGGGAGATGGTTGAGCCGTTCCGAGACATTCCCGCCATAGCGAAAGGGAGCTCAGTCCTATGAGAGATGCCATCTCACTTGAAACACACATGTGTATTCAGGACGGCAGTGAGTTTTGACCTCCATCTTTCTACTACCGTCAATTGTGAAGCTTGGCTTTCATTAGCGTAAGCTGGATCTTATTTAGTTATAACAGAGCCTAAATCTCTCAACTCTGGTGCATTTCAAGGAGAGCATTCAAGTGGCCGTTTAGTCTACCTACGTGTACATAGCCCAGCGCCCTTTCACACACATGAGATATGATATGATATAAACGTCTACCAGGCCGTCAACAATGGAACTCATAGGTATGTGCAAATCCCTCATTGAACTTCAATCCATTTGCGTCATACACCACAACCAGTCAATTTATACTAAACCAGAACCCCCCAACCGCAGACCTCCTCCTCTTCATCGTGCCTCTGCTGCACCTCCTCGCCGCCCCCTACACCAAAGTCGAAGAGTCATTCAACCTCCAGGCCACGCACGACATCCTCGTCTACGGCACCCCCACGCACGACATCCACGAGCGGCTCTCCTCCACGTACGACCACTTCAGCTTCCCGGGCGCCGTGCCGCGGACGTTTGTCGGGCCGGTGCTCCTGGCGGGCGTGAGCCAGCCGCTGATTGCGCTGATTGGCTTCGAGCACGCGCAGTTTGTCGTGAGGGCGGTGCTGGGCGGGTTCAATGCCGTCTGCTTGGCGGTGTTTGGGGCTGCGTTGAGGGAGGCGTTTGGGAGGGGGGCGGCGAGGTGGTGGGTGGTGTTGAGCGTGACGCAGTTCCATGTGGTGTTTTATCTGAGCAGGACGTTGCCGAACATGTTTGCTTTTGGGCTGAGTGAGTTGCCCCTATTTCCCGTCTTATCCTTCTTTACCACTCACTCAACGCAATGATATTCCCTTCTGGTCTCATCTTTCATGCTTCATATCTCGCTGTATTCTTTATACTCCCTCGACCATACTAACATTCAACTAACACAGCAACCCTGGCATCTGCATTCCTCCTCCCCAAAAACAACGCCTCACTCCAACGAACTCGCCGTCGCCAAGCAATCGCCCTCCTCGTCTTCGCCACAGCCATCTTCCGCTCCGAACTGGCCATCCTTCTCGCCGCAACGGGAGTCCTCGCCCTCGCCAAATCCTACCTCAGTCTACGCGAGCTCATCACCTTCTTTCTCGCCTCCTTCATCGCCGCGCTCGGCCTCTCCATCCCTATTGACTCGTATTTTTGGCAGAAGCCCCTGTGGCCAGAGCTCGCGGGCTTTTACTACAATGCCGTGCTGGGGTCTTCCTCCAACTGGGGCGTCTCTCCATGGCATTACTACTTCACCTCTGCGCTGCCGCGGCTCTTACTTAATCCGTTGTGCTTTCCTCTCATTGGGCTGGCACTCTACCAACCTGGAACCTCTCGCCGAGTTCAAGATCTGGTTATTCCATCCATTGTCTTTATTGCCGTGTACTCCATCCAGCCTCACAAAGAAACACGCTTCATCTTCTACACCGTCCCTTCGCTCACTGCTGCCGCCGCCGTAGGTGCCAGCTTCATCTCTTCACGCCGATCAAAATCGCTCCTCTATAGCCTCGCCACCGCGATTCTGTCCCTCTCTATCCTCGCCGCATTCGCCGCAAGTACCGTCATGCTCCTCCTCTCATCCCTCAACTACCCCGGCGGCGATGCGCTGTCCCAGCTCTACGCCATCACTTCAAACGACACTTCACCCTCTCCTCCTCGGCTACTCGTCCACGCAGACGTCCTGACTTGCATGACCGGCCTCACCCTCTTCGGCCAAAACCCACATGGTCTCCCTCCCATGTCCTCAACCTCTTCCTCTCCGACCCTGCTGTTCGATAAGACAGAGTCAAGCGAAGAATTGCATCGTCAAGACTTCTGGTCTCAGTTCGACTACGTCCTCATGGAAGATCCATCCCTCGTCCTCGGAACATGGGACACCATTGGCCAAATCCACAGCTACGACGGCATTGAAATCTTCCGGCCCGGGCAAATTGCCAAAGCAGCAGAAACGCTGCATGTAGAAGGAGTCAAAGATGGTATTCTTGGACAGGGCGCAACAATTGCCACCGTTAGGGATTTCTTAAGGAAGCTGACTGGGGGCTGGTGGATTGGGCCACGCATGTCCCCTCGAATTCATATTATGAAACAGGTCCGTGAAGATGATGCTATATAGAAGTATAGAAACAAAAAGCCCCGTTGCTTCTGGTATGCACAAAAAAAGAAGACGGGACGCGGCATATCGCCCATGTACAATATATAAATGAAGAAGGCAGTGTTTCAGTCCATGTCTGTCGAATTAATTACTAGATAAGAGCAAACATATAATATACACATACGCAGTCGCCAAACTCAGGAAAAAAAGAACCAAATCAATTTTCTTCGCAATCAATCCTATACAAAAGTTGTTTTTTTCCCCCCCATCTCCCTTCTTATCCAAATAGCAGTCCTCTCTCTTCGCCCATTGAATGCAAACTAAATCTCCATACACAAACAAAGCCACTCTTGTGGCTACTTGTAACAGTGATAAACAAAAGGAGAATAGGGGGATAAAGCGCAAAACAGAGCCAAATAATCAATCTCCTTGAGAAAAAAAAAAAAAAAAAAACAACCGCTGTGCTACCCAATTTGTTTCGACTGTAGATGCATTTGAACCAATCCAATCCTCCTCATCCTTCCTCCAGAGGTTATACAAAAAAAAAGAAGCTCGAGAAAAAACAAGAAACCACTCATAACAGTATATGTAGAGGTGTATATATAGGTGGTATATATATATACTGCACCATCATCCGCTCCCGTCCCAAAGCATTTGCTAACCTTCTCGTACAACTTCCCCCCCTCCCGATAAACAAAACTTTCGCCAAAGACTGCGCCAACGCAAAGCCTTATATGTATAAATCCATCCCGACCACGTTGAAACCTGATTTTGATCCAAGAATGCAACAAATAAAATTAAGGGGGAAAACAAAGAAAAGGAGAGTATATATAACTCTGCTTTCCAACTCCAACAACCCTCTCTTCCCTGCGCCAGAGGTGCAGAATGATAAGAAAAACTCCACCATGAGAAGAAGCTCCAAGTAATTCAGTAAAGTGAGCGCTCAACTTGTTTAGTAGTACAAGTAAAATAAAACATCTTACTCTTGTTCTGTCTCACTCCCATCTTCGAATTCTTCGATACTGTCAGCCGTCAAAACCCCGTTGCTGCGGTCATCGTCATCGAATTCGCCATATTTTTGCTTATAGCGCTCGAGCTCTTCTTTTTGCGCCATAAAGGCCTCGAATACTGCAGCCATGGGAGCACGAAGTTGATTCAGTTCACGGAGTGTTCCTCCGCCAATGGCAAGATGACGCATCGTCAGTGTCGACACACAAGTCTATTGGCACTCGTCAGTATGGTCCGATTGAAAAGGGAGGGATGTTATTTGGACGAATTGCTTACCTCTATTCTGCTCACTTGATGTTCCATAAAATTAATCAAGAAGCGTTCAGTGACTTCACCTCCTCTGTTCTTCATACGTTCAAGGAGTTCAGTCTCGGGCGGCTGGAGTCCCGGTCCCCTAACTGTCTCGAGTGTACTGCACAGCATCTCAAGACGCAGGCTGACTTTCCACAATGACCAAATAGCGTCCGGGTCAAAGGAGAGCTCGCCACCACCCATAATGGCAGTGGGTTTATCCGGCGTTTCTACCTGACGTTCATGCTGCAAGTGGTATTCAATACGGCCGGTAAGGGCGTGTGGATACAGAGAATAGACAATCTCGGGATTTTCGAGACCCTTTAGCTTCTTCTCTCCCATCTCTTTGACTTCAAATCCTTGGGACGTCAAAGACCTCAAGTCTTTGCGTATAGTAGCCGCAAGAGACTCGTCTTCGAAAGAGGCTTCCGACCCGGCCGAGACGTTTCGATCAGTGTCTTGATAGTTCTCCAGACAGCGCTGGATTTCAGAAATGAAGTCTGAAGAAACAGTAATCTGGCCGCCGTCGGCAACAGCAGATATACGTGACGCTTTGTTGACCATAGGGCCAAAGTAATCCATACGACGAGTGACGGGGTCTGTTTCGCACACGCAATCTCCATAATGAATACCCATGCGAACTGACAAGCCCTTGAAAATAAGAGCGTTGTCCTTATCATATATTGGCTGACATGACATTGAGTTCAATACTTCGGACGGCCAAGGGACGTCAAGGAGTTCCATTTGAACAGCAAAACACCAGAGCAGAGCTGAAGTCGCCGTGGGGAATGACACCATGAAAGCATCGCCTTCAGTCTTGACTTCGTATCCTCCAATTCGGCGTAGCTGCCGACGCATGACTTCGTTGTGCAGCTTGATGGCTGATCGCATTGCGTTGGGGTACATTTCCCAGAGAGTCGTGGAATTCTTGATGTCGGTGAAGCAGATAGAGACGTTGCCGGTTGGTGCTGGGATTTCTGCCTCGAGCCGGTTAAGGGAAGAGTCGAGGACATCCCCCTTGCCCTTTCGTCCCCTTCTTGTAGAAAGAAGATACGGGGCTTCAGCAGGGACGCCCGAAGGATAAAGCGACATGCTTGTGCCACGATGAAGGCGGGAACGTTCTACCCTCCTCTTCAGGTCGACCACGCTAATCATCATTACCATAATCTTCCCAGACGCGCCGTAAGCCATTGCAAGGTCACGAAGTTTCTGAGCAGCACGCATGAGATCTTGGCGCTCTGCTCGCGCAATATCAGTAACGAGACCAGGTGGAAGGTATTCCCAGAGCTCGCTTGTAGCCATGACAATAATGTCGTCATTCTCTCGAATGGTCATGTTGGTAACGTGAGGAGCAGCTTGGACGGCAGGCATCAGATCAACATATCCAAAAGCTCGAGACACTTGTAGTACATCGTTCAATCGACCATTGCGAGATACCCATCCTCCGGCTTCGCGAATCCGTGATCGTTCCGATGCCTCTGCAGGATCGTGTTTCCGGGTCAAGATGTGATGCTTGCTGTCGGTTTTTATGACCATGGCCTGTACATCACCAACATTTGCCACGTACAACTCTGTGCCCTGAAGATACAGGACGGTGGCGACTCCTCCAGAGTTCAAATCCTCCCTACTAAGAATGACCGGCTGGGTGACGCCCCTATGCGATTTCTTCTTGCGATCATCGGTATACTGGACTGCAGCGGTCACTAATTCTTTGTTGAGGGCCAGGAAAGCCCTGCGGAGGGCATCGGCCGGCGTTTCGCTTTGGCGGGTTTTCAAGGCCTTGAGCTCCTGGGCAAAGATGAGTCCAAAGTTTTCGTGAAGATACTTGGCAATCTTGGACCCTCCGCTTGATAATGCCTGGCCATCGAAGAGGCCGAGAAGCATCTCCGTTTCCGACGAGTTGAAACGCGGCACGACAAGGTCAACTGTCGACAAATGCTCGTTCTTGCCGAGAGTGTCGGCCATGCCATATGGCAAATGACCTGCCAGTGACCCGGATGTTCTAACTCGCCTATCTTCGCTCTGGTCCGGTATGCTGGGTTGAGTTAAGGTGACATCCATCAGTCCAAGTATCCTCAAGTTAGGAAGCCGATTGAAGTCGGTGTACTCCTCCCGATTCACAGCACCAGGGCCATCAATGCCGCCCCAAGCAGTCTGTTTGATCTCCAGTCGCTTGTTTCCAGAGAGATTCAGGTATCTGAGGTTGGGATTCAGGTTCCAGTTCCAGTCATATGGAACATTGGCAATGTTGTACTTTAGAGAATTATTGCCGCAGTCCAAAATCGCAAGCTTCTTCGCTCTTGATATATCAGCCGGAAGATTTGTGAACTTGTTGCCGTTGATATATAGGGTTTGAAGAAGGCTTGTTTCTTCTAAATCGTCTGCCGGAAGGCTCGTCAACACGTTTCCGGAAAGATATAGCTCTACAAGCTGTGGCCAACTCTTCATCGACCTTTGAGGCATATCACTAATCTCCCAGTTGTATGACAGGTTGAGAACCCTGAGCTCCGCGAGAAGTGTAATTTGATCGAAGACATCGTCATCCAGACGATTATCTGCAAGATAGAGATTTCGCAGCGAGCCAGAAAACGTATTTGTCAGTCTAGACGACAGGCCTGAATCCTTTCTTAATGATTGGGCCGAAGTCGAGACTGTGTTCTGTGACTGCGTCGTTCCTCTAGACATGACGGACGTCTTACGTCCGCCCTTTCCATAAACGGACACAACAGAACTCTTTCGATCTGCTCCTGGTATGTTAGGAGTTGGGCCAACGCTCAGCAAGGTGGTGCTGGACGCTTGGCTGGGTCGGCGTTCCTCTCCTAGTTCGTCAGAGCTACCAGTGGCAGAGAGGGTCCCCGACGGGAGCGCCTTGCCATTGGATGTTGGAAGCGGCCCCTGTCCTTCTTCGCCGGGTAGCCGTGGGGCCCGCGAGGCAGGCTTAGGGAAGGTTTCTAGCATGTTAGAGGAGGCATTGAAGGTCTCAAGCCTGTTGGCCCACCATATTTCCATAGGGAGCTTGGAAATATTGTTGTCTCGAACATCAAGAACCCTCAGCTCTGTTAGGCAACCAATCTGAGGCGGAAGCTCGCCCACAGAATTATGGGCAATGCTGAAGTGCTCCAGACGAGTCAAGGCGCCAATCTGGGGCGGCAGCGAGACAAAATGGTTCTTGTCAAGGACTAGGCGCTCTAAGTTTGGCATGTTCGCGAAAGCGGAGTCGATACTTGCCAGCTGGCCTTGTGAAAGGTTCAGGGTTTTGAGGGTCGGAAGCGGCTCTTGGATTTCGAACTTGTTGAGTGGATTGGAGTTCAGCTTGAGTTGGCGGATCCGCTCGAACTTGCCCTTAAAGGCCGAGATGTGGTTGTGAGCGGCGTACAAAATCTCCAGTTTGGGAAGCTCGGAAATCACATCAATATTAGTGATATAATTGTACTTGATATCAAGTTCGCGCAGGCTGATGAGATCTCGGAACGTATCTGGGACGCTATCACTCAAATGGTTATTGGTAATGAGAAGTTTTTCCAGGTTCTTCAACTGGCCAACCTCCTCTGGCAGCTCTGAGATACTGTTGAAGCTTAAATCTAGATCAACCAGGCTCTGCAACTCGCATAAAAAGGGAGGAAATGAATCCAAAAAGTTGGAAGAAAGATTCAAGCTCCTTAGCGCCTGGTACGCACCGAAGTAAGGAGGCAAGTGCGTTAGGCGGTTGTTGGCGAGGTTCATCTTCAAAAGTCCAGCGAGGGCGTTCAATTCAGCATGCTCCAGCTGTTCTAGCCTGTTGTTCGAGGCATCTAGATACGTGAGTCTCGCAGCGCGGCCGAGGCTGAGCGGCAATTTTCGTGCCTCGTTATTGTTAAATTTGATATCCCGGAGATTCTTGCAGGACTGGATAAAATCCCTTGGCACATCCAGCGACAGATTGCGCGAGAGGTTGAGAGATATAATTTCGTTAGCTCTAAGATAGAGGGAGATGGGGATGGTGACGAGATTGCGACCCGCGAGGTCAACATAGTTGATCTTTTGGGCTTTCTGAATGCCTAAATCCGCGGTTTTTGAATGGAAGTCACTTTCCCTGGCAGACAAGAACATGAATCGGCACAAGTAGCCGATGTCCTCTCGGCCCAAGTCCTCTATCTTATCTTTCTCTTCGTAGCCGAGTTGCTGTAAAAGTCGTTTCTGAATGAGCAACGGCCGCTCGCCCGGCGTTAGGACGCGAATCAGGTCATGCTTCCTCATGATTATGTGATAGTTCTCGAGCCCGTCGACGACATAAGTTTTCTTAATAACTTGAGATATCACTTCCGCGACGGTGGCATCTAGAGGCATGGAGTGTGTTGAAAAGGTCCCGTCCGATCGGAAAATGCGAATAAAGTAAGGAGTCAGCTTCTCCTCCGGCCGTGGTGGGCTTGAGAGGTCTTCTACTTCCGGTTGCTGTACCGTAGTGTCCTCGGTCCCTCGGCGGACTGCCCAGCTGTCAGGAGCATCCCAGCGTCCCTTCGGCGCTGAAACTGCCGAATCGATGGAGTCAGGGTCGACGTTATTCACGAAGGATGTGTCCATGGGGGTCAATGGGGGTGGCTTGGCCAGAATACCTTCCATATCGTTCAAGTTCGTGTCGAGGTGGTACATGTGGCCAGGGTCAGCGCGGTCGGTCGGGCCAATGGTATCGTCGCATTCGAAGGGCCGAGGGGGTCGCCTGTTCTTGGAGAAGGGAAAGTTGTTCTTGAAGGTTGCGGCGCGAGGACCAGCGAGCGACCGAGTCTCGGAAGCATCAGAGACGTCTCCAGAGCCGAGAACAAAGGTGGACGGGAATGCAGATGGCGACAGCTCGGGGCGCGTCAAATCCGTCTTGGAAGACTTTGCCTGCAAAGATCTCGTAGACTGAGGAAGATCCTTGAGCTTGGAGCCACCGGCATTGCCTTCGTCCTTGTCCTTGTGTCGTCGAAACCGATTGAGCAGCCCAAGTTTGCCATGGTGCCCAGGGGAAGATTCCACCTGGCTTGACTTTGAGTAGGGCGTATGCGCACTGTGAGTGCTCGGTGTCGGACTCTGGGCTCTGGAGCGCGAGCTGCTGAAGATTGTTCCCGTCATGGCTCCTCGGTCGCGGGGATATGAACTGCTCGTGGAGTCTTCCCGACTGGTGCTCGGCCGCAGGCTCCTTGGATCATCGATGCTCTTGTTATGGCGGTGATAGTGGCTGGGCAGGTGGACGATTCCCGCGCGTGAGGAGGAAGAAGACTTTGGCGGCACCTGGGGCGCGCCATCTGACATGTATCGATCCCGATCGGGTCCGGTCATGATGTCTCTCACGGGTGCCTCTCCATACCGCGCAATGTCCTAGAAAGCAAAGCAAGTCAGATTCCGTGACACGACAACAAGCGAAATCGATTCTCCCAATTTCGAATCCCCCCCACTAATACTCGTGGATCGAAGGCGGCCCCGTAACGAAGAAAAAGAGTGGATCGAGCAGAAGGCAAAAAGAAGAGCTTACGCCATTTTCGGAAAAGGGAGGCAGGGACATGGGGACCGTAAAATAAAACAAAGAGTAAAGGAACCAAAAAAAAAAGGATAGGAAAAGACAGACGAAAAAGAAAGGTACGGTGATGATGAAAAAGAAGAAAACAAAGCAGGGAGAAGGAGAGGCGGCGTAGATTAGGTGGGGAGGAGAAGAGAGATTCGGAAACACAAGTCAGACTCACAGTGTTGTCCTGATACAAAAAAGGCACTACTTCAGGGGCCGGAACTGGGGTCCTGGGTCTTGATGATGCAGGCGAGGCATCCCTGGTATGATCGGTGGCATTAGAGTAGTTGCGATCGCGATGGGTTGGGCGAGTGTGACTGTAGGAGCGCGATCGTTGGTCTTTCCCCATATATGATGGGAGGCTACTCTCGGAACTGTCGCGGCCAGGAAACTCTTCGCCAAAGAAGCCCTGCAGCTTGCGCATATTGCCACGGTGCCCACTAGCCTTGGAGCCGGTGCTGCTAGCCGTGGTGGTGACACTAGCTTCTGAGGGCCGTCTGTCGTCTGGAGAATACAAGTGCTCTGGCGAGTCGTGGAGGCCCAGCGACGAGCTTGCGCCGGTGCGCGATCCCAAGCCGTGCAGCCCGGCGGAATACTGCGAGAAGAGCGACATGGTGTCGGCCGACTCGTCGAGGAGGCTCGCGGGATAGTTGGGCTGGTTGGAGTGGCCGCGCAGGGGATCGAGGACGGCCAGGTCGCGGCGATAGTTTGTGAGATCGCTCAGGCGGCGGCCGCTCTCCCTCGACGTCGTCGGCGAGATGGCGCCGCGGGTAGTGGCGGTGGACGTGGTAGGCGAGATCTGGAGATCATCATCTCGTGAGAGGCTTCTACAGCAACGCAGGGACCCGCGTTAGACATGTTGCGCAGACGAGGAAACGGCTCAAGGCGACGGCAAGGGCGGACGGCACGAGAAGGCGAGCGACGGCTCCCGTGTGCCCGCCAGAGCAGAGGCGGACGCTGGAGAGACGAGGCCGGGAGAGATACTCACTTGTAGTGCTGGGGCGTGGAGGCTTCCGTATCGATGTGCGCGGGTGGCGCTGTTCGCGACGCAGCTTCGGCCGTGGCCGTCGTCGGCGTCGAAGGCTTCGCGGTCAGCGAAGAACGAGTGCTGTCGGTGCTTGCGCTCGTGCCGGAGCTGATGCGGAAGGCAGCCTCATGGTCGGCCATTGTCGCCCAGCGGAGAGCTCCAGGCGTCTACCATGCGATGCGGACAGGTGCTGGGAGAGGTCGTCGAGGCGCAATCACGTCATGCTTGACGGTCTGCGGGCAGCTGGCAGAGGAGCGGCGGAACTGTCTGGCGGGCTATTTAACGGCCTCTGGATGGCGGTGCTGGATGTTTGTCAAAGGTCTCGTTGTTTTTCGCTTGTCGACGCCGTAGACGCTACGTTTGACGAGGGGCCGGCGAGCTGGGCATCTGTCGGCTGCGGCGCGGGATTATACAAAAGACGAAAGTCAAGCGTGTGGTCACAAGCAAAGGCTGGGATCGTTCCAGCCCCAGAGCCGGTTTGGCAGGGCTGAACACTTTTGCTCAACTAGCTCTGGGAGGGGTGCGAAGTGAGGGGGTGGGTGGAGGGTCTGGATGTATACAAGTACAAGTAGCATCGCAGAGTCGAGGGCGGCTCGGTGGGAGAAAGCGGATAGACACGCAATGTCTCGCCCAATTTCGGGCCAACGGTTTTTTGCTGTCTGTACTACAATCTGCATTGGTTGGTTCCGCACCATGGATGCACTTTTAAGAAGACACAGTCATCCGAGCGTCTAAAGGAAACTTGGCGCTCTGAGACCAAGCTCACGAATCACTCTCGTCGTCTAATACTTGCTTGTACCTACCTAGTACTACTGGTAGTCAATCACATTTATCTACGCGTACGGCTTCTTCTACGTTATGGTCTTAGCACCTATAGGTTCGCCTATATTTACTACTGCTGCTACGGTACTTGTAAGCCCTTCTACAGGGACTGCATTGGCTCTGCATCCTCCGAGCAAAGACTCTCTCATCACCAGCACTTTTGGCGCCAAGCCACAGGACGGGCTCTTTTTGGAGGGACCCTGGGTGGACCGACTAAATAACTCAGCAGCTGTTTCTTATGCACGTTAACGGCATGACGTTGTCCAATGGATTAGCCTTCTTACGGCAGCATCTTTTGCACATATGTACGTACTTTACTTACACCCGGTCCTGGCCCCATGTAGAAAACACACAGCCGCAGCACGCATTTCCGTCTCGAGAGGGCACACGCGCTTGTACCTGTAAGCGGCATGACCACTCCGTCAAAGGTGAGACTTTGGGATGGGATGGGATTAATTAGCAGCAATCTGCGGGATGCGGAGTCCGGCGCATTGAGCAAAGCCGCCCTGTCAGCTACCGCCAACATTCGGCCGTGCTAGCGATTGTGCGAGGGTGCCAAGGCCTGCTCGTCGATGAATCAGAAGCCGCCGAAATACTGCTGCCTGCCAACTTTTTCACGTTGGTCTGTCAGTCTTGTCTTGCACAGACTGAGAAAAACTGCGCACCAAACGGGACGAGTACGAGGTGCTGCAGCATACCTACATCCACGCCTCCGGTTTTTTTTTTTTTTCCAACTGTGGATATATGCATGTAGTGATCAAAGCAGGTCACACGCATGGGCGCAAACGACAAACGAAACGTAAGATTGCAGCAACATGCATTGATGTATGTATATACAAGTAGGTCGTCTTCGTAGTAGTTTCATCGTCTCGTTTGCGACGCCCTCCCAGTTTTTGCCTCTTGGTTGTTGTTTTCTTCTTCTTTCCCTCGTACTCACGCCCATTCAGAATGGCCCTCGGCAGCCGGGATGTGGACTCGAGCTACGCAGCGGCATGGCACTTGCAGGGCGCCAATCAAACGGGATCGCCCAACCCGAATTGTTGGCCTCTAGTACGATACGGTACACAATGTTGCAGCGAGCTTGCCCTGCCCTTGCACCAGCCCATGTCAGTGTGCAGACCAGACTACAGGCTGATGCTCCGGCCAGCAGTCAATCGATCAATCAGTTAATTGATCAATCAATCAACCCAGCAGCCCAATCAATCAATCGCAGCGGCCGCGCGGTGGCTGATGTGACTGTGATGCTGCTGCCAAATACGGCTGGGCCAAAATGACGTTCTCCCCGCCCGGGGCTGCGGGTCACGGCACCCGCAAATGGGTGCGGCTAGTGGGCGTTGATTCCGCGGCTACGGCACTTCAGGCGTGCTCCAGTACTCTAGTAACTGCGAATACACGCCATGCAGGCGCCGCTATGGAGCGCTGCCAGGTATTAGTGCTGGTGGCGGTACCCAGCTGGCAGCTGCCATGAGCCACAACGGAGCCCGCCGCATTGGTTCGCGGTAGCGTTCAATTAGGTATATCAAATCAATCAAATCAAATCAAATCAAACCAATCAAAATGGAATGGCACCTGTCAGAGCTGCTCATTCATTTAATCTCTTTAGCCCCAGCTGCCCCTCTCCAATCTCATCTCATCTCAGTGATTCAGAGCTGATGCTATTATTATTGACAACCGGCCACAGCTCTCCGTGTTCCATGCTAGCTATGCCCAGTGGTCTGGTGGTTGCAATAGCAAATAAATGGGCGTCTTCTTGAAGCAGCTCTGAGACGGCATCGCTGATACTTTATTCGCGGGTTTCACATTTTCTGCAACATCCCTCCCCTGCTGCCCACGAATCAGTCCGTGTATTCTGCATTTCGTAGCGGTACATGCTGACGGTCTCGCATCCATCTCGCATCTCGCCGTCGCCGTCGTCGTCTAACCCACTTTAGCCCTGGGCTCGACATCCCGCAGGTTTGCCAGGGTCCTGTCGACTCTGGCGGCCTCATCAAGTTTGACAATGACCGCGGAACCTGGTCTAAGGCCATTCGCCACGCAGTAGCCTCTTGTCTCATTAGTGAAAGGAATCTTGGTGGCCAAACATGTGCGCAAGAGCCCGTATCAAGGGGGCTTGGTATAGAATAGAATCTACATGTGCGCGGATAGAGTGGCCTCCTAAGCTTGCGTTTATTTAGAATATGAAACGGAATGGGATATGAATAGAATACTACTCAGAGTAGAATCAAGATGCTGTTTCGATGAGATTCCCTCATTTCAGCTGGTACGCACCATCATGTCGAACCCCTGGCACCTATAATCTCGCTCGTGAGGCCTTCTCCTCACGTAGCCGAGCCACTAACAGCGTATTCCTTCCCTAATTGTACTAAAGTCGCTGTTGAGGCTGGTCAGCTCAGCGCCAAGCAAGATACAAAGCTTCATGCTGGGAAAAGGTTCCTTTGCCGTTGGGTGACACCAAGGAACACACATGTCAGTCGTCTGACTCCCGTGTCACAGCAGTGGTGAGATAAGCGGGCTGGCACATACCATACTGCACGGCCACAGAGAGCTCATGTCGCTCTACATACAGATGCCAGCCAAACGTTGCCAATCTCCACTAACAAAGAGACATGAAGAAGGTAATGGTAGCAACACCTGTGTTTAAAAGGTAAGAAGTAATGCATACACATATTTCATTATTTATCCGCAAAGACAAATTATTTTGTTCATTTCTCAGGCGGCCGCTAGCCTCGATCAATCGCCTGCGTGCAACCTGAAACCCGCCGCAATGTCCGTAACGCCATATTCATCCCACAGCACCGCCAGGCCGGTAACGCCAAGCGTGTTGAATGCTTGTAGCAGATATAATCGTAACATAGTGATACTAAAGATAGCAGCAAGATTTAATCGACAGAGAGCCAGTAAAGCGAATGTTTGCCCCTTAGTAGCATAGGTGGGCAGCTTTCTGCAAGATACCACCGATCTTTATACAGCCATTTGAGACTACCGGTACGCGGCAACCACCTCTACCCGAAACCCGGGCGCAGGACGCGGAGAGAAATCCGGCGCCTCTTCAACAGCCCCAAACAAACAGCCGATTTTCCTACATACCACTTAGACTGCGGCCTAAGGCCAATTCATCATTGTAGATCCGTCAAAAACCACCAGACCGCTTGAGACACTCGAAGCTATTGTGGAGGCAGTGGCCTCCACTACGGTCATAGGCCGCCTCAGTGGCTCAGTGCCCCGCGAACCCCCGCATGTTGCTGCAGTTCCAATGATGGCTAAAACCATTCGCATCTCCATGTGCAGTGTGTCTATATTCGCTCAAGAACTGATACCTCTCAAGTACGTTGATGAGTTGAAAGTTCTGCTGTTCATCACTGCTGTTCCATCAAGACCTATAAATAATAAATTAATTTGTTCTTGAAAGTATCCATCATGGGTTCAGCTCAGGAGCAACTCCGTACTTGGTGGAAGGAAAGCTCAGTTTACCAAATATATCCGGCCTCCTTCCAAGACACCACAGGCTCCGGCAAGGGCGATCTCAAGGGCATTATTTCACGCGTAGGCTATCTTCATGGCCTCGGCGTCGATATTGTGTGGCTGTCGCCCATCTTTCCGAGCCCCCAGATAGACATGGTTGGTTCTGAAACTCCTGTCTTCAAGCAACTACCCTAAAACTCAGTATTCAATGTTCCGACGTTTTCTGATCAGCAAAATGCACTCAGGGATATGACATCAGCGACTACAAATCTATAGAACCCATCTATGGAAACATTGGCGATGTCGACGAGCTCAAGGACAAGCTCCATAAGCGTGGCATGAAACTGGTCCTGGACCTGGTTGTGAATCATACCAGCGATCAGCATGAGTGGTTCAAAGAATCAAGAAAGTCAACGACCAATCCGTTCAGAGACTGGTACATCTGGCGCCCGCCAAAGTATGATGCACAGGGCAACCGACAGCCCCCAAACAACTGGGAAAGCCACTTTCAGGGTACGTGATACAACTTTACCATCGGAAGCAACAGAGTAGTCGATGCTGATTTGCTATAACTCCAGGCAGCGCTTGGGAGTATGATGAGGCAACGGATGAGTACTACCTGCGCCTCTTCTGCAAAGAGCAGCCAGATCTCAACTGGGAGAATCCGGCAGTGCGCAAAGCGGTCCACGACATCATGCGCTTCTGGCTTGGTCGAGGGATAGACGGTTTCCGCATGGACGTTATCAACTTCATCAGCAAAGACCAACGTTTCCCAGACTCGGACAAACCGGTCCTGAAGGGCTATGAATACTACGCATGCGGACCGAGATGCCACGAGTTCTTGAAAGAGCTCGGCGCCATTCTCAAGGAGTATGACGCATTCAACGTGGGCGAAATGCCCTGCGTGGACGACGAGAACGAAATCATCAAGGCTGTTGGCGCTGACCGTGGAGAGCTGAGCATGATTTTTTACTTTGAGCAGTAAGTCGGTAGAAGATTTTTCTCCTCGAGAATATTGGAAAGCTAACCTCTCAAAACCAAGCATGGTGCTCGACTATGGCCCCCAGGGCAAGTTCTCCCCCGGCACATGGACCCTCGCAAAGCTGAAGACTGTGGTCAACAAATGGCAGAATTTCATGTACGACAATAACGGCTGGAACGCCCTCTACCTCGAGAATCATGATCAGCCCCGAATCGTCAGCCGTTTTGCATATGATGAACCTGAGCACCGCGTGGCCAGCGCAAAACTCATTGCTGTATTCCATGCTTTCCAAGCTGGCACCCCGTTTATATACCAAGGACAAGAAATTGGCATGACCAACGTTCCTAAAGAGTGGCCTATTGAGGAGTATAAAGATGTTGAATGTATCAACCACTGGAAGTAAGTCGAACAAGCTGCAAATATACAAGCATGCCTCCACGTGGGGGATCTATACAACGGACGATATGCTGATACCTTGACACATAGCTCGTATAAAGACAGCCCTGATGAAGATCTCAAACGGCTAGTCAAAGCAGAATACCAAAAGAAGTCTCGCGATAACGCCCGCACGCCAATGCAATGGGACGCCACCTCTCAAGCCGGCTTCACAACCAGCGACAAGCCCTGGATGCGTGTCAACGACAACTACACAGAAGTCAACGCCGCCTCGCAAACAGACAGGCGTCGATCCGTGTATCACACCTATCGACTAATCCTGGAGAAACGAAAACAGTACAAGGACATCTTTGTCTACGGCAGCTTCGAGCTCGTCGATGAGCCAAACGACAAGGTATTCGCATATAAGAGGAGAGCAACCAGCGGGGAGACTGCGCTGATTGTGTGCAACTTTTCGTTGGATGCGGTGAAGTGGAAGATGGAAGACGAGCCAAAAGAAGTGCTTTTTACGACCAGTGATAGAAAGTTGAGCCAGGTGAGCGGTGGTGAGCTTTCGTTAGCTCCATGTGAAGCAATCGCTCTGCTTCTCTGAATGTGTTCTTTATTGAGATGCCTGTCATAGACTAGAAGACGATAGCTGATCAAGTCTTGATAAACTATATGAGATCATGAATAGCTGCAAGACACTATGTTCTGTAAGTTGATATAGCATGAACATAATAATGGCATGCACTTCAGAATGCGGCTGGTGTTGCTGCTAACACAGCTGTGTCACCAGTTCCCCGCACCATCTTCCGAATCCGGGGAACGCTGCGTACATGTACATATAGCCTCTGAAAACTCGAGGCTTCAATTGGCACGAATTCATTCTGTATTCTCCAGGAGCTACCTTCGATATCTCGGCTGTGTCAATGTTCTTTCAGCTGCCGGCAGCGCGTATCAAGGCTCTATTTCTTCAATCTTTAGTATCATCACTGTCATAATGATTAATTATGATTCACATCACCCGGCATTCAAAATTTCCAATAGCAAATTCTCTACTGCTAAATCTAAGGACGAACATTTCCAGCGATGCTGGGCTCAGCAATCTTGTGGAGGATGCTTAGATAGCCTCGGCTGCAGCTGGTGCCCCTATGTGAGTCTAGTCTTTTGCAGACGCTGGGTTCCCTTTGTGAACTTCTCCCTCGCAATGATGCTCCGGTTCTGCATCTATAGCACAATTGGCTTTTGTTCCGGAGAGGTGTATTGATAGTTGTTTGCTTAGACCTGGTCATGTGTCCCAAATGACCATGCGATTCCATTTCTGGCACCAGCTTTTGATGGTGAGATTTGCCCGCATCCTGATGAGAGATGGGAGGTGAGGACGAGACCGCTCGGATGCCAAATTTCATCGAAAATGGGGCTGACGGTTGCCGTGACTATTGTGGCCACCTTGGCGGCTGCACTGGCGGTTGCCGCGTTGGTAGTATTGGTGCGGAAGATACGGAAATCAGGCAAGATGAGCTGGGGATGGGCATTTTGGCGGAGGTTGCCATTTCAGCGGCAGACAGACAGAAGCGATCCGGAGCGGGATCCATTGCTATCGGCGCATCAAGAGAATCCGGCGGGGAATATCTGACAGCGGCGATGTTCTACTAGGGCAGAATGTCCACTCCTCTCAGAACAGAAAGCCGAGAACACAGGAAGGCTGTCACGAATACGAATATACTGCCAGTTATTCAACCAGAGCTGACGGGTGGAATTATCGCCACCTCATCTCCCTCTTGGATCACCGCGCCCTCTTCGCCCTGGGTGGGAATGTCTACATAATCCAGATTGACCGTTACCAAACATGAGTCGAGAATCTTGGCCTGGATGCCGGGATACCGCGATTCCAGCTCGGAAAAGAGTTTGCCAATGGGCACAGGTGCAGGCAGGCTCTCCTGGTCTTTGCCTGTAAAAGAGCCGGCGCTGGCAAAGTAGAGCAGATTGAAGTGGCCGCGCTGTGGTTTTGGTGCGGATGATGTCATGATGAAGAGCAAGGTGAATTGATGCGTTGAGGAAGAAGCCTCAAAGGATCAAGTGTTGCTAGATCGAGTGAGAATTCAGTAAAGCTGCTTATCCTAGGAACAAATCCATCAAGTTTGTTAGCGTAGATGCTTCCAAAAATCGAGAGCGACACTCATAGGATATGAATCAAAGAGTCTAGGATCAGAGATCTTGGTGATAAAATGTGGCATCATAACGATCAGGTAATACATGCTAATAATTTGATACATCATACTAGACTAGGATTTGCGAGATGCAAAAAGGTATAAAAGACAAGTTTACACTTACAGCATCCTAGATGGCGAACAATGTGTATCTTGTTCTGGAAGAGAATCGTCGTTTGATGATGATGAGGGTGAGCTGGCAAACGCACGCGGCTGGAGAGGCTTTTTATGTACATCGTCGCTTGCGGCTTCCACGTGATGGGCCTAAGCCATTTCAAAACTTCCCCAATTAAACTGGAGTAGGTATTGGTGAGGAGGTGGTCAAAATCTATATTTACTTGGAGCTTTTATCTCAACTAATATTGGACACCAATACCTCATCAGTTGCACTCGTCTTAATCAACGTGTCTAATCGCTGCTCTATGCCCTTTACCCAGCCTTCAAAGACCTCTGAATTTTGCTTCATGACCTCGTCGCTTTTGGTCACCGTGTGTTCCAGCTTCTCAATGCCTTCTTTCCATTGTTTGATTTCTGTTGCCATTTCCGCCTGGTGCTTCTCAATCTGGTCGAGGGTCTGGCTGGCAGTTGCGGCGTCGGCATGGATGGCTCTAAGTGACCGTAAGCGGTCGAGGAGAGGGGGGAGTATAGGCGTGAGGTTTTCGATTGTAGGGAGGATTGCGTATAAGGCGTTGACCTTAGCCTCTTGCTCGGAGGTGTCAGCTGGCGACGGCCCTGCGTGCTTGCCGAGCTCTTCTCGCAGAGCCTTGGCCTTTTCGCGTGATTCGTTTAGCTTATCCTGCTCAGAGGCCAGTGCTCGTACTCGGCGGCTGATTGTGTCTAGGTTGGCAGTTGATGCCTGCGACAGGGCCGAAACTTGTTTCTCTAAAGAGTCGAGGGTAGGTAGAATTGCTCGAGGGAGGCCGCCTTCTCCAGCTTCTGGCATGAATGAGGAGCTGATGCCGAGGCTCCTCTCCAAAACCAACAGCCTGCGATCGAAATCCGCAGCTTTGGCAAGTGCATGCGTTTGTTCGTAAGTGGGTGCGTAGGTTATGGTGTATGTCGGTCCGGCAACGGATACTTCCGTGGCAGGCTCATCTGCATTGGAGGATGTCGCATCAATTTTCTTGATGCTGGTGATGCCAGAGCGTCTGGATAGGTCATCCAAGGTTTGGCTGAGAGATTCTAGCCTTATGTCGCCTGGGGACGCATCGCCATCGCCCTCTGCAGCTGCTTTCCGCTTGGCATACTCGTCTCTGGTCTCTTCTACTTCGCGCTTCAGACGAGCAATCTTTCGCTCCAAACTTTCCGCATCGTCATCATCAGAGAGGTCTCCTAGCTCCTCTGTCCCGTCTTGTAGTATTCGTTGGCGGCGGCTGGAGGCTTTGTACGATCGTCGCTTTCCGTCAACACGGTCTGAAAAGTCCGCTCCGCTGATATCAATGGTGGCAGGAGAAAAGCGAGAGCGCGCTTCATTAATGCGCAGCCTTGACCGCGAGATGTTCTGGGATTCGTCGTCTACACCGAATTCATCGTCGGAAAGGGTTCGAGCTGCAGTCGTCTGTTTTGGCCGTTAACTGGGACTTGTAGACACGAGTAGGAGGAGGTACGGAGATGCGCAGTTCTTACCGGAACTGTAGAGTTGTTGTCATCGGTCAACTCTGGAGTCTCGTAGATATCTGGGGCAGAGTCCTGGAGGGGAAGTTAGAAGCTGAGCTGCTGCGTGTTTAACACTGGAGCTTACCAGGTCTGGCAATGCCGCATATTTTCTGTTAAGCGCCATGGTGAGTATGAACGCTCGATCTCGTCGCAAGCCAGCTGCGTCGTGGCAGAAGTTGTAAAAGAGGCCCTGCGGTCAAGCCTTGTTTGCTTGTTTGCTTGCAGCCTGCAGTTGGTGAAGAGTTTCGGAGCTTGCATCTATCAAAGCCCCAAGCCTGCCTTCCAGGGGTCGACTCGCCCTGCAGAGTGGCTTGCAGCAGGTGCCACCAATTGGAGGTGGCGCCGTAGCAATTGGCTGTCAATTCTACCTACCTATACATAAGAGCTGCTACAATAGCGTCATGAATCCTTTTATATCAAATCACGTATGCATGACTTTTGGTTTGCAAACTGAGAGCATCTAATTGATTTTACAGCTGCATCTGAATTGTAGAGATGATCCAGTACAGAGATCGGTTGTATTCACTGTGACAACGCAGACCCCGCCAACTCGATATCCAAGCTTTAGCGATGTTCTGCCTAAAGACACCGTCTTACTTAGTCTCCTGTGCCAACACATCGACGAACTAAGCAGCAAAACTCCCTACTTTAGTAGGAAGACCTCACGCGTCGGAACTGGACGCGCGGTGTAACGTCTGAAAACCACGGCCCCAACCGAAAGACAACGCAATTGGCCGAGGGGTTTCAATTCTGCAGACTTTCCGACCTTGTCCAGACCGGCTGCTGTAATTAATTCTGTGGCATAACCGTTGGTTGTGTGGCCACACCCCGTTTCGGAGCTTCTGCCGAGGGGCATTGATTTTGGAGGGCTCTCTTTTACCAAGGACGAGGGATCATGACTACGCCTCCTGCAAGAAGGGTTGGCTTGAGCATTCGCAACTCGCCTCGCCAGCTACTTAAAACAGTCAATTTCAAAACCGCAACGACAACGGCGGCGACGACAGCAGCAGCAACACCAACAGAAAACCCGACAACAGCAGCAAAAACAAAAACAACAACAACAACTGCGAAGCCGACGGCTGCTGCTCAGAAATCAGATCCCAAGCCTCGAGGAGGACGCTCTCAACTCAAGATCCCCGAGCCCATTCATGAAGATATATATGCACCTCCTCTTGCATCAAGCGACGTGGAGGATGACGACGGCGATGGCGACAACGACGGCGAAACCGCTGAAAAGGAAGAAGCAGGCTTAGAACCCAGCGAGCGAGCGCGTGTCTATCCAGATAGCTCGGATGAAGAAGCCCCTCCTCGGGGAGCAATTTTAGCAACCAAGTTCACGTCGTCGAGTCAAAAGAGCAGGCGGCAAAGCCTTCGAACAAAAGCAACGTTTCAGCTTCCAGGAGAATCTGATGAAGCCGAACCCGGTACCAAGAAGAGGAAGCGACTGCCTGGCACGTCCAACGAAAAAGGGAGCCCAAAGAAAAATGCTAGCCATCTCACGAATAGCCAGGGGTTCGTAAAGAAACAAAAAGTGAAAGCCTCTTATGGGGGGAGGAGAAGCATCAATTCTCAGGAGAGCCGAAAGCTCAAAGGTCTGTGCGATAGTAAATATGAGTACCGATTCGCAATGATTAACGCCTCGCAGTCCCAGAAGAACTTACATTACCCAAACTTCCACGCGTTCCAATCTCAGAAGAACCTACCTTGCCCGTACCTCGACCTCTCGAATATAGTGCCATCAAGTCGATTCGAAAGAGCTCCCAATTTATCATACCAGACTCTGACGATTTTTCGTCCCCCATCAAACGACGTCAACCTCGTCAACGACTTCTGCAGGTTCATTATGGCAACAACAGCGACTCTGACGAGGACAACAACAATGATAGCAATGATGACAGCAACGGTGGCAACAACGGTGGCAACAATGGTGATAACCATGGCAACAACAACGGTGACACTGCGGTTATTGGTCAACCAAAACCCATCACCGACGAAATAAAGCTTGAAAAAGACAAGCCAAAGGAAAAGCGAAGGAAAAATCCACTGAAGCGTTTGGGGAAGAAAAACCCTGCAAAGTCACCCTCACCACCACCGGCGAGGTTCATAATGCCGGCACTGCTCTCCGAATTCAAAATACGTAGCGGCGGCGACAACGACATCGACAACGGCGATCTATCTGACGCGGGCAGCAGTAGTAGTAGCGATCTCAGCTCCCTCGGCGATATCTTCCCAGACAAGGAAGCGCCAAAAGACGGCCAGGCGCTATGTCCCTGGTGCGGCGCCTCAGTCGACATGCAGCAGCTCAAAGAGTTCTCAGAAGGCAGGCAGCGACTAAGCGTCAAAATGCAGACCAAATTCTGCGAGTCGCACCGCAAAACATCAGCACAGCAGACGTACGAACTGAAATCATACCCCGAAGTCCAGTGGGACACCCTGACGGAGCGCTTCGAGAGCCACCGCGCCCGCCTCCTCGGCATCATCAACGGCGAGCAAGAATCACACTATCGCACCGCCCTGGCAGACAAGATCTCGCTGGGCAAAGGCCGGTCCATGAAACAGGAAGAGAACCTCAACCCGGGCTACTACGGCCCGCGAGGCTTCAACATGATGTGCGACTACCTCGTCGCAGAGTTCAGCGACTTGCTCAAGAAGAAGGCCATTGCCGACAAGGTCATCGCGGGAAGGGGCCCGCCGGCTTTTATCCAGTCGGTGCTGGTGCCTGAGCTGGGCGTGCAGCTGATCATGGAGGACATGCAGACCTCGCCGGAAGAAGCTAGGGGCATATTGGAAGAGAGCAAAGCCCTGGGCGAGCTGGTGCATGGAGAGATTTGATTGCTCGCCCTCTCAAGTGAGTATGGGCCAGCTGAGCTTTTAGTGTGTGGTTGCTTCTTTCTTAATGGACAAGAGAGAAGAAAAATAGAAAAAAAAAAAAAAAAAGGAACCCCCTGTTAGTCGTGGCTAAAAAGGGCAAGATGATTGTACGAATTTCGTTGTAATGGCCCTCTTATTTGTTGCCAGCCTCGTTGTTTTTTCTTAGAGATTAATGGCGAGTTACATGTATATATTCTGCCCCCAACTTAGGATACCTACCTACCTACCTAGCTTTTCTTTTGTCTTCAACTACCCAATTAGCGCAATCTTACAAGGAAATGAGACGGTGTTTTGTGATGTGAAGAGATTTTTGTTCAGAAAACAATTCCTAGGCAGAATCCGATTATTTGTATGTTAATTTGAGACGAAGAAGAGCACTTTACGTTAATACATGATTCATCTTCCATGATATCTGTGTTCCTTGTGCAAGAATCCGATACAATAAGCCCATCCAGATAACACATCAACCCCCCTAACAATATAAAAAATTGATGCCAGCGTCATCAGGACCGCCCAAAACTCCATCAAGCTGCCATTCCAGGCTGCCCAATCTCTCGAGACCGGCGAACCTGCTGCTTCAGCTTTCTCAGAGTTGACTTCTTCCGCCTCGCCCCTGGGCCGTCACCTTCGTCGGGTTGAACGTCACGTATAGTCTCTAGCACCATCAAGTCTGCAAGAAATCTCCGAAGCCGCAATCCGGTCTTGTTGCGTACAAATGTATCTACTTCTTCATCACAAGCAGCCGAGGCCGCAATGTGTAAGCCCCGGAGGACATCTCTGTCAATGACACCAGAATCCCCTTCACGGTCATGGTCCGGTGTTGGAAAACTCTCCGGGATCGATGAAGTCCTCGTGGGAACATTAGGTGGGGCAATGGCTCGAGAAGGAATACCGCGACTGCTCCTACAGCATACTCCAATATGGTCAGGGTCAAAACTTGGACGAGGCTGGTCCGAACTTGGAGCTGTCCTGTACTGACTCCCGCCTGATAACCCTCTATTCAATCGCTGAGTCGGGAGACTTTGGTATCGTTTTTTGTAGGAGCTCTGGGCTCTTTGTTGACCTGAGTGGCGAGTCGGCAGGTTTTGAGTTGTGTGTGATCTATGACCACGAGGGCGCGAGCAACCACCATCGTAGTGGCCACAATGGCAGGCCTCGGAGTGAGCATTGGAGGGTCTTCTATCAACATCTTCAACTCCAAAACTCTTGTGGCGGGGGCTGCGTGGGCTTGAGTCGGCTCTTGGGCGGTTGTTGTTCCCTCGGCTACTTCGCTGCCGAAGCATAAGTGGTGTGGGCTTGGGAGGGGGCGTGGGAGGCCTGTCTCTGGGCATCCTTGACGCATTCCCAGATATCTGTCGGAAGTGTGCCTATTCTCTATCCGAAACAGACTCCTCGTCTTTGGGAAAGCACGAGAACCAATGCCGTTTTGATTTTTTCTTCGCCTTGTCGGGCCGCCGCTTTTGCTTTCGAACTGGCGCGTCTTCAATCAGCGCATATCGCCATTCATCCATGTCTTGGGACGCTGCAAATGACAATGCACTCATTGAGCTAGGGCTGGAATCTTCCTCTTCAAACCCATCGAATCTCGATACCTTTGGCTGTTTGCCACGAGCCTGACCTTTGTATTTCCGAGAGGACTTGGACGAAATCAGATTTGCAATGTAGGCGGGAAAATTGCGCTTCTGGTCCTTTGACGTTACTGCTAATCCTGCCGCTCTGAACTCTGGACGAAAGGGCAGTAGTGGAGATACTGTATGTAACGATATATTAGATTTTGCAGGTGTTGCTAGAGGATTTTTGCGTTGCCTTGAAGTTATAGTCGCTTGTGGCTGGCCATGTCGTCTTCCTGAGAGCCTTTCCAATGAATTTGACTTGTCGGGAACCCGTGAATGGTCCTGGTGTCGACTTGCTGGAGCTTCCTTAGACGCATGGGCGGCCACTTTATCTTGATTACTCTTCGATATTGCATTAAAAAGCCGGAGCTGCTGGCATACGCTCCGTGAAATAGCTTCGACAAGAGCAGAGTCGATAGAAGCATGTTTGGAAGCGCTCACAAAGTCAGCTGTACCATCAAGAAGCCAGTTATGTGGAGAACGCGGGTTCTTTTGCATATGTACGTGAGACTTGCGCCGAGGTTGGGGAGATGAGAACCCCGTCTTTGGGAGACATGTCGATGCCCCAGGAATTGGCAAAGTCGCAGCATGGCTCTGTGACGGGTTCGCAAGCGTAGCTGAAACACTGCCAACAAATGCGGGTTGACGAGAAGGAACTTTCAACGGAGGTATCGGAAAAGAGTCCAGGTCAAGTGACAGCTCAGACGGCTCCCAAGAATTATCACCAGAGGATGCTCCATCAAGTGATCTCATGCTAACGCCGCGGAAGGAAGCTTTCGCCTCGCTGGTGGTGCGATTGTCGGCCTGCGCGTAATAAGAAGAGTTTTGTGGTGTTTTGTGCGCGCTCTGAGAGGGAATTTCTGTATAATGCTGCTGAGGATCATGCCTCATATCGCTGCTGTATACTGAGCCCGGAGACGCTGGAGGAGAGGGTTGTTTGGGGACTGGAGTGTGCACTCGGCTTGAGCGCTTAGAGAGAATGACAACACGGGATTTCGGACGCGGCCGATGGAGCGATGCCGAAGGAAGGCTGTCACGATATCGAATGCTTCTATCCAGTAAATAAGACGTGGCCTCGGGTATGGCCGATAATATAGCCATTGAGTAAGGAGAGGCCCGGAAGAAACTAGCGAGAGCTTTACGAGATGAAGCTATTGGAAAGAAAGCTGAGAAGTGGTGTAGGCGATGATACTTGATTACAACGGAATGGTCTAGATGTTGCTGAACTAGGATTGTAAAAGAGACTGCAAAACACTGTGTTGTCATATCGACAGAGAAACGGCTGAGGGAAGAACGACCGTAAATCCAAGGGCAACTGGAGCTCAATGGAGAAGGTCCGGGATGAGGCTGCATAGAGCTTTTCCTTCCAGATAGCGAATGCTGCTTCGAACTTTAGGTATCTGGAAGGCAATGGTGAAAGAGAGGCGATAATAACGGTCTATGATGTAAGAAGCCATGGCTTCAGTGCCTCTGCTCTGATTAACTACCTAATATCCTTGATACCAGGCGAAGAGTAGACGTCCAGCTGCCGATGGCCCTTGCGAAGCAGAAACTCGACAGCAGCGAAGTCGCGCTTATCAATGGCTAGATTCCGCGCGAATTCATCTCTATAAGAAGATAATGAGTCTTTGGAAAATTTCCGATACCCTTGGGGTACGTATAGATTTTGCCATCTCACCTCACAAACTTTTCAAAATGAGCTCGCGTGCTCTGTCCACCAAAGTCAGCCAAATTACAAATTGAACTTTTTAGTAAATCTTTTAACAAGTTAATACACACCTGAGGCTTCCTTCTACACTCGCGCAGGCACTGGCGGTATAGCGCCAGCACCTCCTTCTGCAGGCCCGAGAGACGCATCGTTCTGTGGCGGAATCGGTGATGTCGTTGCTAATTCAGGCTATTGCGGCCAATTAGTTGGTGGAATATTTTTGCCGCATCTTGCTTGACCCGCCTACTGAGAATCGGCGCCTGCGGGCAAACCTGGGGTCGGCGCCAGTGCGGAGACGGACTCGCGAGTAATGCGGAGGGTAAATAATCAGCCGTATAAAGCTTGTCCTGTCCGTTTGTGATATTTTGTAATACGGAATGACGATATCGGAAGAAAGTAAGTCTTGCTTGTATTTAAATATTGTGCATTGAATTTTGGCTTTTCTTGCATTGTACTCCTGCCATCCACCCCATTACAGTCTTCAACAGGCGCCTTGACTATCCACTAGCAGCTGCAATGTCTGGCAGATTTACAGTAAGCAATGGAACCTACGACGCTCTCTGCACTCTCCATATTATTGCAGCTTCAATCAATGTCAGTCTAGTCCACCATTCTAACAGTAACAGCGTCTCATTCGCTTCCTGGCCAAAGACGGCCGCACATACTACGGCGATGCCATCCTGCCTCAGGGCGTGAGCGACGTTGCCAAGGCCCAGCGTGCGCGCATCATCGAAGGAGACATCTTTGGCAAGTATCACGTTACAGATGAAGAAGTTGGCGTGCGTCTGCTACTGTCTCCATTGGCTCAGTCACAAGTGAAGACGGTAAGATGCCTGGGACTCAACTACGCCAAGCACGCCAAAGAGTCCAACATGCCAGAGCCTAAATACCCCGTCTTGTTCTACAAACCAACCACATCTCTATCTGGCCCGGTTGACCCGATTCCTGTTCACCCAATGGCGCAAGAGGGAACCGGCCTGGATTATGAATGCGAACTCGTCGTGGTGATTGGAAAGAGGTGTTCGGATGTGTCTGAGGCCGATGCGCTCAATTACGTTCTTGGGTATTCCGTTGGCAACGACGTGTCCCACCGAGACTGGCAGATCAAGCATGGAGGAAGCCAATGGTCTCTCGGCAAGGCCTTTGACGGCTGGGCACCCTTTGGTCCGGCCATTGTGACGGGCGATGTTATCAAGGATCCGCAAGCTCTGAAGATCTGGACTAAACTCAACGGCAAAACCGTTCAGGTATGCGATTTCATTTTCACACATACATGTATGCACTGTTGCAAAGAAGCCTCCCAGACTGACTGACCAAACCGTGACGTACAGAATGGAAACACGTCTGATCAGATTTTCAGCGTCCGGCAAATGATTTCCTTTCTGAGCCGCGGTGTAACTCTCATGCCCGGCGATGTCATCTTCACTGGCACTCCCGAAGGCGTAGGCATGGGTCGGAAGCCGCAGCTATGGCTCAAGGATGGAGATGTCGTGGAAGTTGGACTCGAAAGTGTCGGCACGTGGTACGTCTATGGTGTTTGAAAAGAGTTCAAATTGACCAAGGCAAGACGATAAGCTGACTCTGTGCGCCATTTAGTACCAACAAGGTGGAATTTGAAGGTCCCAAAGCCAAAATCTAGGCGGGATATGGAAGGAGGAAGACAGAGAGTTTGATTACAAGCAGTGGTAGGAATTGCTTGTAGGATGGATGTGACATGCCTCGCTGCTAGGCAACAATTTGGGAGCCTAAGACGAAGCTACATTTCGGAAGCGATCCCGGCTGGCTTCATGGATTATCGTACGCGATGATCGAATAGTACATGCAACTTGAGCTGAGAGAGCCACGACTCTCCGTAGGTACCAACTATTAATAGACTTGTTGGCAATGCTGTCCTGCCCCATGCAGCCTCACCGATCTAATGCACGCTTGGCCACCGACTGAAACCTTTACCGCTGATAAATCTCCGGTGAAATGACTTTGTATGTGCCTTTTAATCTTGCCAAGATGAATGGGGAGGCCCATCTTCCATACAAAGTCCCCTACTTCCAGCTACATGCACTTACAGGCAGATAGCGTGGCCAGGACGCCCACGTGGAGGCTTTCAGTGGCCAGCATCCAACCACGCGTGCGGCTGATGTGCATGTCCGAATCCTGCTAGAGCTGCCATCCCGCAAAACAGAACCTTGAATCATGCTCTTCCGATCGCCTTCTTAAGAATCTCCCCCCAGTTGCTGCTTCGCTGCGAAACATGATCAAATGGGGCCGCTTTGCTGATTGGGGTTTCCCCGGGTTGTGAAGCTGCAGCACGGTTGCTATAGAGGTCAAGGGTGCTGGCAATCAGAGGTGTCAAACAAAACTTGACAAAGTTGCAGTAGATCAAGTATTGCTGGAAAATGAACCTCCCCACGGAATGAGTACCTACAAGCGTTCAAATTGTATTATGAACTTCTGCCGTGAGCATGTTGAGCACATGTGCTCTTGGCCAGTGGCTGAAGCCAGCGCTACTAGTTCAGCTACGACGCTTAAACGCCTTGCAGCAGAAGCTTTATCCACTTCTCGCCTCACACCACCAACGACATGCGGAATAGCTGGGCAAGCTCCGATGTTGCTTTCCTGATGCAGGGCAAACGGTCTTCGGGCGGAGGGACGTGGAGGACGTGCTCACTGGCTTGTCTAGGGGGAGTTGTGCTCGAACTTGTATCCCTTTGGGGCAGTGTCATTCGATGGACAAAATGGACAATACACCAGAATCGGTATCTCGTATATGCCATGCAGGTACATGGACGGTTTTAAGCATATAAGCACATTTTGATAGCTCTCTTGCTCTCTGACCACATGCAGTGCCCCTTTTATTTCGTCCACCCTTCCTACAGCCAGCTAGGTGTACCATCCAAAGAATGAACCAGGCCGGCCGTGAGGAGGCTGATCTGCCTAGGTCGGGGTGCCTTGCTCGATGGATGAGCCTAGCCTAGAGACTGCGGCTCCTGGCCAAGAAGCTTTGCTGGCCTGCTAGATTGGCAGCAGATGCAGGTAGCACGAGCCCATCTGGTAAGTGTCATATCATAGCTGCGCCAGTCTGGAGGCCGGTAAATGCGGTTCGTTTCCTTTGTTTATCGTCATTCCTATTTATATGTTTAAGAGAGAGCGAATTTACCTCTCGACGTTACTACAGTTCTACGACGTTTTTTTATTCTTCATCGTCTATTTCCTGTAAAAGAGACTTACACGATGACTACGTCTACGGTGGAGCTGCACGCGCTCACATCTGCGTCGCTCGGGCCAGATGACTCCATCACGCTTTACGAAAACCCATATACGGCGCTCGAGAAGCTACAAGATGCCAACAAGGGCAAGGAAATCGAGTCGTTCGGCGATGTTAACCGCGTCGACTGGCGCAAATACGAACCTCCGGCCGCACTTAGAAAAGCACCGACTATCAAATCCCAGATTCTCCTAGATATCATCTTTAGCTCGATTGAAAACGTCAAGTCGAGGGTCAAAGCAGAAGAAAAACTGCAGAAAGAGGCTGCTGAGGAAGCTGAGCGACAGACAGCCAAGGAGAGGCAAAAAGCTAAAGGCAAAGAGCCTTATTTGCCCATCATCATTCCGACCCAAGACTCACCAGCCGAACCGTCATCATCATCGAACATCAACATCAGACGCAAAGTCGCACCATGTACAGCATCAGACTTTATGATGTCAGGAGGCAACGGCCTTCCGGCAAAGGCAGAGAAGCGACGAAAGTTTGGACTGCGCAATTTATTCCAGCGGAGCCCAGAAGGAGGAGAAACTAGTGCTGCTGGACGGTCTCGAGAAGCTCTCCGACAGAAGCTAGAGACCAAGATTCTATCGTTTGACGCAAAGTCAGCTGATCCGAAAACTCAAAAAGCTATCGCGGCTCTCCGAAAATCCAAGCTGCTCAAGACGGTAGATGCCGATGAACTGGTGTGAGTCTGTACATTCAAACTTTATAAATGCAGTCCATTAGCTGACTTATCTTCTCTTCTTTAGAGAGTGCGTCTCTTGCTTGGACGACATTCCCACAAAGGACACTGTCAAAGTCCCATGCCATAGTTACTGCCGTGACTGCTTCGCTCGCCTCGTATCAGCAGCAGTTCAAAATGAACAGCAGTGGCCGCCCAAGTGTTGCTTGAACCAGATCCCTTTCAAGATAGTCCTCAAAAATATTCCCGACGACCTCAAGAAGACGTTTCACGAAAGGTCGTCGGAGTGGGAAATCCCCATCAGCGAGCGAGTGTACTGCTACGCTCCTGACTGCGGTATTTGGATCAAACCGGGCAAAATCAGCCTTGTAAAGCGTCAAGCCTGCTGCGAGCGAAATCACATCACCTGCACCATTTGTCGAGGCCAAGCGCATGGGAATGACGACTGCCCCCAGGACCATGGCATGAATCTGACCAACCTGCTGGCGGAAGAAGAAGGCTGGAAACACTGCATCTCCTGTCATGCACTGGTGGAACATAAAGAGGCGTGTCAACATATGACGTGCAGATGCGGTGCCGAATTCTGTTATGTGTGCGGATTGCGGTGGCGAACGTGCGGGTGTACAATGGAACAGCTTCGTGCAATCAAAGAGGCAGCTGACGCTCGGAGGGAACAGCGACTACTAAACGAACAGGCGGACGCGGAAGAGTTGCGTGACATCTTGGCTCAAATCGAGGAGTTTGAGCGCCAGGAGGCCTTGAGGCTGGAGGCGGAAAGGCTGGAGCAGGAAAAATTGGAACAGGAACGTTGGCGGGCTGTGGTCGAGGAAAGGCTCAGGCTGGAAGATATCCGCCGTCAGGATGTCGAGATCAAGTATCGCCAGTTGCGAGACATACTGGATAGCCTTCATGAGCTTCAGCATGTCATGGCCGATTCCAAGCAAGAAGACGACGCCAGAGATCTGGCAACGGAAGCCGAGCTGGAGAAGAAGCGGCTCGAAGAGAAGCATCAGGCTGAGCGTAAGGAGCTAGACTCGTTGATGATGGCCAAGCTCAAAGCCAGGGAAGACCAATATGAGAAAGAATTTGCTGCTCGAATGGACTTGGAATGTCAACTAGAGGACGAATACCTGGAGCAGCTTCGCGAGTTTTGGAATGGCAAAGATGAGGGAGAAGAGAAAATCGAAGCAAGCATGCAGCCATTGCGCCAGCGTATGGATTCCGCATACCAGTCGTGGCAGAGATGGAGAGACGACCAACTAGCCCATTATCGAGAGAGACTTGAGGATGAGCGGACCGCACAGGAAGATTTCATGTACAGCTCGAGTAAAAGGCTGGACGCAGCGCACTTGGACAAGGAGACGGGGTTGGCGAGGCGAATCGTGGCCGAGAAGGAGTGGATTCAGGAGGTGATGCTGGAACGGGAGCGGCTACTCGGCGTAATGGAGATTCAGGAGACGGAAGACGACGCGGACAGCCTGTATGGCCTCGAGTTGGACGCGTAGGGCGGATCTGCTGAGGACTACCCTAGGGTGGATGGTGAAACTCGACGGTACGTAAAATGTCGTCGGGAATGTGAATTGTACTTCGGTATGCTTGATGAACGCCGATAATAGAGCTGGATATCTATACTGTTAGTAGAATAAACGCATGAGACCTCATTCGCCATCGAGAAAGAGACTCTGGTGATTGACCGGCGACTAAATAGTTTTTCAACTGCTTGCGCTACTATTCCTTGAGCAAATATGAGCGAGTTACCGGTGAAAGGTATCAAGATAAGACGGTCAGTGGTCGAAAGACTATCCACTCGACTTCTTTTTGCACCCACTTTCCCCCCAGAACCAGCAATTCCGTAGACGACTTGATCTTTGACCATTCTCGATCCTTGGCACTAAGATGGGCATCTGGGGTAATCTGTAAATCTTTGAGCATACCATTCAACATCTGAAGGAGCGGCAGAGAGTCAACCAGTTTTCATTTTATCCAACCCTTCCTACCTATCATCTGTAATGGAGCTAGCGTTGGAGAGGCTAATGTACAATCTATCTTCAAGCTTACATGTATTCTACAGTATCTGGTTAGCTGTGCGCGATATACGAAACAGAAGATTATTCTCTTCAGGCTCGGGAAGATGACGAGCTTGAAGCTGCTGAAGCTACAACACTACGGCGCATCCAATGCTCTTCCATGACATGATACCTCCCAACTTGTTGGTGGCATTAGCATTTACACATACTATCATAGCATAGCTACAGTATGTATTGACTCGACAAAGTCTCCTGCAGCCGAGTTCTGTGTCGGTACTCGGCACCAAGCTGGAGGCGCCAGGAGGTGGTAAGAGAAACGTTGGTGTTTCAAAGGGTCTGATTGGAAATGGACGACACGATGGGCGAAGCAGTCCCGATTTAGCCGCAAGGCAAATCGGTAAGCAAATCGGTAAGCGAACAGCTCATATTTATGGCAATGGCAGAACAAACATGCAGTAACACCTTAACCGCGCCGGACATCAATTGCTAAAATTGCCATTGATGCAAAGCAAACCGCAATCAATACTTGAAGGCGCTTTCACGCATCCAGAGGCATGACGAAGCCCCTTGGACCCTCCCACGGCGCCAAAACAGTCTAAAACGCGCTATTAGCGTCTCACCCAGCGCTGTAAAACAGGGCGCTAAAACGATCTATGGTGGGCAACTGCTGCCTCGGCCACTCACAGGCGCGCCCACGTCCCTTCTCCACCTCCAGACTTTTGCTTGTTACCCTGGCTTGTCAGAATTATTTTAGGCCGCGGTTGCTCGAAACCGGCCCCTTGGCGGGAAACGCTGGCGCCTGATAGGAGAGTGGAAGGGCCAAGCTTTTCATTGCTCAAGGGCCGCACGAGCCAGTGCTTGCAGCCGACATGGGCTGTGGCCGGCTCATCACCCTTCCGGGTCGGGGCAAGATTCGAAGCACAGCGTGTGTCACCAGCTGTGCGGCGTCGCGCTACGTCCGCGGGCTGTTTCTGATGGAAACAATGGAAACAATGGCAAACAATACGTGAAACAGAAAGAGGAGGGACGGCGTTGAAGAAGGCTTGCAGCCAGTGATGAAGAAACGTGGGGAGAAGAAGATAGGGGAGAAACGGATATGGATATCATCAGTACCAGCTAATGCTGTCGCTAATGCCTTTGCAGCAGCAGCGTTGCCAACTCAGATTGGCGCTGGATCCAGAGCAATACGGCAGCACAAGGCAAGCAAAACATAATAATGCTTCCATCTATGAAGCGAGGCCATGAGCGTAAAGCACGTTTTTTTCCCAGGCTGTAAGCCAATATCAATGCACGGCAAACATTGAACGAGACCCAGCAGATAGACGCTAGCCAAGTGGCTGTGTGAGCGATGGCCGCCAGTCTGCCTTCAATAGAAACAAGCTTTCTCGGCATCCGCAATGCTGCAACCCCTGGACCCCGTTTGTGCCTGATATGGCCAAAGGTAGGCTTCCGATCTAATCCAATTCGAGATCCAATCGTCTCAGCTTGTGGTGAGAGACGCTACGACGCTGGTCCGGAACGATCTATGGCTAATACCACATTCAATCTGCCACGCAGTCTGCAGTAGCGCCGCCCCGTGGGACATGGAAGCTCCCTCCTTTTGGCTCCATGTAGGAGTCTATCCATACATTCGGATAGCACTATTGCACTAACTACTATATGTGGTTTATATCCATAGATGTCTTTACGGCCGCTGTCAGCAGTAGTACGGAACGATAGCATAGATACGGACTTACACGGGGCTCATACTGACTCGCAAAACGGAAAACGCTCTGCATCTGTTTTCACAAGCAGATTCTGAAGCGTCAGCGTCTTGATAGTCATGGTCAATGATATTCTTCCCATCTAGTCCACGCCCCTCTATATCGGCATGGGGCTGTGTGGTTGTAATGAGGCTTCTATATGCCCGGGGGCGTGGAACAGCCAGGGGTGCTCCGACCTAGTTTATTTCCCGGCAAACGTTTTGAGGGGCTCAAACATCGCTTCGTTGGGCGCTATGCCTTTGCTTGAGGCCGTAATGGATACCTCGATGGAAGACGGCGGCTATTCGACCTGCCATGAAGGGACAGAAGCATATAAGACCAGTACACCCTCAGGTTCCTGATATTTTCCTCAGCCCAAACAATCTCTTCTTCTTCTTCTTCAAGTGATACCCCCAAGCCTGCAAATTGACTTTGCCTGTTTCTTCTCTCCTCTTCATTTTAATACCAACAATCAAAACAATCCAAAACACAACCGCCAAAATGCTCTTCTCAACTCTTGCCGTTACTGCTTTCTCCGCTGTCGCCAGCGCAAAGACTATCCGCATCGACGTCGGCCAGGGTGGTCTCACTTTCACTCCCAACGACATCACTGCCGCCGTTGGTGATATCCTAGAGTTCCACTACCACCCCAAGAACCACTCCGTCGTGGCCGCCGACTTTGCTACTCCCTGCAAGCCCAAGGCCGAGGGTGGTTTCTACTCCGGCTTCTTCCCTACCACCGGCACTGAGAACGTAAGTTGACTACAAGCATCATAATGGAATTACATCGGACGTGCTAACAATCAGCTTTTCCAGTCCAACGTCTTCCAGGTTGAGGTCAACAACACCACTCCTATCTGGTTCTACTGCTCTCAGTCAACCGGCAACCACTGCGGTGCCGGCATGGTTGGTGCTGTCAACGCCAACGCCAACAAGACCCTCGCCGAGTTCAAGGCTGCCGCTGAAAAGGCCTCCACCAACGAGTCTCCCAAGACCGGAGTGTTCGGTGGTAAGGTCCTCGCCGCCTCTTCCACTTCTAGCGGCGCTGCCACCACCACCTCTGGCAAGCCTGCTGCTGCCACCACCAACGCTGCCGCTGGTCTCGGCGTCAGCGGCATGGCTGCTGCCGTTGTTGGCGCCGCCGTCGTTTTCGCCCTCTAAGCGCTGGACGCATTTAGATTGGGAATACACAAAAATGAACGGATTCTTTAATGGTGAACTGTGGATTTACATGTCGGCATGTACGATGAGTCAAAGGTTTCTTCTCTTTTGGGGCAGCGTGCGGAAAAGTAGCCAATAATTCATAATCCCTGCGGGAATGGCTTCTCTGTTTCTTCTATTTTTATATTTATCATGGTCAACTATGGTCAAGGCAATTTACATAGACGCCTTCGGGCAAGTCTTGGAGTTCAATATGGAATGATTATACTTCCAATCTGAATTTTGCGCAGTGAATCCAAAAAAAAAAAAAATTGCCTTTTTGTTTCCCCAATAAATTGCGCAATGCTATGAATAATATTGAGTTCTAAATTGAAGTTTTGTATCTTGGAGTGATGATTTGACGCAAGCACTCGCGACTCTCTGCGCCTCCGTAGAAACTAGACTCTAGAGCCTTTACTTTTTGTTTTTATTTATCTGTCCAGAGACTTCTTTTACTAAAGAAGTTTCTTTCCTTCCAGGTCTTTCTTTATTGGTAAAATCATCGACCAGCACCTTACAATAGTCGTTGAATTGGATCTTCCCAACTAAGCTGCCAAGACTTTTAGGCCCAAAACTTAGTGCCTGCGTTAATAGATCGCACTGTAAGAATAATCCGATCTGAGGCGTAGGAGAAAAAAATTGGCGGCTTACCTCATGTATTCGTACACTAGCGAAAGGGTCTTTGTCCCATCTCTCATAAACTTCCTACGCAATCTCATTAAAATATAGTATTTAGTTCAGGTTCTTTGGCTGGCAGTTCGCCATGGGCTCTATCGCCAGAGATGAAGATGTAGCAGTAGCCTGCCCGCAGTAAGTTTTCCCCCTAGCAGCAAGATTCTTTGACCATCCTGTAGGGTAAGATTTTCATCGAAGACTAACTGGAGATGTGATTCCTAGCCCACTTAAGATATTTGATGCTGCGAGGAGGCAGGACCGGTTTTTGTATGCCTGTGCGCCGATGGTGCGCTACAGCAAGGTGAGTCTTATTTCACGATTGCTGCATCAATACTTATTTTGAGGATATGAAACTGACTGTTGGTCAAAATGTGTAGCTCGCCTTTCGCCAAACTGTTCACAAATATGGCGTTGACTTATGCTGGACGCCCATGATTCTGGCCAAGGAATTCAACAGGAATCAGTTTGCCAGAGACAGCGGTGCGTTCTTTCATCTCATCAGCCACTAACATCATTTCAATACACAATTCAAAGTGAATGAAAGAGGTCAAAAAAACAAGACAGGCGCTGATGGGAGAGCTGAGAGATACAGACTTCACAATCAACACCACAGGCATCCAACCTCCCACCGTTGTCCAGTTCGGCGCCAACGACCCCCAGGAACTCGCCCGCGCGTCCACCCTCGTCGCGCCCTTCGTCTCGGGCGTCGATCTCAACTGCGGATGCCCTCAATCGTGGGCCTGTGCCGAGACGCTCGGCGCGGCGCTCATGAATGAGAGAGAGCGGGTGCGTGACATGGTCGTCGAGACGAGGCAGCATCTAGAGAGGGATGGATGGGGCGTCAAGATGGAGGACGACATGCACAGTCCGAAAGGACGCAGCGTGAGCGTCAAGATACGAGTTCATGATGATTTAAGGTAAGGGGCGCATCGTCACATCCTATACATTTTCACTGTCAAGGGACCACGCATGCTCACGGATCTAAACAATCAGGAGAACAATGGACTTCCTCGATACAGTCATCGGACCCCCCCAGAACCGCCTCGTCGACTGGGTCACCATCCACCCTCGAACACGCCACACACCCTCCACCACGCCCATCCGCACCGAAGCCCTCGAGATTCTCACCGAAAAGTACTCCCGCACACTCCCCATCCTCCTCTCCGGCGACGTCTTCGACCTCGCAACCCTTCCCATCAAGTCCACCACCAGCATCCCCGACCTCGCAACTCTCACCGTGAAAGAAGACCCCCAGGATACATGTGCTTCCGCCACAACACAGCCAAGACCCAGCAACACGAACCTCTCCGGCTTCATGTCCGCCCGCGGGCTCCTTGCCAACCCGGCCCTCTTCGCCGGCCACTTGTCCTGCCCCTGGGAAACGCTCGAGACGTTCATGTGCAACGTCGCGCGCTGTCCGCTGCCCCTAAAGCTGGTGGTGCATCACGTACAGGAGATGTGCGCGCCTGGAATGGGCGGCGACAAGTCTGCGCTGCTGAACAAGAAGGAGAGGGCGAGGTTGGTGGAGTTTACGAATATGGCGGATTTGATTGACTTCTTGGATGAGAAGATTGAGGAGTATACGGGGCAGAAAGGAGGAATGAGAAGAGACTTGTAGAATATCCAACACAATGTATCACTTGGAAAAAAACAGATATAGATCAATGAATGATGATGAGTAAAATAGAAAATGTTCGTCTCGTCTCGCCTTGGTATTCGTTTGATTCAAACATACGCTTCTTCGACTCTTATGAAACATGTATAGAGCAAGATACAAAAACTAAGAAAAAAAAAAAAAACCGACACCCACTCTTCTCAGATCAATCATAAGCCGGTCAAAATACCCTGTATGCCTATAGACCCCGAATCGTCTCGCTTCTGCACAAACGCCTTGAAATCCGCCTTGGACAGCTTCCCCCTCACCGAGTTCGACCCCGGCGCCAGCGTCCTCACCTTCTCCCTCAGCGCCTCCGGCCCGACAATGAACAGCGACCCAATCTCCGTAAGCATCTCAATCGCCGTCTCCACGTCCTTGGCCAGCGGCCACGCCCGCAGCGTAGCGACGTACTTTGCAATGTCCTGCGTGACCATCAGACCACCCGTGGCATTGACCTGGAACCTCTTGAAGTGGTCAAAGAGCTGCGCGTGGAGCACGAGGCCGAGCTCGCTGAAGAACTTTTCCGCGTTGTGCCCGTCGATGGCCTGGCTTGCGTGCTGGCTCGCCCGGGCGAGGAACTGGCAGATGTGCAGACACGTAGCGGTCTGGAGCGATTCCAGCTCGCCGTCCTTGGGCCTAAAGTCCTGCTTCTTCTGCGTGCCTAAGGACTTGATGACCCAATTTACAATGACGTCGATGGATACCTTCAAAATGGCGTTGGTCTTCTTTTCGATGGCGTCAATAGCCATTTTCTTCTGGGCTTCCATGCTCTTGCGCACAGTCGTGTTGGATTCGGCCAGTCGAATGAGCACGGTGCTGATGAATCGTTCCATGAGAGCTGAGATTGTCACGCCAGGCCGGATAGGTGGTAAGTAGGACATGTCTGGCTCTGTCTTGGTGTTCTCCAGGATGGTGGCCTGGAAGTGTGCTGCGTCCAGCGCAGTGTCGATGTAAACTTGGCCCATATTTGTGAGTAGCAAGTTTAGCAGGATGTTGACGTCTTTCGGTGTGTCGAGCTGAGATCCCAACTCGAGAACTCTCTGGACGCTCTCCGCCATCCACTTCAACATCCTCTTGGCATTTGAGACGCTAAGTATTCCATCCTCGTCTGATACTTCAATCTCGTTCTTGTCCTCCCTGTCTCCCTTGTCCTGCAGGCCAGCAACTCGCAGCATCATCGCCTTTTGCGTCTCCGATAGCTCAGAAGATTCGAGCCGCTCGAGATACGCGTCCTTGGCGGATTGTATGATTTGCGTACCTTGTTGGGCCAATGAAGCCATAAACCCGGATGGCGCCTTCTTGCGCCTTGAGTGGAATATGCTAAACTTGAAAAGCAAAGAGCCGTAGAGTTCTTCCAGGCTCTTCCTTTCTCGTTCAATATAGACACTACCCACGAGGAAAGGGACGAAGAGCTCGTCTAATTGCTGGTCTAGGGCTTGTGCAATTTGCGCCGAGCAAGGCTCTGGGTGCTCGGTCAGGCCGTGCATCTTCAAATCTTCCACTAGAGAGCCGATATAACTCCTGGATGAGTGCAAGGATCTCAAAAACGCCAATATTGAGACCGATTCGGCTTTGTCTAGAACCTTCTCCAACCGCTGTTGTATAGACTGCTGAAAGACTCGCTGAATAAACTTGATGAGTACTGTTTCGTAATAAGGAAACGCCCGTTTAATGATGAATGATTCTTCCTGCATGACGATCTTGACCTCATCGATTAATGACTGCAAGCTCGGCTCGATACCTGGAGGTTCCGTGTCCGGGTCAGCCAAAGCTTCCCACATTTCGCCGTCAGCTGCCATTTCGTCGCTCATAAGCTGGTCCCGGTCAATGAAGAATTGATGCTGGTTTACAAAAACTGCAATGACGCTAGCCCCTCCGTTGAAATCGTACAGCACCTTTGCGCATTCCATCATGTCATTGAAGTTCTGCCGCTTGTAGCTGTTGTTGAACTGCTGCAGCAGATCTTGTTCCAACGTCTCGCAAAACTTCTCGAGGATCTCACGAGTATTGCGTGCTCGATTCGTCAGTGTCGCAAAGCTGGCTATACTGGCTCTGTTGCCATTCCGTGTTCCCCAGGCCAGCGGGTCGAGCTGCTGGCTGATTCTCATTAGTTGGCGAGCAATGACGGCACATCGCACTTTGTTCTCGGCGCCGCCTTGCCGCCTGATATCCTCAAGGGATGATAATAACCCGGTTTCGCTAAGTTCCGTCCAGCAGTTTATTAGAAAGATTGTATCCTGCGCCCTTCTTCTCTTTTTGTCCAAGTCGTCTAGCTTCTCTCCGATCTGAACGGCGATATTTCCGCCATTGTCAGGTTTCCCGTTCACATCTTTGCCATTGGTGCTGCCGGGATTCAGTGAGATATCGAGGGCTTCGAATGACTCCATGGTTTCGTCGAGCTTACGGCCGAGGGTATCGAGTGTCTGGTCGTGTTGGATTTCAGCCCGGCGCACTTGGGAAAGAAGCTCGGATTCCCTCTCTTGGAGTTCGTCTCCAAGGACGGCAAGCTGAGATAAGGCATCTGGAGAGAATTTCGTCAGCATAACTGTTTCCCCCCCCCTCCTTCTCTCTTCTCAGGACTGCATCTCGTACTCTCAAAGCTTCGGATCAGCGGCTTCGGATCAAATGTTGTGGATTGTGTTGGCCCCGAGCGACGGCTAGAGGGCATGGCACTCTCTGCAAGACTATCCACAAAGTCTCGGACTATGAAATCCTTGTTGGAGAAGTCCTCGAGGCTGAAGTTGGGGCCCTTGGGGAAGATGCTCTTGGGCCCGCTGGACCGATCCATGGTTGGCGAGCGTCGGGGCGAAGGCGCATCAGCGAGCTATGTGTAAGTTGCAATTGACGACCATTTGCAACCCCCGCGCATGAGTGCAATGTTCGACGGTCCGTCCAGCCAATTTGTCGCCTTGCGTTGTCGCGAAGCGCCAGCCTCGTGCGATTGTCGCTATCCGTGGAGTGCCTGATAGCTCTACCTCCTTGGAATACGTGACCCTGTAGCAAGCAGTAGAGCGCTATGATGCCTGCCGAGCCCCGCTACGCCACGTCTCCGGCGACCTTGGAGCTGCGCCACAGCCTCCCGTGGCTCGTCGGACCACTCAGGAGAGAGGACACATGCAAATCACCAGGTACAATTTTACAGGTACCCAATTTGGTGAAAGACAAAGCAGCTCATTTGCATCGCCTCTCGCCCCAACTCTTTTCTCCCCAGCAATTTGCTGGATGGACACGTCTTGATCCTCCTCGTCCACTTGCCAGAAGGGCAGCCGCCACAATCGCAAGGGCGCACACCCGGCTTCGTTACCCTGAGATCGAGCTTTAACCAACAACAAGCCACCTAATACGACCGAGCTTGAAGCTTAGATCCTTGTACTCCTACAAACCTCGACTCCAAACCAGTTCGTCGTTGGCGAGACAGTCTTTCGAGACTGCAAATACTCAACATGCCCATGAATTTTGAGAACACCAAGGCATACCGAGCCGATGAGCAACTGGGCCATAGCCTTCTATCAGAGGCACAGAGACAGGCTATCTTCAAGGTAGGATCAATTTGCGACATCCCGAATTATGTTATGCACCTCTGACATTTTTTTTTTTGACAGGCCTCGCTTCCTGCGCCGAATGATGGATCGACCGTCGCGAACAAGCCTGGTCAAGCACAGCGCAGATCCCGACTCGGCGTTAGACGCTTTATAAAGAATCAAATCTTTGTCGTCGTATTCGCTCTTATGCATGGCATCTTCTCTCTATACATCAAATCGCGACAGACATGGCACGGCGTGTCCTACCAGATATCTTCTATTCTCTACTACCACCATGCCACGCCGCAGTATATTCGACGAGACATTATGGGACTGACCAAGAGGCCCAAGCATCTCAGCACAATCTTGAAGACCGAGGGGAAGCATAGGGCGAAAAACGACCTCGATCGGTTGATTGACGAAACAGCTGAGCTTGCCACTTGGTGTGCATGCGCAGAGATTCCCATGCTCTCAATATATGAGAAATCAGGTGAGCTCAAAACTGGCCCTTTTTTCGGATATTTTCTATGCTAGCAAAGCTAACACTGTATTAAAGGTGTCTTGAAGAAGCATATGCCTCGAGTCTATGAGGCCGTCATCCAGAAATTCACATTCTACTTTGGCGCCGAGCACCCGACGCTGTCTGTAACTTCTCCTCACCAGGATGATTTCCCCACCCGCATGCTGGAGGAGAGCAGACATGGACACTTGCAGCTTCACCTAATTTCCTACCAAGATGGAAGAGAGTCTATCGTGGATCTTACGAGAACTCTCGCAGACATGTCGCAACGCGGCAAGATCTCCCCGCGAGATATTTCCCAAGAGCTCATTGACGCCGAGCTATCGGAGGGCATCCTTCCAGAGCCCGACTTGCTGATTCTCTTCACTCCTCACGTCGAGCTGTCGGGCTATCCACCGTGGCAAATCCGACTGACTGAGATCTTCTGCCTACAAGACAACGAGACGTTCGGCTACCAAGTGTTTTTGAAGGCTCTGAGAAATTTTTCTTCTGCGCAATTCCGTCGTGGCAAATAAATCAAGCGAAAGCTTTTTTTTTTCTCTTCTTCTCTTTTTCCTAAAGATATCCATTCTCATATAGATAATGCATATTCTTTTTCTCTATCATGAGGGCTTCCACAGCACCATGGCTCGACTCATCTTATCCCAACGATAAACGGGACCATTTCCGACGTTATAATTATAATAGTTTTCTGTCCCCTCTTTGATCTTGGCCCTTCTGAAAGTTATGTTGATTCTCCCTCCGTCCTCTTGATTTTTCCCTGTGCGTTTTGGTATAGAATGGAGCCAGTTAGACTGTGTTTTTCCTCTCATTAAGATCATATCTCCAGTATTTAGTGGCAATTTCATCACTTTTGATTTGACAGGTGGATTTGCTTCCTGGTCTGGAGGTGCTGGCTTGTGCTTCATTAGAAAATCTCGTCGCGCACCCAGCGAAAATGAAGCAATGGCAGGCTCTTGGCCCAGAAATCTCTCGTCATCGCTGTGAAACGAAATGCTGTCTGCGCCAGAAGCATAATAGTTGACCAGGCAGAAATTGAACTTGCAGTCTGTAGCTGCCTCCGTGGATTGTCGAAGCTCATCGAGACATTGCGGTAGAGGCCGAGGGGACGATTTCTCATAGCGTCTGTCTGACAGGACTTTTATTCCTGTATTTGCATCTACCACTGCTCCTGTCTCGTCAAACTTTGACGTTTCGTCGAGTCCGAATACCGTGGTCCACCTTTCTCACTCATTTGTATTAGCTACGCATTTTCTCCTTTATCATATAGATTGGGCTATTGTATAGACTTTACCTTGGCGTGCGCACCTGAGTCTCAATGCCTCCTCGCTTGATTTGATACTCTACTTTATAAAAAGGCAATTCTGCGCGCAAATGTTGAAAGATCTGACGCGCAAGGTATTCGGGGATATAAGGCTCGTAATACAGTAGATCCAGGTCTGGCTCGTTGTTGATGACCCGAGCAGGGCGAGCTGGTAAAGATGATAGCTCTTTGCTTACCGATGCTGGAAAATCAGTGATTGGAAATGGATAATGTAGATGTTGCGATGTTGTAGTCTAAATATTCGTAAGTAATCAACGATGTAGCTTATATGTTAGATGTAGATGTGTATTTGAACGCACAATCTCATCTTGCTCGTCTGGTGTACTTCTTTCTTCGACGACATCGATGCGCGCCCGCTTTGGAGCAGAATTGAAGAAGGCATCAATCGTTCGTTTCTGTGACATTGTATCCGTAAGTATTCTCAATCGCTTTCTTAGAGCAAGCATAATATATCATGAGAATACAGAGATAGCAGAACGTTGTTTACTTGCCTGGTAGGGAATCGTGACATCACAAGCCCAGCCTTGCCAGCCTGAGCTCGCGCCACAGCGTCCCTTTGACCCACTTCTATCGCAGCTGAGATCTCTTCCAGTGCTGTGGCGGTGCAGGTACCACCAGATGTACTCCGCACGCAAAATTTCACAACTCTCAGCCTTGGAACCCTGGTCTCAGTGAGTAATAGACGACGGTTGACCTGGCATATTCGACATGGAGGTGAGTTCCTTAGACCCTTGATGATGATACATTCTGTATATGCAGTTACTAACTATAAATCTTCATATTTTGGTAATAAAAGGAATCAGACAAGGAATATCTCATGAATCTCTTCCGAGCCCCTGCTGCCGCCAGAGCAGCCAAAACGCTGGATAGATCGCTCTTCTCAAGAACGTTGCCCACAGCTGCAGCCTCTCTAAGAGACAACAAACTCATTTCAAAGTATCGCAAGCAGCTCGAAAAGACAAAGGAAATCTTTGCCTTGGACAGATTCGATGTTTGTGCGGCAGACCCAGATGCGGCTCTTGCAGCCCAGGGGAAAAAATGCCTTGTGTTGAAGCCGCATGTTAAGCCAGACGGTATGTTTTCATAGAGTTGAGAAAACAACAATGATTAATTTGACAGTTGGAGAAGATTTGGTTCAATAAACTAACTTTTGTTCATCAAAGTGCCGGAGACATGGAGCCCGATTCTGCAGGAGGCTTCCAAGCTGGGAGAACTGAAAATTGTTCCTTATGAGGTGCAAATTGGATATGATCTTTGGAGCTACCGTACGAAAAAAAAAACCCCCGAAAGCTTAGAGCTTACTCTTATTTGTGTGGATATCTTGACTGACTCTGAGAGAAACAGTTGATGTGATGAGATCCATCCTACCAGAAGACTTACACGGAGAAATCCCCGTTGGCTTCAATACAGCAGGCCATGTCGGTAAGACTAAACTCCTTTGCTTTCAATAGCTGCATTTATCTCACAAGTGAGAGAATACAAGACTAATAATTGGTCTTTCAAAAGCTCATCTCAACATAAGAGGGCAGTACCTCCCTTACAAGTCCATCATCGCCCAAGTCATCATGGACAAGAACCCAACCATCCGCACCGTCATCAACAAGGTAGACAACGTCGGCACAGAAAGCGAGTACCGTACTTTCAGCTACGAAGTCCTGGCCGGGCCCGACGACATGCTCGTCGAGGTCAGCGAGGCCGGCTGCCTGTTCAAGTTTGACTACTCAAAAGTCTACTGGAACACGAAGCTTGGAACCGAGCACCAGCGCATCGTCAGCTTATTCAAGCCTGGCGAGGTGGCCGTCGATTTGATGGCCGGCATTGGGCCATTTGCTGCTCCTGCTGGCAAGAAGGGAGTGTTTGTCTGGGCAAACGACAAGAACCCCGAGAGCTACAAGTATCTTACTGACATTATTAAGAGGAACAAGGTGAGTTTCTGCTCTTTTGTTCTCGTATTTCTGTTCCCTCGACTAAACCCCCACATAACAGGTCTCTGAATTTGTCAAACCTTTCAACTACGACGGACACGAGTTCATCAGGAAATCCGCCGACCTCGTCCTGGAAGCATCTCAGCGCGGAGACTGCGCCCTCATTCCCCAGAAAGTATCAAGAAGCGCCCCAGGCCCACGGCCGGAGCCCATCCGGATCCCCGTGCCCCCCACGGTATCCCACTATGTCATGAACCTTCCCGCCTCAGCTATAGAGTTCCTTCACAACTTCCGCGGTCTGTACGAGGGCCACGAGAACCTCTTCGCCCCTCACACCGAGACGAAGCTGCCCGTGATTCACGTACACTGCTTCGCCGTCAAAGCAGACGACTCAACGCCCCTGGACGACATTTGCCAGCGCATCGAAAAGGAGATTGGCGTTCTCTTGACGCCTGGCGACGACGTGGACAAGGACAATCAGGTACTCATCCACGAGGTCCGGGACGTTGCGCCCGCAAAGCGCATGTTTTGTGCAAGTTTCCGCCTGCCCTCAAAAGTTGCTTTTGCTTCACGATCCTAAGGCCGATGCTAAGCCGGTCCAATCGCCGTTGTCCTCGATATCGGTTCTTCCAACCCTACAGTACGGGAAGGCGTGCGCCTCTTACGTGTTAGTCTAAGATGGGGGGAAGGGTTAGAGGAAAGATTTGAACAACCTGTGCTCGATTTCCCCCAGGGAGATACCCGCACGGAGTAACTGATCAGCGGCTGGCTGGGCTGAACAAAGGGGTCTTGAGCGTGAAAACCTTATCTTCTAAAGGCCCGGGTCTAGAAAGCGCCGCCATGACGACAGATCAGTCAAATCAAATGCACCGTTCTAGGTCGACTCCCGGCGCCTCTTCCTTTTTCCCCTCTAATACCCCTTCTCATGTTGGATGATAGCGCAAGACTTTTCCATCTTTGCATGCTCAGCTTGGCGTGACGAAAGAGATGAAGCCACAATCTACAAAGCCAATCAAAGTCGTCAATCCTTCAATTCTTTTTCTATCTTTCCAAATGTGCCATTGAGGATGGGAAAAAAACGGAAAGCATAAATCTCACTCACAATGCAAGACTTCCTACATGCCTAAGAAGAAATCATAACTGCACGCCAGGGGATTACAGAGATAGCAACCTCCATTGCCTTCTCCCGTCTACACCGAGAGTTGCTATAATATATGCCACACTGTATTAGCTTAGCTACTCCGTGGCTGGTCCTCTTTTGAAGTCCACTTAACGAGGCTATGCGTGCAGCACTGTGCCATCTATTTTTGGTAAAGGGAGTGCTTCGGGCTATGCTTTACGCAAGCTTCAGCTAGCTACCTGTCGAGTTGTTTTAGGTTATAGTTATTACAGGAGCAAGGAACAAGCTCTACCGTACAAACAAAAGTAAATAAAATTTCTTTTTCTTCCCATCAGAAACGAAATTAATCCATCTGGACTCTGCAATTCGTCATATTTTCAAGCTCACTTATTCAGAAAAGCTCATCCCGTACAAGACAGCAATTGACTTCCCCTTTCCCCTCTCCTCCCCTCGTCTCACCACTTATTAAGCTCAAAACACTCTCCACAATCTCCACGAGCCGAGGAACTGTGCTGGTGACATGAAAACCAGAAAAACCCGAACCACTTGCATGCTGCAATATGCTTCTCTTCTTCATGGCAACAAGCCACTATGCTTCTTTCAAGCCACTCATCCCATACAGTTATCTATCACATTTCCCCTCCTTCAAGACGTTATGGACAACAAAGCGGCGCTTCTCCAGCCCATCTTTCTTTCGCCACCGGTCTAAATGGTAGCTTCTTGAGCCACGGACAAGGCCCAGGGACCACGTTTGCGCGATAAATGCTGCTACTCGCAGAGCAAGGGAAGAGACTAAGCCACTTGTCTTGGCTTTTCCCGGGCACAACGCCACGTGAGCTAAAATCGTTGGATGCAAAGATCGCTGTAGGGAAAAATCGGGGATGTGACTCTGATGCTGCCTCGGTCCTTATCAAGTTCGCTTACGTATGTAGCAGGCCTCTTGGCGCCACTTGATGTGAACACACAAGAGGTGCATTTAATGAGCATTGCGCCAAAGAGCAGTTTTCTCTGACCTCCGTCTATCGGTGTACAGATATCACTGGAAGCCTTGGCTCAGCCAACGGAAAAAGAAAAAGCTTGGCTCAGACTCTTTGACGGGATTGGTCTTCTATCCTGGCAGCCTGGCAGCCTCTCGGCGCCTATCGTACGTGGTAACTTGCACAGTTTCATATTGGCGGTAAATATCTTTGCCCTGGGAGATAAAGAGTCTCGTGCCAAAGAAGACAAAAGATCAACCAGGAAGTTTGACTGCTTTTTCCTGTTTTGGATGTAAACCGACGCACGGATCAATCAGAGGAGATAACAAAGATGCCCCAGTTGAACGATTTGTTTGAGTAATGCCTCCTCTCCCGGTGAGTGGTTATCTACGGAGCCCAATGTGTCCTGTATGTTGCGCAGAAAGCGCCGGCAGGGTGGTAGATAAGGTGCCGTGCCTAGCTTGCAGCAGGAAGTGCGAGATAGGGAGCAAACACCCCGGATTTGCACGTAGCAGTCTGGAGTAGCACAATAATTAATTTGTTCTCTCACCGGCTGCACAATGCAAGGGCTAATGCAGCCATGTAGCCCGCCATTTGAATTGACAGTCGTCGCTTGCAGCAACGGATGCAGGACAAGAAAAGTATCGTATCGTCCCTTGGGGTTTCCGATATGAAAGTGATTAATCACCAGACCACTCGGTATGATTGGAGCCAACGCAGGCCCAAGGGGAACAGAAACTCTATCCGCCGAGCCATTGATTATAAAAAACTTTGTGCTGTTCCAATAGCATACTGTATTGGTACGAATTGAAATGCGGCCGAGGCGAGCGGCATACGTTTAGAAACACTCATGTTGCGCTGTAAGAAATGCAAATTCGTAGTGACATGCCCGAATGTGACTATTGGACAAATGCAGCTGATATCACTTGTAACCTAGGCAAGCTCTGTTGCCCCCCTGGCCAAACAGGGATCCGGAATAAAGAGCCGAGATATGAGATGTTATTTTGAGAAATCTTGTATTGGGGATCGTAATTCCCTGTCTCTATCCCGTACCGAGCCCAGGCCGGAACGAATCGCCGCCAAACACGATGACGAGGCAGAGCCAGGAGCCAGAATATCCGCAGGCATGCACCGCAATGAGTAATGTTCCGCGTAGGTATTGTCTATCCGTCAACGAGGGAATATTCCCAGGCTCAGATGAGCTTTGTACGACGCATTGCTTATGTGTGCGTGACAAACGAAGAGATGACGCCCCAGTACGTGCTACACCTGGCTGCGTTAGGAAATTTCACTTTGCAGGCGAAGTAGCTCCAGCTCAGAGTACTACCTCTTTATGCATGCTCCTCTAGCTCAACGATGTTGGTAGGAGCTGGTAACGTACCGATGCAACCAAGCAGGGAAGATGCGGGTCCAGCAAGTAGACCGTGGCTCAATGGTGATGCGGCAGGCATAGCTGCATAGTATAGCTGTGCGTTTAGAGTGGAGAGTGAATCGGTGGCCTCGTAACTGCACGGTAGTTTCCAATGTCTGATCCGTTTTAATGTTCCGGCGGAGGGGCGTGATAGCTACTTTCTCGCATCTCCGGATTCCTAGTTCTCAGACTTATACGCCCCCTCCGTATCGTAACAGAGTGCCATCTTGCGGGGCGTAGAATTGCTTATTGCTTGACTGCCCCTCTTCTTATATAGCGGATATCGGCTCACATATTCCGCTGAGCCTTTTTTTCTTCGAGGTGCAGAAGCATTGGTAGAAAATCCAAGTGGAAAGTAATTTTGTAAGTTGTTTTGAGGATTCTTGCGAATTGAGATCTGATAATCGTCAGATCTCAGCATCGGCAACACCGGAGCCCATGGGCACAAAAACAATCGCAACATGGGTCCCTCAAAAACACCCTTCGGAGATTTTTCTGAGTCAAGTGCAGAGTCGTATCAAGGGCCTTATGGCGGGGTCTCTTTTGGGTAAACCGGCCATGTCTGACTGTGACTTGAACGCCTCTCCATGGCGCAGCCGAGCCGGATATTGCACCACTTGATATTCGCCACCACGCTATATCTGCAGCTCAGAGGTCCAGTATTCCTGTTAGGCGCAGGAGATATATTAGAAGAGACTCTGCTGCAAGCAGTCGCAGTCCTCCTGCTAGTAGCAGAACGTACTCCGTCGTGAATGGTCGATTGTGGATGGTGCTGTGCCAAAGAAAGAACCAGGGCGCGGTGAATTGTGGGGGAAACAGGCTCCAAGCGCCGCATCCACTGGAGATTGTGCGCTAGACACCACTCCACGATGCAGCTTGATAGGCCACTGACGGCTGGAATACTGAGTTGGCCGTCAAAGCTTGGTCCGGGCAAGGAAGCTCTCTGTGGCTTTTCGGTGCCGTAAGATCCTGTCTGTGCGGAGGGCGGGCGTGGTTGGTCAGTGAAAGTTCGTAGGGTTGGCCTGCGGTACCAGTCAAAATGGGGAAAACATCATGATGCTAGCAGATTCTTCATACATATCGCTTGCATCACAATTGCTTGTAATACGCCTTAGCAGTATTCCGTTGGAGGGGGAACTTCGGGCCAAAGCGATACCCGCCTTGCCAGCTAAGATAGCCAGGAATGTAGAAAGTCACCTAGGGATGGATAGGGGATGATTTTCAGAGAGCTAATGGAGGGGAGCTGGCGAGAACAATGTGGTGTCATGGCTGAGCGAATAGACGCGCAAGGCTACCGCCCTTGCAAAGTATAATATACGAAGAGGCACTGCGCTTTACCTCAATTGAAGGGGAAAAGAAGGATATGGTGGTGGGAAGAGAAGAATTTCCATTTTTTTTCCCATCAAGATGGGCGCCTAAAGATTCAGGCCATGCATATGCCTTGCAACCTTGGCAGTAGCAACGGCCATGCTCCTTCCTCTCAGCGATTGAATAAAACTTGGTGGTTGTATGGTTGTACTTCCAAGCTACTACCTGGTAGAAACGACCAATGGCGATTCTTCTTTTCTCTGGCATCGAGATATCTTTGCATCTTATCAGATGGCCTAATTTGGTCTACTATCTTAATTGATTGCCCTACGGGTTTGTCTGTAAAAGCGTTGGCGCTCATAGTACGTTTGGTATCCGAGACATGCAGCCATCGCACGTTGCGGAATACTGCCACGATGCCACCACGATGCCAAGATAGCTTCAGGGGATGGGGTCTATCGAGACAGGGGTCCATCTACCCATAATACTAGTCTTTAAAGATGCGGTTCATCAGCCACAAAGTGCGAAGATCAGATCCTCCACACAACGTCGATCATGGATATAGAGCAACAAACAGCTCCAACTAGCGTCTTCCAGGAAGACCAACCACGGGGATCAATGGAACCAAATAACAATGGCCAAAATCTGCTGATGCTACGATAATGCACCACCCCTCGCGGATCTTTACTCGATGGACAAGATAGACTAGATAATGATCGGATCCGGGCTGGCAACCTCCGAACCGGTAAGCATTATGCTGTAACACTACTAGTATCTACAAGCAAGAGCCCGTGTACGAGTTATTTGCCGTACTTACAGGACGCAATGCCGATACGTCTTGAGCGCTGTCAATTCAGTTCTGTATTTCCCGTTGCACGGGAAATTATTTCATAATGAAGCCGAAACAATGCTGCAATTGCTCGCACAGTCATACTCTACATACAAGATATGTTCGATAACGGGATATCTCGGGAGGCTTCCACCGACGGCTCACACCTGGTGGCAAATCTGTTACTCGGTGGCTGCAACCATCAGAAGCGACTAATCTTTCCAGAACAGCGAAAACAAGGCACTATTATACACAGGGCCGTATCGATTACGACAGCTTCTACGGCTATTGATGATCTAACCGCTGGGAAGAAACTTCATTCAGGCGCATAGGTATTTGCTGATACGTAATCTGGGGGAAGATCGAAAACACAAGCGTAATCTTAACGTGTCTGTGCATGAAGCTTTCTCCCCCTCTCGAACGGTTTTCGATAAACTTTGCACCAGTTTCTCTCCTGCATAAGGGGCCTCTTGTAAGCCAGTCTCAGGTTCAGTTGACAACACGGGGAATTACTATTCCAGACCCTTCAAGAAGCTTACAATTTTAGCGTACTCCAGCTTTTTTGCTTCTTCCATACCCAGTAAAACTCCTCATCGCTCTGGAGGAGATTCGCTAGAGAAATCCGGAGTTTAGTCTTAGTCCTTAGTCCCTGATAATGGAGCAAGCGCTTCATGGATGGATCTGCATAAGCGTGGGAAATTCTGCGACCGGCAGGCCTCCGTTACCCGCTATCGTCAACGGCGCTCTGCTACTGAACTGCCCAGAGCTCGAACGGGGCTCAGCCTCCTCCAGAATGCTCTCTTGTGGTGTTCTAGAGGCTCGATGAGAATATGCCGCTCCGGCAACACTATTGCTCTTCTGAGAACCTCGGCCATATACCAAAGCCAGCCGCCACCACCACCGGGCAGATGGCGAAATGCTACTCAGGTCCCAATAATCCCAGCCAACCATGGCTTCCATTCTTAGTCATTTTCAGGTCCGGCCCGCTTGTTATTCGCCCCCTCCTTGCCCATCAGGGGGATGCTAGTAAGATGCAGCGAGAATCTATAAAAAAACTATAAAAAAATCCAAAAGACGGAAGAGAATTTTTCTAAGTCCCCAGTCACGAAAGCAGAGACCCGTCTTGTATCCTCTTTAGAGCCCAATAGACCAGCATCAAAATTGTATTACTTGAGTGTAGATGTATGACAGCCTCTTGACCAAACCCGTGCGGGAAAGGTGGCGCTTTGATGAATTAGCATTTCTCAATGCATGCTGTGGCGTCCAAGACAGCGAACCTTGTCTTCTGTAGAAAGGTACTCCTAGCCACACTGTCCCGTCCCGTCATCTTGTTCTGCTCCCAAGCTTTGGTTGCAGACAGAGAGGGCAGGGATGAGAAGAAATTTTTTCTCTTCCAACCTAAAAGGTCCCACCTCGGGGCCATCCTCGTAAGCTGCCGCGATGTCCAAGAGAAGGAGTTGGCTGGAGCTGGAGCAAGGTAAAGAAGGAGATTTGGAAAGCAATTAAAGCATTTTGTGACAGCAAGGTTGGCAGGGTACTGACTTGAATCTCGACTCTTTGATCAGCGCTGTCAACCTCCACCTGCATCTAATGTCCATGTGGCAGTCAATCGACGGGCCCCCCTCAGACAATCTGGAGTAGAGTAGAATCAAGTCCGGGGCCGAGCGTCCAAGACACGATTTGATCGAAGCCAATTGCTACCGGACCGAACTCAGAGACGCTGTCTTCAGATTTGACTTTGTGTCTCTCATTTTCATCTAGCGGTGTACTCTGCGCTCCGTCCCATCCCCAGAATGTGACATGTTCTCCTACTGCTCTCTTGCGTGATGAGCTTGTACAGCACGGGCTGGCAATGCTAGCCGCTGGCCTCTTATCTGCGACATCAGGGCTTACTGGTACGTTGGCAATCATAGTGGACTTGCTTTCTTCTGCGTCCGTCGGCAAGGGCTGGAGCTATGTGTGCAGCTGACTCCATTCCTGGGCGAGCACGAAAAGGCGGCGAAAATTAGGCGTGGCATGGGATAGCAGAGTTCATTAAATGAGCTTAGATTTTAGGGCGCTCTGACCGAAGCCCGGACCCTGAGCCGAAGATATCGATGCTGCTGAATACGTACTTGCTCGTGTAGTACTGTACCTAGACGCCGTACATTCTTGAACCCTCACTTGCTCTGTAGGCTTCGGCCTTCCTTCTGGCCTCGTTATCGTCTTACTTTCTTTTTTTTTTTTTTTTATCTCCATCTCTCGGCTATCAGGCAGGGAGGTGGACATTCTTGTCCAGCGGTGAAACTGCAGATCGCCAATCGCACTCGCAGCAAACAAGCGAGCCGAAGCTGGCTTGCATAGCCATAGGTAGGTAGCAGCTCTGGATAACGGCGTTAGCCAGAGCAGACTGCTCGAGTCAATGGCCCTTGTTGGTATGTGTGGGCGGCCTTGGACGCACTCCACAATCGCCATGCTAGGGCTATCCTTGCGCCTTAGCAGCAGTGGTACATACATGCTAGCAGCAGTATCAGTAAGTGGTGGTGTATTTAGCAATAGTACCTGTATAGGAGCTTCGAGGTACGTGTGAAACAAGTATATGCCATGGCTCTTGGTTTACATGGCAGCTCTGGGAGACAAAGATGTGATTACCTTGTTCAGATGTACAGGCAATGCTTTGTACATGCCTCTGGCGAGACATGAAAACAGACGGCCGTCTTCGTCCTTCTCGGTGCCGACGCTGGGCCAATGCGGAGCGACGTGTTCTGGTTGCATCGACCGATGGCTTCCAGCCATGCTCGCGCCTCACCGGTACGGGTATGAAGCTGCTGCATGCTTGGGTGCGCAACCCAATAGCCGGTGGTGGTTGCACCGTGCCTTGCCAATCTCTCGAACAGGAAATGGCTCCAAAAGCTACCAAGCAA